GGGCGCTGTGAACCGCGCCCCGCCCGCCCGCCCCGCCCCGCCCCGCCCACCCCTTTAGCAGCGCCAAACTTTCCTTTTATTCCGCCCCAGATTTGCTGGTCGCCCCACCCCGCCCCGCCTTGTTTGCCGACGACTTGTCGGCAGTGCGTGCACACTGTCACGCCGTGACACTGCGCACAGTGTAGCGCCGCTGCACCGCGAGCGACGCCGCGACGACCACCCCAAAGACCGCCAGGCCGCCAGCCCTCCGGGACACCTTGCAAGACGAATGCCTTGTCATCGCCAGTGTGTGTGTGTGTGTCTGTGTGTGTGTCCGTGGGCGGGCGGGCGCATACCCAACAACGCAAGCCACTCAATTTCTCCTCCTCGCTGTTTTTTTCCGCAACACATATATACATCTCATCCCCCTAAGACTGCTGCGTGAGTGCACGCGCCCTGTTTTTGCGCGCGCGTGCGTCGGTGAGTGTGTTTGTGTTAGAGTGTGTGTGTGTGTGTGTGTGTGTGTGTGTGTACACTTTGACTCCCAGCGCCAGTTCGGCCCGCCTGCCCGCCCGCCACGGCCGTCGTGTTGGGCGGCCCTGTCCGCCCGTCTTCCGGGCCGCCGTTTAATCAGGGCCTTGCCTTCCTTGGGCTGGGCTTGGGGTTGCGTCCCCGGCGTCCCGCCCCGCCGGCTATTGGACCCGAGACAACAACGCTTCCCTGCCAGCGAAGCGCCAGCGCCGCAGCGCCGCCCGGCCCTGCATCGCCACGGCCAGCCACGGCCAGCGCGAGGGAAAAACAACAAGCGGGTGCGCACTGCCCGACCACACGCACTGCACGGCGCGCTCCGACTGCCGCCAGACTCTGTCTCTCTCGCACCGATGCGGAACGCCCCCTGAGTGCGAGAGAGACAGAGCGACGAAAAACGACTCTCGGAATCAGTCTGCGGGGCGCTAGAGCCTGCCCTCTGCCTCGGCCTCGGGGAAGTACCTCCGCCTTCACTGCTCCGCACTCCGGTGCCGAAACGCAGGGAAACGGCGCCAAAAGCTTTAGAGGGATTCTCGGCCGGGGCGTGCCCCCCCGCCCCCGGGCCGCGGGCGTCGCGATTTGTGGCCGCGGCCCCGTTAAAATGGCAATGGCCCGGCGAGTGCCAGGGCCTCGGCCAGGGCCGGCAGCGCGCGCTAAGACGCGGCAATTTATACGGGTGCGGCGGCGGAGGGAGGACTCCAGACTCCAGCGCGCTCCAGCGACGCGAGAGCGGCGTGCGGCGCGGCTTAGTGCGCCGGCCGCCTGGATCCTGGATGAGGTGCTGCTCCTGTCACGAGGTGTAAAGAGTGCGGCCTCGAAACGACATCCATTGTGCTCCAGTCCCCCAGCCTCTAGCTCTAGCCCCCCGGCCGCCACGCGCGCGTTGCGTTCGACGCGTTGCCTGCCACGCAGGCGGTTTGACCCGCCTGACCTGCAGCCGGGCAGTGCCCGGGCAGTGCGGCGCAGTGAGCCCTCCCCGCCCCGCCCCGCCCCTGCCGGCCGCAGTCCTGATGTCCTGATGGATCGGGCTGCGCCGCTGCGCCGAGCGCGGCGACCGGGGCGGTCTGCCCGGCCTGCCTTGCCGAGCGACCATGAAATATTCATGCTCGAATTGGATCGCCTCGCCCTCCTCCTCGCCGCACGCGCCGCTGCATCGCCTCGCCCGTCCTCGCCGCCCCGATGCGATGCGGCGCCACGTCGCGCCCAAAGTTGGTCATTCGATTGGTCGTGCCTGTGCCTCGCCTGGCCTCGCCTAGCCTTGCCTGGCCTCGCCGCCCCGGGCCGTCGTGGGGCGCGGCGCTCGTCGTCGCCTCTCCGGGGTGGCCTCGGCGACCAAGCGTGGATCGGGGGGGAGGGGGGAGGGGGCTGGAAGGTAGGCGACAAATGGCACCTAGCCAGTGTAGGTGGTCAACTTCGGTGACGCGTCCCCCTCCTTCCCGAACGCGTCTCTGGACCCTTGTCGGCCGGGGCTGCAGCGTTGCCCGAGGCGCTTTGGCGCGGTGGCACCGCAGCACCGCACCGCGCTGCAGGGCAACTTGAGCCGAAAATAAAAAGTTAAGTCCCGCCCTCTTTTCGCGCCGGCGGTGCCCGGCGGTGCCGGTAGTCGAACCGAGGGATGTTGCGACGCTAAGTTGGCTGCCGGGGGGCCTGCGGGGCCTGCGGCCTTCGGGTGTCGTGGTCCGTTGTTGTTTTATCGAGTTGCCAGGCTGGCCTGCAGCTATCAGGACCCCCAGCCCAGGAGCCTGGCGCTGTCTTCCCGGACGCCGGGGGAGGGGAGGGGGGGAGGCGTTCTACACCGGTTTGGGATTCCTGTCGCCAGCATTCCCATGCGCCGCAATAAGCGCCCCCGAGGGACGGGGGAGGGGGAGGGGAGAGGGGAGGGGGTGCAAGGGTGCGTCGCCACGGAACCCTCAACATCGGCCACGACACGGAGGGGGAGGGGGAGGGCGGGGCGCCTGCGGTCTAGCCAAGTCAGCGCGCTGCGACGCGCTGCGTGGAGCACACCGCCTCTGTGTGCGTGCGCGTGACGGAGAGAGATAGAGGCCCAGTGTGTCATGTCCCCATCCCTCGTCTGGCTCGCCCTGCCTCGGTCTGGCACCCCATTCTCGCTGCGACCCCTTTTCGCACCGATCGTCGCCGCCCGGTGTGTGTTTGAGTGCATTGTGTGTGGGGGCGTGGGGTGGGGTGCACGCACTGCGGTGTGGTGCGGTGCGGCCGTGGCTTCATTCAAAGGACAGCCCCGCTGATAACATTATGCGTCCTGGAATGGCACGGCACGGCGTGGCACGGCACGGCGTGGCGCGGCACGGCACAGCGTGATAGCGCCACGCTCGACGCGACCCCTCCCTCCCAGCCCGATGCCGCGACACTTGCACACTTGCGACTCTTGGACGACGCGCCGAGCGACAGGACACTGGGACGGGCGGACGCGCCCGGCGCGGGGGTCACGGGGTCGTGCGTGGAGAGGCGGGGGAGGGGGAGGGGTGCGCGGAACGACTTTCTAAGCGACCCCCGACACCTTCCGCCTCGCTCACACACACACACACACACACACACACACACACACACAGAGAGAGAGACGAGCGGGCCGAGGCCCTTCTCGCCTGAAACAAAAGGAAAGTTGTTTGAAGAGCGTTAGGGCCGTGGGGCCGCGCCCGGGCCGAGGGGGCAGCCCTGCGGCCCTGCACTGCCAACTTGGATCATTTCCTCGTGAGGGGGCGGCCAGGCCAAGGCGGCCCGAGCACGTCGCCCTGACGGCCCGGTTGCCTGGCCTCCCGCGGACTGAGTGGGAGGCCTCTCTCTCTCTCTCTCGCACTCATGGGGCGGCCCTTGGGGTGCGAGAGAGGCGGGCCGGCGGAAGCACGGTTCGGAATCCCTCCGCCTCGCGACGCGGGAGACGCGGGGGAAGGGCGTGGCGTGCGCGGAACGGGCGTCGGCGGCGTCGGGCCAACATTTATGTAGTTTGCTTTGTGGCTCGAGTTAAACCGCCATCAGCGAGTCAAACCGCCGCCGCCGCCGCCGCCCCTTTCCCTGACGGCGCCGCGGCACGCACGCCGCCGCCTCTCGACGCCAATGGGGCGCCACGCCACTGCCACGCCACTGCAAGCGCGGCGAGCGCCGTCCGGGCCGGACCGCGGCGAATCGACGAGGTTTATTACCAGGGGATTGGGGATTACCGTCAGTAACGAGCTTATCTCGGGCCGGGGGCTGCACGCCGCGCTAGCCCACCCCGCCCTGCCCTGCAGCGGCCACCGTCAGCCATGACGAGAAGGGGGGGGGAGATGAATTATACTTTGGCCGGCGTTCCACTGGCGTCGAGTGTGTAGGTGTGCTGCTGACAGGTGCTAATGCTCGGCCAGCCCCCCCCCCCCCCGCCCTCTCTCACTGACACACACGCACACACACACACACACACAAGCAAGCAAGTGCTGGAAGTAGGTGACGATACACTCGGCCCATTTTATTTTAGCGTGTGTAGTCAGGTCGGTGTCATGCCCGGACAAGCTCTCGCACACGAGCATCGCGAGCCACGCTTGCCTCCACGTTTCTGGCCTGCTTGGTCTGATTCTCAGTTTTGCCTACGTACAGGGGTGAAGTGTGGCTTGTACGCACCTTTCAGGTGGTTTATGTAGGTACCATGAGATGGGACACACACACACACACACACTCTCCTTTGCATCCTCGCCTGCTGCTTGGCCCGCTTGTGCCGCTGGTCCGCTTGGCCGGGGCCGTGAAATAATTGCGTGGCGGTCTGGGGGGCGGCCAATCTGGGCTGTGTGCGGTACGGCGGTTCGGCGGCCCGGCGGGTTGCGGGTCCCCGTCGGGGGCAGGGCAGGCAGGGTAAGGCCGGGCCGGGCCGGGCGCTGCAGCCTGCTAAGTGGGCGAAGGCGTAACTCAGGCATGAGACCGGGCAGCGCCGAGACACGCCGGCATCCCAGACCTTGCGGCCCGCGTGGCTGTCCGTGCCCGCCGGGGAAAAGCGGCCTGGAGCCCTGGGGCTTTCGGTGGGGGGTTTTTCCGGCAGCGGTTGCTGAAATCCCCCCCCCCCCGGGCCCTCGCCTCTAATGCCAACGCCCCGCCGCAGCGCCGGGGCAGCGGGCAGTTCCCGGGATTTCCCGGCCCCCCCGTGGATTCCGGGCCGGAGCAGCTCGGAGCCTGAGCTTTCGATCGGGGTGTTTCCGATTCCTCAAAATCGCGCCTCCCAAGCCCCTTTTCGCCATTTTCAAGCACGCCGCAGGGGCACGGGGATTGCCGGTTTGAAATTTGGGGCTCATCAAAGCCCGCTGGAACGGGGGAGCACCCCGGTGACCTGAGTGTCCCTTTTACGGGTATACGCGATTTCGTATGTTTTCGCCCATTCTAAAAGCGCATTTTTTAAAAACGCGTTTGTAAAAAACGCAAGGGCGATGCACGGCGTATGCCGGATTTTGTGGTAGCTTTGAATACACCCCCTCGGCGGAAACCAAAACTAACGCTTGTTGTTGTTGTTGCAGTCCGGCGAGCGCATCGTGTGGGAGAGCCACCACGTGACGCTGACCAGGGTGCCGGGCTACGGCTTCGGCATCGCCGTGTCGGGCGGCAAGGACAACCCGCACTTCACCAGCGGCGACCCCGCCATCGCCATCTCGGACGTCCTCAAGGCCGGCCCCGCCGAGGGCAAGCTGCAGTAAGTACTCCACCGCCTTCGGGGCCTTCGGGGCCTTCGGGAAGCGTGCAGGAGCCCCCTTTCCCTCCTACACCTGAGTGCACGAGGACGAAGCGCCTTGCACTTTTGGCGGAACACTCGGTGCCAGTGCAGGCGCGACGCGAGGATGCCGGGGAGGCGGCACGTGTGGCGCGTGCGAGGGCGCGTGCCATTACAGTGTAATGACCTGTCCGAAAACTGCACGTGGCGCCCCGTCCTGTCCGCCCGTCCGCCGGCCGTTACTTATTCAGGACCGCATCAAGCCGGACGGACAGACAGACAGACAGGACCGGCTTTAATAATTGGCCAGCGCTGCCGTTTGAAGGGCTGCCCGACTTGCTATTCGTATTCCTGAATTTGAGGAGCAGTGCCCTTCAAGGGCCTCTAGGCTGGCGGCCGAGAAGCGCTTGCAGCCCAGAAGCCCCGCCACGCCCCGCCCCGCCCAGCTCGCCCCCCGCGGCGCCGTGGCGCGCCACCCGGCCGCGGGGATTAGCGAATACGGTCACAACAGACGGTTTAGAAGTTTGGTAATACCGAGGCCAACTCCGGCAACTACCCCGCTGCGCCACGCCGCGCCCCGCCACGCCCCGCCACGCCCCGCCACGCCCCGCCACGCCCCCCGCGGCCCTTAATTCAGTTTGTGTTGGCCAAACACTTTGGCCGAAAGCTCGGTGCAGCCCGCCGCGCGCCGCGCCAGTGCGGACCACGGCTACAGCGCCACAGCCCGGGCTGCGCGCTACGCCACACGCTATACGGCCCCAAGCACGGCGTGGCCCCGCCCTCGGACGGTCGCCAACCTGTCACCTCACTCCGAAGGATCGTTTCTTCGCTCTGTCTCTCTCGCACTCATGGAACGAGGCAGCTGCACTGCCAGGGCACTGCCGCCGTGCATGCGAGTGTCGCTGTGAGTTCAAGTTTGCGAGGCCTTAATTCTTTCAGCACTCGAACCGGCCGCCGCCCCCTCTGCTCATTCCAGTCGCTCGGTTTGGCTCGGTTCGGCTCGGTTCGGTTCGGTTCGTTCCCAGGGCGAGGCCTTTGCCCGCGAGATTGGAAATGGCAAGTTACGGTCTTTGTCGATGGCCGACTGGCTGCGGCGGGGCGGGGCGGGACCAGCTAAATGAACTCCGCGCCGATGGGTCTGCTCCGCTCCGCAGGGCCCGGCGAGGCGAACCGCCACGCCAGCCGCCGCCAGGACCACGCTGTCCACGCCGTCCATGTTGATGTGGCGGCCGAGCCGAGTCCTGCCTGCTGCCCTGCCACACTGGAGGCGGCGGCATTTCCCTTGCAGATGCTGAACAACCTCCGTGTCGGTTGACTGCTGACGCTGCCGACGCGGCCGGCTTCTCGGTGCTGCAGCGCGCACGGGGACCGATTCCTCCCCCTCTCATTCTCACGCCTTTTAGCAGTGCCGCTGTCCAGCGAACGGATCAGGTGGATCAGGCCGTCGCCGCCTTCTTCGTTAGAAGCTGTGGGAAGGCGCTAAGCGTTCGCTAAGCCTTCAGAGTACGCGCTTTCAGCGTGGGTCTGCGGGTTCCTGGCGCCTCGACGCCGAGAGCTAGCCGGCAGAGTGTCTCCTCGAGGCGCTCATGGCGGTGCCAGAGAGACAGCGACGAAAACGACTCTCGGAGTGAGTCTACTGCAGGTTCTTGGCGGGCCGCGTGGGCGTGGCGGGCCCTGGGCCACTGGCGCCACCACTGGCCAATGCCAGACAGGTCACTGCAAAGCACTGCAAAGGTCTGGGGCGTCTCGTCTCGTCTCGCCTAATTTAATTTGCCGGCCCCTGGCAGCCCTGTGTAGGGCCTGCAGGGCCTGTGGGGCCCAACCCGCCTGATCCCTGCGGGGCTGAGACGGGCTTTGGGCCTCCCCTCCCCCCCCCCTCCTGCCCCGCCGTGAGTGAGTGGCCGAATAGGCCAGGAAAATGGAACAATGTCACGCGCTTGCCGACAGGGACGCCCTCGCCCTGTCGCCCTGTTTGCCTGTTTGCCGTCGTCGGGAGTGCGGCAGTCCAGCCGACTCATGCCGAACGGCGCTGACGTCGCTCTGTCTCTGTCGCACTCGCGGGGTCGCCCACGCCGTGAGGTGCGGTGCGAGAGAGACAGAGTGACGAATCAGCCTGCAGTCCCGCTCTTTGCTCTGGCCGCAGTTTGGCGGAGAGCGAATCTGGCCGGTGGGGCGGGGCGGTGTGGAGCGTGGAGCCAGTGGTCAGTCCGTCCGGCGGGAAGGGAAGGGAAGGGTAGATGGAAAGAGGGGTGGAAGGGGTCGTCGTCGTACTGTATTCAGTTAATTCGCTGTCGTGCTCGCTGTCCCCGTCTGGTTAATTGGAGCCGGATCAACGAGCAATGGGGACCCACGAGCGGACAGACGGACGGACAGACAGGCAGACAGACCGACTGGGTCGCGGTTTCCTTCCTCCTTTGGCGAGACCGAGACTGCAGCAAGGACGGAGACGTGACCCACGCCAGGCACCACGGGTGCGCGGTCTCGGGGCGGGGCGTTTCGAGCCAGCTGGTCGCGAAGCCTCTCGTCGTGGAGGTGCGGACGGCGCCAGGGCGGCGCCAGGGCGGCGACAGGGTGGCCCCGCGGTCCCGGGGGCGGGGCGTGTTGTTGTGGCCGCTGAGGGTGCTGGCTGGCCCGGCCAAGGCCTGGCCGTGGCGTCGCTGGCCGTGGCCATGACGGCCGTCACGGTGCGTTTGCGGCGTTGCGGCGCCCTCAGGTGGCTTTACGGGCGGGGCCTGGCCGGCCAGCCTGCAGGCTGCTTCCGAACTCTGCCTCTCTCTCCCTCGCGAAACGTTGCCTGAGAGCGAGCGAGACAGGGCGGGTCGCACGCGTTGCTGTGCGGAATGGACGGAATGGACCTGCTGGCCGGGCCGCCGCAGTGCTTCGCAGTGCCGCAGGCCCGGCCGGCACTTAGCGCGGCGGCCCCGGTGAGGGAAGGACCGGGCCGGACCGGGCCGTTGGTGCCGCCCAGGCCGTCAACGTGTCAAGGCCGTCAAGGCCGGGCCGCAGGTGGCGTCCCGTCCCCGCGGTCCCCGGCGTCCACCCCACACCCATCCCCCTGGCCGCCCCTGCTGCCGCCGCTGCTTTGGTTCGAGTCGGCTCTTTGCGTTCGCCGGCCGGGGGATTATTCCATTATTCGCCGGCGTCCCGAGCCCCGCTCGGCTTCCTGGACGTCCTGGACGGCGCGGGGCACTACACTGCAGCAGCCTGACAAGCCCATTACCCATTGTGTTCCGTGCCGTCCTGGCCCTGCGCGCTGCGCACTGATTCCGAGCGTCGTTTTCGTCGCCCTGTCGCTTTCGCACTGGGGCCTCCCGTGCAGGTGCGAGAGAGACAGTGTGTCCCGTGCGCCGTGATTGGGGATGCCGAGTCCGGAGGCCGGCCGCCGCCCTGGGCCGTGGGGCCACTGTAAGGGCCACTGGCACGCTGGCACCGCGGGGACCTCGGCGGGGACCTCGGCGTGACACCGGCCGGCCAGCCCCGCGGCCAGCCCCACCGCACCGCGCCCCAAAGGGCCCCGCCGAGGGCTCGCCGAGGGCCGCCGTGGGCTGCATTGGCCGGTAACGCTGAAATATGGACCCCTTTTACCGGCGTGCCACTCAGAGCCGCCATGAGGGGAGTATGAGGGGTGGGCAGGGTAGGGGTAGGGGGGTGTCGCGTACCGCTCTGTCTGCGTCTGTGTGTGTTGGTGTGTGAGTGAGTTCGGGAGGACAGGTCCGGGGGGACGGCGCGGAGGGAAAGGGGGAGGGGCTCGTAAAATCTATCAGGAACGCCATTGCGGCGAGAGGGGCAGCACTTAGCCCCGGCGACGACAGGGCACCCCCTCTGCCCCTCGCCTCCCGCCTGCTCCCGCCCCTGCCGCGCGGTCGGTTTGGTATGTCGCGCGCACTCGCCTCAATTTTATTTTATTTTTATTTTTGTGAGTATTTTCATTTTGACCCTCTAAAGGGCACACGGCCGTAAATCGCATCCATAAAGTGTGAGAGGCGAGTCGAACCTGTATACACACACACACACACACACACACACTCACATACATGCGCACTCACACATACACACCTCACACACACGCCACGGTACGCTGGTCCGATGGTCCGAGCCTCGCTGGGGGAGGGAGGACCACGGACCGTGGAGGACGTCGAGGACGACAATGCTGTTGTTTCGCGAATCGAGGACAGAATCGAGTTACTTAGAGCACCGGGCGGCGCGAGGGGCGGCGGGCGGCCGGTCCCAGACCGTCTGGTCGCTCTGGTGGGTCTGGTCGTCCGCCTCCATCGAGCGTGCACTGTGCACTCAATTCCAGTCCACTTCCGGCGCCGTGCCCGCCCATGGCCCCGCCGCGCCAGCGCTTCCTGTCTTTCTGTCTTCCTGCCTTCCGGTCGCTTCCCTCCCCCCGGAGAAGACAACCCCCTGCCCCTCTTCCGGAGCTTTGCCGCGGACGGAATCTCACCAAATCCCTTCTAAATTTGAAGTCATCTTTTCTCTTTCCGTTTCCTTTCGGGTTCCCCAGGTGGAAGGGACCGGGCTGGGCCCTCTTTACGTGGCAGCGCCGCCCCCAATCGGGCGACACACACTCACACACCACACACACACACACACACACACACACTCACACTGCGCTGCGTCTGAGCCCACCCCCCAGTCACCCCCGGCCCAGCATTTGCCGGGGCGCTCTTATTGAAAAATAACAGGGGCCGGGGGGCTTTATCCAGCAGCTCGATATTTCCCAGGTGTGGTTGTATCTAATTTGTCGGTGGCTGACTTCGCCCTCGCCTTCGCCCCTCCGCCTCCGGGTCCCTGGCCGCGAGTTGTGAGGTGAGGTGAGGTGAGGGGTCTGCCCGGTCCGGCATTTTCTACATGCGTGTTTGTTCCCCTCTGCCCCCAGGGTCAACGACCGCATCGTGAGCGCCAATGGCGTGTCCCTGGAGAACGTGGACTACGCGACGGCCGTGCAGGTGCTGCGCGACTCGGGCAACACGGCGCTGCTGGTGGTGCGACGGCGCATCGTGCTGCCCGCCTCCCCCGAGCCCCACACGCTCAAGGTGCAGCTGCAGCGCAACAAGAAGAAGGACGGTACGTTCGGCCTGCTCTGCCTGCCTCGTCGCTCTGTCTCTGTCGCACTCGTCTCTGTTAGGGTGCGAGAGAGACAGCGACGAGCCGTCCGGCATGCTTGGGTTTGTCTGATTTGGGCGTGTTGCTGCCCCGCCGCAGACTTCGGCATCGTGCTGGGCTGCAAGATCTACGTCCGGGAGGTGCTGCACCGGGACAAGGACGGCCTGGCCGGCGCCGGCCCGGGCAACTCGCTGCAGGAGGGCGACGTGCTGCTCAAGATCAACAACCACTCCGCGGACGGGCTGTCCCTCAAGGAGGCGCGCAAGCTGATGGACGCCTCCAAGGAGAAGCTGAGCCTGCTGGTGCGGAGGGAGGCCCGGAGCACCTCGTCGCAGCAGTCCTCCAACGGCAACCTCTACGGCGGGCCCTCCTCCCACAACAACTCCAGCCTGCAAAGCAAGGGTGGGTACAATGGGAGTTGGGACCGTGTCACAGTGGGCCAGAAGACCGGTGGAGGCGGCCGAAATTCTAGACGCGTTTTGAGCTCCAGAGTCGCTAAATGGTACTCGAACTGAACGTGTGACCCCACCAATGGATTGCTCTCCGAACGAGGAATCTATTGGTGGGGTCACACGTGTGGTTCGAGTCCTGGTTAGCAACTGTGGAAGTCAAAACGCGTGTAGAGTTTGGGCCGCCTCCACCGGTCTTCTAGCAAATCCACTGTGCGGTGGCTAGCTCTTCTGTCTTCCCCTTCCCCGTGGTGACGTTGATCCTGCTCCGCAGACGGCAACCTCCTGGACTCGCTGGCCGGCGGCACCAACTACTCGTCCCAGAACCTGTACGTGCAGCCGCCCACGCGCGGCGCCATGGCGGCCATGGCGGCCATGCACCCGCACCAGAGCTCGCTGCTGGACGACAAGAGCAACCTGCTGCCGCGCGGCCGCAGCCGGGTGCCGCTGCCCGACCACGTGTCGCTGAGCCAGCTGGACCGGCCGTCGACGCCCTCGGGGGCGGGGGCGGCCGCGGGGCCCTCGGTGGGCTCCAACGCCACCGGCGCCAACCACAACCACTCGCGCAGCCGCAGCGGCATCGACGACGCGGACGGACTGTCGCCGCCGAGGCCGCCGCCGCCGCGGCCGGAGGGCGAGGCGTACGGTGAGGCCCCACACTACAAAGCACCGAGTCCGAAGAGCCGTCTCGTCGCTCTGTCTCTCTCGCGCCCAGTGGCGGATCCAGAGTCGGTCTGAGGGAGAGGCAAAGTATGCCCTTTTGTCCAGTTAAAGGGACGAAGTGTGGCTCTTTGCCTACCTTTCAGGCTGCTATCTAGGGGCCAGTAGGGACCCATTGTCCTTTTGCCCCCCTTGCTGGATCCGGGCCTGCTCGCACCCCATGAGCCTGCCAGTGACTGAGACTGAAGCGTTGTCCTTCCGCCCTGCGCAGACTTCTACAGCAGCAGGCGGCAGCTGTACGAGGAGGACCCGCTGCTGCAGCGGAAGCAGCAGCAGCAGCAGCCCATGCCGGACCCGCGCTTCGTCACGTTCCAGAAGGAGGGCTCGGTGGGCATCAGGCTGACGGGCGGCAACGAGGTGGGCGTGTTCGTGACGGCGGTGCAGCCCGGCAGCCCCGCCTCGCTGCAGGGCCTGCAGCCCGGCGACAAGATTCTTAAGGTGCGTATGGTCGTGTCATGTCGAGAATCTTCGCCCTTCACCTTTACTCTTCACAGGTAGGACCAGTTCTCCACCTCACTCCTGCCCGTGTATGTGTAAAGTGTGAAGGATGAAATGTAAAGTGCGAACTCTTACCTTGATTCAGCCAAAATTTTGACAAAAGATGTCATTTTGACGGACATGTCTTTTCTTTCAGGTGAATGATATGGACATGAAAGGCGTGACACGGGAGGAAGCTGTTCTATTCCTTCTAAGTTTACAAGACCAAATTGACTTAATAGTGCAGCATCGTAAGGATGAATATGACACTATAGTTGCTGGTCAACGTGGGGATTCCTTCCATATCAAGTAAGTTGTTAATGCCCGCAATGGAAATAAATGGAAAGGTGTTTTTAATTATCTGGACGTGTATCGTGGGTATCTATTGTTTTGTTGCTATCAACAACCTAATTTTTACTTGTTACAGGGCCCATTTTAATTATGACCAACCCAATAAAGGTGAAATGAGTTTTAGGAAAGGTGATGTTTTCCATGTAGTGGATACCCTCCACAATGGAGTTGTTGGCTCTTGGCAAGTCTTCAGGATAGGTGATTATTCGGATTTGTTTCCTTCCTCATGATGTAACTTTCACCATATGATGTACCAATTTTGAGTTTTTGTTTCTTTCCTCTCCATTTCAGGACGAAATAATACGGAGGTCCAGAAAGGTATAATACCAAACAAAGCCAGAGCTGAAGAGTTAGCTACAGCTCAGTTTAATGCTAGTAAAAAGGAACAATCCACTTCAGAAAGTAGAGGCAGTTTCTTCCGTAGAAGAAGGAACAGTCATCGTAGATCTAAATCTCTAGGCCGCGTAAGGACATTTTTTGAGTTTAGTTGCACTTCATTCTCAGTTCCAGAGTTAGTGTTAATACTTTTGGTGTTGCATTTTCAGGATCACTGGGATGATGTGGTCTTTGCAGACAGTATTAGCAAATTTCCTGCATACGAAAGAGTTGTCTTACGCCATCCAGGTTTTGTTAGACCTGTTGTTTTATTTGGACCTGTCGCAGACATTGCCCGAGACAAGATGCTTAGAGATTTCCCTGATAAATTCTCTTCTCCACGTATGTATCATTTCTGTTTTGATTTGTTTATCTCACAATAATAAAATACTGATGGTCATTCAGATATTAATTCTGTGGTCTATGCCCTTTTCTTTTGTAGAATTAGAAAATGGGTCATCTGATGTTCCTAAGAGTCAAAAGGCTTCTGGGATCATTCGGTTAAGTGCTATCCGAGACATTATGGACAGAGGAAAGCATGCTCTTTTGGATATCACTCCAAATGCAGTTGACCGGTTAAACTATGCTCAATTCTATCCAATAGTTATATTTTTAAGAGCAGAATCCAAGCAAACTATCAAAGAGGTTCGAGCTGGTGCTGGCTTATCCAAGTAAGTTGCTTTCCTCATGCTTCATTTTATTTACTTTTTTTTGTACCGGTGAAGTTGCAAGATGCTGTAGATTAAATTTTCTTCTTTCCTAACTTCTCTTGTAATTTGGAACACAAATCATGTTTACTTTGTGATGAGTTCCATTAAGAAATTATTATGGCTAGCTTTCACATATGGCTTAGTTTGCTTACATGTGTCTAACTTTTCTCATAAACAGATTAAAGAAAGCAAAATTATTAGCTTTTCAGTCTTTCCTTGCATTTTTTATCAATTGAGATTTTGTCATCAAAACTAGTTTTCATTCAATACGTGTGTAAATTATGAAAGAAAGAAAAACTTCGTTGTTCTACCTTTATTTTGCACTGCTTCTATAACTTGCACTTCTTTCAGTAAATTGCACCTAATCCAAAACGATGTGGAGTTAAGGCACATAATGTAAGGAGGGGAAAGGGAGGGTGTATTGCTGTTTGGAGTAGGTAGTACAATCTTGTAGTGCTTATATTCATAAGAGAAACATTTTCTTGTGTGGGTAGCTTGTTTTTAGTTTAATAAGGGTGGTTGGTGTTCTTGTGTGTTTTAATTTTCTCTCTTTTATTGTCAAATTGTAAATTTGGTATTTTTCTTTTTGTGCAAGCACCATGTTGGATATCCTACCATGGTGAGTATCATGATTCAGGCATAGGATGCAACACGGGTTTGGGTTTTGGTGGTTTGGGAAAGCTAATGAATGAATGCTCTTGCTACAGCTAGCTTTTTTCATTTCCTTTTGACTTAATTTTTTTTTTTTAATTTTGCAGTTTTTGTGTGAAGAATGAAGGGCTTTGTGATCTATGCCTTTTCCAAAATGGGTGTTCCAGCAATACTAACATGGCAAATGAGGGCAATCTTCGCTATATTTCTCTCAGGAGGGTGGGATAACCAAAAGAAAGCAGATATGGGTCCTATATCACTTTTCAGTAATGCAATGCATGGTGGAACTGTCCTCTGTCTTCTTCATCCATAACTGTGTGGTCCTGGGTGAAGCACATTGTTTTTTGGTTTGTTTTTGTTTTTCAAATTTTTGTGTAACATGTCATGAAACAGCAGGAGAATCTGACAAAGGCCAGACATTTTCAGTCTTCTGACCTGCATTTTTATCTGTTTTGCATGTCCAATTTGCATATCACCTGGAAAGCAGCATGCAGAGTTTAATGTGTTATATTTTGATGTAATGACTTTGATTGACCTGTGGCGTTCGGCAACTCTGGGGAGAAGTTTGCTTAAAACATCTTTGACCTTTTTTTTATTATTAGAGTTTATGAAACACTTTTGTGATCTCTGTACAGTTGTCTTCTATTTGGAGTCAAGTGTACTGTAAAACAATGATTGTAAACTTGAAAATTATCACCTGGCGTTTTTCATTTTCCAGGACTGCCCATAAGAGCAGCAAAAAACTGTTAGAACAGTGCCAAAAGCTTGAGAAAGTATGGGGACATGTGTTTTCAAGCTCAGTTACCCTCTCATCACCTGAGTCATGGTATAGAAAAGTGCGTGAGTTGGTTGACAAACAGCAGCAAACACCTGTCTGGATGAGTGAAAGCAAGGTAAAAGACATTGCATGTCAGTTTTGTATTCTTAAGTTCATCTTGTTATTTTAACTGTGTTTGGTTGACTTGAAAGAACAACTATGCTTGTATTCCATGACTTTTCAATGCGTAAAAGCCTCCCTAAAATTGGTCCTATTAAATATACTGAAGCATTCGGACTTTTGTATTGCTAGAAACTGGATTCCTAGTGGTGGTGGTGGGTGGTGATGGCCCTTGCATGGTAAATCTCATGTAGTGAACTGGTTTGTGGGTCTTCTCTGGTTCATTTCATGTTCCTTCCCTAGACTCTTTCCAAAGTCTTGGACATTTTTAATGGGGGAATGACAAACGTAGAATATGTTGAGATTTTTAATTGCTGCAGTACTTCGCTGTCCCCATCGATTCAATTAAGTCCTCTAATAGAGTATTTCTTCCTTCACCATTTTCACTTCTGCATTTCGATCTCATGGACTCAACTTGACCAGTATTTCTCTGCCTCTTATGTCCACAGTCTCTGGAACTCTTCTCGGACCTTTACTTCCTGCCTCCCTCTCTGTCCCCAAACCACCAGTCTCCCTTCCCTCACTCCTACTCCATGGTGCTTCCTCAATCCAGCTCTTCCTCTTCTCAAGCCTATAATTCTCTTCCTCATTACCACTCCTCTGCCGCCTCCTCTGCCCTGCGGCGCAACCATTCCGTTCACGTCTCATGCAGAGCCAATAGCGGTTACAGTGTCGGCTCCTATGAGGTGTGCGTGTCACCTGCTCAGCTGCAAGGCACCACATACCTTCCTGTCATTACCGAACAGTTCTTCGGCTATGTATGATTCCTTTTCTTTCATTCAAATTGTAATCATGCCTTGCTCAAAAAAAAAAAAGTTTTTTTGCTCCCACCTGCACTTGCTCATTTTGTGCTTTTTTTAAAGCATGTTCTAAATGGAACTCATTGCTGCTGGCTCTGTGCATGGCAAATCTTCTGTTTATTTTTGTTTTCTCAGTGATGACATCATATGTGTGTGTTGTGTTTGTTTGATATTTTATTTTATTTTCTGAAAGAAATACTCCAGCTGTTGTTGATAGATTTCCCTTTTTCCTGATAAGTTTCAACAACCTCTACTATCACACTCTCATCAGACATTTTATTCATTTTACTATCTTTGCTGCAAAACTAATTTTAACTCTTCCTCCCTTAAACCCATCTTCTTGCTGCTATGATATTTTTTGTGTTGAAGCACGCGGATTTGGAGAAAAGCTTGGGTGTGCATGTGACTATTGATTAAATGTTTGTGTGTTTCTCCATTTTCATGCAAGTTTTATCAACTTTGTAACTGTAGAGAAAAGTGTCACAGAATTTACTTTCCATCTAACACAACTCATTCAAGGCCCTTACTTTCTATGGAGTTGTCTTCGTTTATTGCTTGTCTTCACAAGCCAAATAAAGCCTTAATTTTTTGTACTGCATGTATATTGGTTAGTAGATGCAGAATCATAATTTGAAAAATGTGTTGCTTTTGTTCATTGATGCATTGTTTGAGCTTGTGTTAAAAGCATGACTGCCTGCTTTTTTAATTTCAATGACGCACTTAAATTTTTTTTTGTAGAAAAATTAATAATATAGGCATAATCTGTATGTGTTGATTTGTGCTCAGTTTCCTCTAATTTTTGTTGTTATTGTTCTTTAATTTTTGTGTTGTTTTGTTTTTTACTTGTTGCGTGTTCTTTTATTTGTCGGTAATGACACGGCTTAATATCATGTCCTGCAGCCTGACGAGGCTCTCTCAGATGATTTCCTCTTCCCAATGACGTCCCGCCTCTCCTATGCCTCTTCCCCGGAGTCTGATTTGGACCTGAGTCCAGAGCCACGGCCACACAACCACAACAATAGTGGTCTGTCTTCCGGAGGGCTCAACTCATCTCGCTTAGTCAAGAGCTCCAGTGACCCCAGCATTGCTACTGTGGAAGATGGAGCTCCGGGATACACCGCACCTCCTCCCTACTCACCTGCTAATTCATACAACAAACAAGTAAGTTCTGCTTTCTTTTCATTCTTTTGGCTCTTCCTAGGAAGGGACTTAAAAATGATGACATGTTGCTTTGCAGCCAAACTATGAGAGTAGAAATGGTGTTGGGCTTGGTTCTCCCAACGAGCACAGTCCTCGTAGAGGTGTCAATGGCATGGAGGGTAAATATGGCTTCACTCCTTCTTCGCCACTTGAAGCCATGTCTCCAACATCTGCCCCTGCACCTACATCCCCTACCGTTCATCTGAACTACCCCCCTCATCAGCACAACTCGCACCCTCACTTGCATGGGCATTCCCATCCCCATTCACGCAGCACAAATATGGCTAGATCTCCTCTTGCACACTCACCCCCTCTTCAGGTGAGTCATCAGGGCCGTTGGTGTGGCCTCAACATGAAACAATGTCCCTGCAGGCTCTAAGTTTTGTTCTTTTTGTATTCTTCTAGAATTCCAATGGACCCCCTGAACTTCCTCCAAGAATTGATCGTAACATCAAGCCTCCTCGAGTTGGTCTGACACGTAGTGCCACAGATCGCCTGTACCCCAGTAAGGAAATGGAACCTGCAACCAATGGTACCACAAATGGCAGCCCTCCCTCTCCTGTTGATCCCCCCAACTATATCAATGCAACTCCACACCACCTTCGCACAAGTGGGCCCAACTCCTCCTTAGATAGGCATATAGTGAAGACAGTACGTAGTCTCTCATACAATGGCTTGCAAATGATCTTCACTTATTTTGTTCTATCACTGACAATATTTCTTCTCTTTACAGAGCAGTTATGATAGTGTGTCATCATATGATTCATACAATAATAGGGTTACTTTGGGTCAGAATTCACATGATGACTTGAAACAGTGTAATGGTGGACCAGCATCACCACGAAATCATGACCCCTACAGGTTTACACGGTCTACCGCTCAACCAATTGGTAGCCGTCAGAACTCTGTAGATCCTCCAAAGGCCAATAAACCACCAGATTACAGCAAATATCGGTAAGATGCATTCCTTTTTTTAAAAAAGTTAAAAAATTGGAAATTTATTGTTCAGTTTTTTCAGCTATTCTCTTTGGTGGTTCTAGCTTTCCTTCCAAAAGCCTGGAAGCACTTGGTACCGTCTCAAATCTTACCACTGTACCCTTTTACTTAAGAACCTCCCAGGTCTACATTTCCTCTAGGAATACATTTGTTTAGTACTTCTCAATAGATGAGGATATAGAGGTCCATTAATATCATTTTTTCCCTAGAGTCAAATAGTTTTAAATCCTACTTCTATTCTTTTCTACCTCTCTTTTTTTTCAATTGTTCTGAGTTCTTTCCTGTAGTGGCATCCTGCTAAAATCCAACCCTGTTCCTTGCTTTCCTTACAGGCCAGGAGAGTACAACCATAACAAACCCCTTCCACCACCAAAGACCACTTCATATAAACCAATCCCTCCCCCAAAACCCAAGAATTATCGTCTACCTTCAAATGGACAATCAGATCATCAACCAAACCTACAAACCCAATGGAGAAACCCAGCCAATGGAGGGGAGCAAACGTATGGCACCAATGAAAATACCCCCCAGCGCCCCAATAAATTGAACTTAGGAATGGAGAATGGAATCAGTTCACCACTCCATCACTCAAACAACTCGATTTACCAACATTCAAAGTCCTTCTCCTTGGCGGGAGGGATGGAGTCCCATCATAATGGGGTATGTTGATGATGCTGACATATGGTTCATATTTTTTTGTTTTGGTGAATCAAGAAGTGTGATTGTGTTCTTTTTCAGATAATTGGGTCACCTGGAAAATTTACAATGGATCAGGAAAATAACAACTATACACCTAACCATAATAATAATAATAATCATTCAGATCATAATGGTGGTTTTGATTCCGGTCATGGAAGTAGTCTTGACCGAAATTATGATAGGTCTGGTCCTCAGTATTATTACAATATGCCTCCTCCACCTGCAAGGCCCGGTCCTGGGCACCACAATAGGGAACCAAGTGGCTTGGATCTGGCAAACCGGGAACAGCGGGGCTCTGCCTTTGAACTATATAAGAAGCCATCAGATCCTCGGTATCACTATATGGAGCACAGCATCAGGTAAGCACATTATTCCCACCCATCCTCATCTCAAATTAACTTTTTGGTGTTTGGCTTGTTCACTCTTTCAGTGTGTTCTTTCAATTTTGGTTAATAAGTACCTTCCTGCACTCAAACTTTAATGTCAAAATTTTATCCACAATTTTAATTTATTTTTCACTTTTTTTCGTACAAAATATTTGTTTAAAAAAGTCCAGTCTGTTGTGCTTTTGTCATTGTGCTTTGTCATCATCAATTAACTCTGTGCCTTTCAGAGCAAAGGATAATTTCATTTCTTCCATCCACCATCATTTATCAGTCATCATTTTACTAATAAAAAAAAACAAAAAAACAGCAGTTTGTTGCTATTATGTGGATGCGCTCTCTTTCAAGAGAAATAGAGATTTTGAAACAAATGTGTGGTGCTTGCATGGTTGCTTTGAGGCTTTGGATTCAGAGAGGGCAATAAAAAAGTTGTTCCCTTAACAATTCAATTTTCCTCTGCGTTCAGCATGGTCTGATCCTGATGTGTATTCTGAAGGTTTTTCTCAGAATGCTTTCTGCAATTTTACTGATCATTGCACATCCAGTCATTACATAACTCCCTGACTTTCTTCTTCCTGAGAAACTGAAGGAAAAGTAAATCTATATTTCCATCTAAATTTCAATCATAAAAACAATCTTACATTAATTGTTCTGTATGTTTTATCCAAAATTATTTACTGCTCACCCACAAAATTGTAAAATTACCTTCATAAAAAGGAAAATCCTCAGTGGGGCTGCTAAAAAAAATAGGGGAATGATTTCTAAAGCAAGATGTTTCAAGCTATACTATTCTAGGGCTCTTCTGTTTGTGTTCTGTCGGTGAATGTGATTGATCTGTGAGGCAAGCCACTTACTAACCCTTCTGCGGATGCATTATTTCTTTGGCAGTAATGGAAGGCACTGCGATGTCGATGAGGATAGTCTCTACAGTAACACGGCAGGCTGGGGCAATGGCACTGGGAGTGGTGCAGGTGGCTCGATAAACAGCTCGAATGTGAATGCACAAAAGTCTGAGGTGGTGGCAACTGCCCGGGGCGTTTTCTCTGCCAAGGGTGGTGTCCTTGAGAATCCAGAAACGGGAGTGTCTATCGTGATCCCTCCCGGTGCCTTGCCACCTGACTCCGAGCAGGAAATCTACTTCAAGGTCTGTCGAGATAGCGGCGGCTCGTTAGTGCCCCCTTTGGACAAGGAGAGAGGTTAGTCATAAGTTCATTCTTCATTCATCTCATCTTGACTCTTTGACATGTTCATCGCACAGCCTCACAGCTCTCCATCTTCATTTATATCTTGTACCTTCCATGGAACTGTGCCGAGCATGTGAACGTATCCATATCATTCTCAGACGCACAGTGAATGATCTTGCTCTTTTGTGCCTTGTGTGTTCCTAACACCTTTTCCGGATTGCATTGACCTCTTGCTCTATTGTCTTATCCATTCTTTCTGATAAGTGGCTCTTAAATCTTACCTAATTGTATTCAACTACAAGCGGAGTTATCTTGTGTTCTTAAATGGGCTAATCTGCTTTGTCCTCCCTCTTTCTTTTACAAAAATCTTGTCTGCATTTATTTGTATTGATCTAATGGTGTATTTTTGCTGTCATCAGGTGAGACGTTGCTGAGTCCATTGGTCATGTGTGGTCCCAATGGACTCAAGTTCAATGTTCCAGTTGAACTTCGATTGCCCCACACAGCAGCTCCCAGTAAAGATAATTCCTGGGGAGTCGCTCTCAAATCCACTGAGGTGGGGAACAAAACCACACCTACCAAATGGCATCAGATGTCATTAGGGAATGAGAATCTTCATGGAGCGGATGGGAGCAACAGTGTCTCGGTTCTTGTTGACCACTTTTAAACTTTTAATTAAAAGATTTATGCATATATTATATAATTCATTGCAGTCTTGCATGCCATGAGGTGCCATTGACAAGTTTGATGCAGATGGTGCATGGTGAATAGCTCAAGTCCTTTTTTTTGCAAAGGTAACTCTAAGCCAAAAAATAAAAATGTGTTGCTATTGATTAGTACAAGCAATAGTAGCAGCTTATATTTGACAACTCCTACCACTGCAGATGTTTTTGTTATGTTATTAGAGGAATTTATATCTGTCCATTGATAATTAATACATTAAGTCATGGGGGTGGAAATGAGTTTGTGGTCTTCTATATGACCATCACGGATCTCAAACTTTAGTCTTTCTTCAATGTACCATAAGTGTAAGCCATAAAATTTGCATCCTACATGACTGTTATTCTGTTTAGTGGTGTTAATGAATGTTAAAGTACTGTTAAATTCATGAAAAGATGAATGTGTCAGGGACCAATGTTTGCTTGTTGCATATTTGTGTAGTTTATTATGTTGTGCAAGGTTCTTAATTTATTTATAAAATACTAGAGGAAAAGCTTGAACAGAAAGCAATCAACTTGTATTTGTTTTATGGGTGTTTATACTTTAGCTTTGATTGAATATGTTATGATTCTATTGAAAAAAGTTTGATTAAATTTTATTATATGTATTGCTTGTTATGTAAATTGTTGTATTAAATTACCTTAAACAATTAAATTAATAATCTATTGTGTAGATAACAGCAGCGTGATTTATTTTTAAAGCCGATGTGTGAAACACTATGAACGCATTGGAATACCATTTATGTGTAGTAACCTGTTTAAGTTAAGAGATACCTGTGAGTTATGCAATTATGTATATGTGTATGAAAAGCAATTTACCATGTAATAAAGTACACAAATTGTTTCTCTGTCATGTCAATAACTTAATCAAAGCCTCAGTCAAATACTCAAGGCAAGCTTTGCTTCCTCAGCCTCCAGCTCCAGTGATATGGTTTAAATCCATGCTACTCTTCTTCTTGAGGTAAAGATATTTTGGGGGGAATTATTAGTACTTCTGCTATTTCCAAATCATGGTCAAGCCTTCCTTATAAGACAAGTTTTTGTGGTGTTTTGATCTTCTGGCTTGCCAAACAATTAGAAACAACTATCAGGCAAGAATTGACCCGTTTATTTCCACATAACATTCAATATCATTCATATTGTCCTTGCATGCATACTTTCTTCTCACAGAGACTCATTTGTTATTGATTACATATTTCTTTACAATACTAAAAATTCACTGGCTCATTATCACTGGTACATGCACAGAATCAGATTAAGTGACAACAATAACTTTGTGGGACATTCATCATCTCTCCACTACCGTTTTAAATTTAAATAAAATCTTGGAAACAAATTGAATTAACAAATAACACATTTTTCTATTTACAATATTTAACAGAACAGTAAAACCAGACTAGAAAATATTACTGAAAAATCTAAGGTACAAGGAAAGTTTTGCCTGATTAAATAAAATTGCAGGGTCAAAGAAGGACGTTTGTTGTTTCTTTTATGTAAATTTTTTTATGAAGATACACCAACATGTTTGTGGGGCATGCCATTCCAGGGAGTAGTCCCACGAATAGTGGGCTCTAATGATTGGCTGTAAATGTCAGCAGGTAGCTCATCCAGTCCAATTTCGCGGTCTGCTTTGGCCTTCTTTGTGGCTTCATCAACCTGCGCTTTGATTTCATTGTCCAGTTTCTGTGGCATGAACATAGCAGAGTTAGAAATGTGGCAGAATTTGAGACAACATTACGGGAGGTCGCCGTCTTACCTTGAGTTCTTCAGCGGTCGCCAACTGAGATGAGAGCATGCGGTCCTTGAAGGAGGTAATGGGGTCACGAGTCTGTCGCACTTCCTGGATCTCATCTCGGGTACGGTAGCTGGTGCCGGGGTCAGACATGGAATGTCCTGAATATCTGTACGTGAAGGTTTCCATAACGAGGGGTCCCTTTCCAGACTTGCAGTAGTCGATGGCGTAACGGGTTGCTTCACGGACAGCTAACACATCCATACCATCAACCTGAAAATAGCCAGACACAAATTATGGATACTCATGATGCTAGGAGAAATCTCCAGTATGTGTGTGTGGAATCTCTCACTCACTCACCCAGATGCCAGGAATGTAGTCTCCTCTAGTGTAGTAGGCAGTGCTTGCAGATGATCTCTGATTGCTGGTGCCCATACCATAGCCATTATTTTCACAAACAAAAATACAGGGAAGGTCCCAAAGTTTGGCCATGTTGTAAGCCTCAAAAGCCTGGCCCTGGTTAGAGGCACCATCTCCATAAAGAGCAATGCAAACACCATCATTGCCATTGTACTTTTGAGCAAAGGCCAATCCAGCCCCAAGAGGAACCTGAACCATAAAAGTAATTAGTATAAGTTTTGATAGAGATTCTTAAACAGGAACACAACATACATCTAAATGAAATCTTACCTGCGCACCAACAATGCCGTTGCCTCCAAAGAAATTTTTACTGTACATGTGCATGGAACCACCTTTACCTCTTGAGCAACCAGACACTCGGCCAGTCAATTCAGCCAAAACTCCCAGAGGGTCAATGCCCATGATGTAAGTCCAGCCATGGGCACGGTAGGCAGTGATCACCATGTCATGGGGCCTCATGGCTCCAGACATACCGACAGCCACAGCTTCCTGAAAATGTTTGAAACTTGTAGCTCACAAACACGCTCCGTGTTTGAGTGCTTTGATGTAGAGTGAGTTGAAATTTCACTGACTCACCTGACCAGAGTAAAGGTGGCAGAAACCTCGGATAATCTTTTCCTTGTAGAGATTGCCAGCGCTTGTTTCCATACGACGGATGGTCTGCATTTTTCTGTACAGCAAGAGAGCTTCATCTCTTGTGCATGTTACTGATGTGGAGGGAGTCGTGTCGAGCTTGTGAACTTTGTAAGGCTGAAAGCGGAATGAAAAAGTGGCATATGCTCAAAACAAATAAAAAGACAAAGTAGAGCAATATAATATATTAAAAGTTTAACCATTTTACCTTAGTTTCAAATGATGCCTCAGTGGCATAATTGTTTTTGCTTGTGGCAAAGAAGGAAGAGATTGTGTTCTGTAAGAGGAAGTACAAAAAATTACTGTAATGCTCAAAATACATAGAAGCGAGATGTGTTGGTAAGAACACAATACAGGTGCTATAAAAGTCAGCAAAAGGAGTTCTAAACTGATCAAATGATAAAAATTTTAAAAATCAGGAAAAAGATGCATAACACTGAAAAATAAATATGACTCGGGAGTAAAGTAAAATGCAAATTAATAAAAAGGGAGAGTACTAAAAGTTTTCAAATCTAAACAGTATTGGAAAAATACAACACTTTTCAAAGGAACAGCAGGGTCTTCTAAAAGCTGTGACAAGGGAGGAACAATGGGCTTGAAGGAATCACACAAGACACCAGGGAGTGATCACAAAATACATAGCAGAGCATGCCTTTTCACACAATATTGCAATTTTGCATACCATGGACATATCCACAAAGTCAGGAATCATTCTCGACACAACATCATTTCCAGTGCCGTACAACCTCCCATACTGGAGCAGCAATAACAGAAAAAACCAAATTGTTGTGACAGACACGTTTCCAGGCAGTTATCAAGCTTTCTGCTCTTGTTCACTTGAAGAAGTAATCACATCCCATTACATGCTCTGAAATGCCAAATGCCTAAAAGACCAACTGAATGAACCTGCATTTGCCATGCTCCATTTGCTGCACTTTGATAGCACCTCTGTAACGAGCAACAAGAGCAAACAATTCAACGCACCCAACTGATGGAGCGCCGAACATCGGATACACTTTGAAGCGCATCCACCCTCTGAAACAAAATACGTGCATCAAAGCGCTACAGGACCGTAATCCGCTCTGCATTGTCTGGTAAGAGACAAGAATCTATGTTTGGTAGCTACGCCACAGCAGTAGGAGCAGGCAGACGGGGCATTTCAATCAGCTCGTCAAAGTTGGCGCTTGACAGTTGCAGCGCCGCATATGCTCATCCAATCAAAAAATGGTAAAACCAAGATTTGTTTTTATCGTAAATCAAAGTTTACAATGACATGGTCTCAACAAAATGTCATGACATGGACCCATCCATGCAAAATGAGAGTTGCTGACAGCCAGCTAGAGAGCCTTGCCAGGTCTTGAACACCAACAAGGCCCTAAAGCTGGAAGAGGTCACAGCAGACAGCAAGCAGTGATGCCGTCTAACCTCCGCAGAAGACATTAAAAGGCTTGACAGGACGAAACATTCGATAATTCAGGTCATTTTCACGCTAAAACACGAAAATTCACATGCTACGGTCGTTTCCGAAAATCTGCCATTCAGATTCATGCCTTTCATTGAAGGTGAGGGTCGATGGTGACTTTTTCAGCACCGAACTCACTTACCTTGTTGGCTTGACGGCCCAGGGTGCGGGCACAGTTGTTCAGCATGATGATTGCCGTTTATAGTTTACTTCACTATGAAATACTGCCGCTTTTCGGAATGCACGCCGAAACAGCGAGGTAGGTCCGCCACAAGCTATGACCCTGATGACATGAACACAACCTTCGTTCGTCGGTGGTCGTCTGCTACGGGCCTTGCGGAAGTCGAGAATCGAGCGGTTCGACTTCCTTTTCAGCACACGCACATCCGGTTTCGAAAAAAGGCGCGAAACGTGCGAAAGGCGGTGGCGAAGCGCGCGTCGCTCGTCGCGGGCCGGGCAACCCGCCCGTGAGAGTTAAGTTCCGCCAAATTTAGTTTGATGCGAGCATTAGAAAGGGCACCCTTTCTCATGATGCGAGAATCACGATGCAATGCACGTTGCCCGCCCTGCCCCCAACCCACCCACCCCATCGCCCGCAAACGATAATATACCCAGCACCTAGGCCCAGGGCAAAAATGGGAAAAGGAAGTAAATTAAGAAACTTAAACCTGAACAAAATATAATCGAGACAAAGTTTATCTGCTGCCAGCAACAGATATGTGGGGCATGGCGTTCCAGGGGGTCGTGCCCCGGAGGACGGGCTCCAGCGTGTGGCTGTAGATGTCGGCGGCCAGCTCCTCCAGCCCGATCTCCTTGTCCGCCTTGGCTTTCTTCGTTAAATCGTCAACCTGCACCTTAATTTCGGCGTCGATTTTCTGCGGGGACGAGACAAGATTAGAACCAATGCGATGCCCTTTTCACAACTCTCGGTTCACTCGGAAAAGTCTACGAAGAATGCTGCGTAAACTACGAAGAAAATACAGGCATTATAAAATTGCTTCGTATTGCGAAAGATTTAGCCTCGTAATACGAAGCATTTTCTCGTCGAGTTGGCAATGCCTTCGCTTCCTTCGCATTAAGAAGCGATACTTCGAAGACGTTTTCTGTGTTCACTCCGGCAGTCCGAACCTTGAGCTCCTCCTGGGTGGCGAGCTCCTTGGTCAGCATGCGGTCCTTGAAGGACGTGATGGGGTCCCGGGTGGAGCGCACCTCCTGGATCTCGTCCCTCGTCCTGTAGCTGGTGCCGGGGTCGGACATGGAGTGGCCCGAGTACCGGTACGTGAGCGTCTCCATGACCAGCGGCCCCCTGCCCGCCTTGCACTCCTCGATGGCGAAGCGCGTCGCCTCGCGCACGGCCAGCACGTCCATGCCGTCAACCTGCCCGCCGAGCAGTCCGTCAGCCCAGCCTAGCCTAACCTAACAGTATTACTCCAAGGCCCAGTGCCCTTTGGTCTTTTGAGTCAGGTCGTTTGGCCTGCCACGTGGGGCCTTGCTCTTGGGTGTGGGGTCGTGGGTGAGACACTCCATTTGAACAGAGCTTCACTAGGAAGGGGTGGATAAGTGACGCAATGTCACACCCAGAGCTTCTTGACTGCTTCGAACTCCTGAGGTGTAGGCAAGCCATCGAACATGCGTGCCACACGTCCCATGGGCTGCCTACCTCCCGGGCGCTAAGAGGGTCCACCCCTCTCTACTCGCCTGGATGCCGGGGACGTAGTCGCCGCGCGTGTAGTACGCGGTGCTGGCAGAGGAGCGCGTGTTGCTAGTGCCCATGCCGTAGCCGTTGTTCTCGCAGACGAAGATGCAGGGCAGGTTCCACAGCTTGGCCATGTTGTAGGCCTCGAAGGCCTGGCCCTGGTTGGAGGCGCCGTCGCCGTACAGCGAGATGCACACGCCGTCGTTGCCGTTGTACTTCTGCGCGAAGGCCAGCCCCGCGCCGAGAGGAATCTGCCGAGAAAGGTAAGGGGTTGGCTTGGCTAGACGGTCGCGTCGCTCTGTCTCAGACAGCGACGAAACGATCCTTCGGAAACGGTCGGCCGCCCCCACGGAAGTGGATCCACCGTGGAGCACGGCACCGACACGAACCTGTGCGCCGACGATGCCGTTGCCGCCGTAGAAGTTCTTGCAGTACATGTGCATGGAGCCGCCCTTGCCGCGCGAGCAGCCGGACTGGCGGCCCGTCAGCTCGGCCAGCACGCCCAGGATGTCGTCGCTCAGGAGGTAGGTCCAGCCGTGCGCGCGGTACGCCGTGATGACCTTGTCGTGCGGCCGCATGGCGCCGTGCATCCCCACCGCGCACGCTTCCTGGGGGCAGTGCCAGCAGTGTACCAATCACGCAACGCCATGGCGCGCCACCCCAACCCAACGCAGCCCAAGGAGCGGATCCAGGGGGAGGAGGGGGCATCGCACCCGTCCTTCCCTGACCGAGAGGCAGACAAAACGTCTCACTTTTCTCCGGTAGGTAGGTAACTTTTGAGACACGCCCCTTCCCCCCAACCCCCTCTGGATCCGCCCCTGACAGGGCTCTGCAGGCTCCCCGCACGCGGTGCGCCAGGGTGGCCAGGGTGCACGCACCTGCCCGGAGTAGAGGTGGCAGAAGCCGCGGATGATCTTCTCCTTGTACAGGTTGCCGGCGTTGGTCTCCATGCGGCGGATGGTCTGCATGCGGCGGTACAGGACGAGGGCGTCGTCCCTGGTCACGGACACGGACGTGGACGGGCCGTTGTCCAGCTTGTGGAGCTTGTAGGGCTGCAGGGGGAAGGCCACAGATTTAGCGTGTCGCTTTCGTTTTTCGACTCCTCCGCAGTTTCCACTTTGTAGATGTCCCTGCGGTAGTCTGTGACAAAGGCTGCTTCTGTTTTTAACGGTCTGGTGGTGTGTGTGGGTGGGGTGGGGGCCGTCCCGGGCCGTCCCGGGCCGTCGTACCGCCGCGCCCCACGCGACCACGACGTGACGGGGCGGCTCAGGGCTCGCCGCTGCCACCTTGCCTCGGCGGACTTGACCGTGGCGGGGAAGACCAGGGAAGACCATCGGCACGGTAGCCTCCAGACGAGATGCTGCCTCGCCCTGCACACGCATCCGAAAAACCGGAGCTAAAAATTGTCCTGGCTATGGGATGCACTCACCTTGGTTTCGAAGCTGGCCTCCGTGGCGTAGCCGTTCTTGGCGCTGGCCGAGAGTGACAGCACTGCATTCTGGAAAAGGAGAGCAGACTTCGCATCACGCCGAACCTCGCTAAACCGCACCGCACCACGCTGCACTGCGGTGCAACGACTGAGCCAGCAGGAGGGGAGCTGTTTAATCCAAGTGCCGACGATCGTGTCGGGAGCACGCGAAGTTCATTGTTACATTGGCGGACGGAAATACGCTTGGCTCGGTGCCACGGAGGGAGTCATGCGACACAGGGGGCCGTTTTATTGGATCGCTTTTCGTTGGTGCGAGTGTTGCGCGCTGTCGCTGGGACCGCCAGGCCGCCAGGCCGCCAGGACGACGTGCGTGCCCTCCTCCACGCAAACGCTCGCGATGGCGGTCCAGCGACGCAGCGACTCGGCCACCGCGTCAGCTCCGGGCCGTCGCCGCGCCTGGCCTTCGGGGTGGTACGCCAGCTGCGGTGTCCTTGAGCCAAAGAGCACCCAGCACCCTTTCCAGTGAAGACAACGTAGATAAACTCACCTTGCAAACTTGGCCGGCCAGCGGCCGGGTGCAGCTGTGCAGCATTTTGTCACTCTGTCCCGGACGTCCCCCTCAGACCCGCCGCACTCGTATCACTGACCTCCTGGCAGACGGTGGACACACACACACACTGTCGCTATTTTGTCGACAACCAATCACTGACGCCCTGTCGTCTGCTGCGCCGCGTCGTCTGCTCGGCGGCGCGGCACCTTGCAGGCAGGCAGCCGAAGCGTTTTGAACGTTCCCTCGGCCATCCGCTTCCGGTCCTGCCGATAGCGGCGCGCCTGCGAATAAAGCCGCAAAACGACCCGGTCAAGTTCGACAAGGCGACGGGTATAGTTTGTCTGCCGCCAGGCTGGCCAACCCACCGACACGGCGAGCTGCCATTCCCCGGCCAAACTTGCGCTTTAAAAGTTCCAGATCGTGCAAATTCCGTCTGCGTCGGCGAAAAGGACAGCAGCGGTCGGAATCCTTGACGGGCGCAACGAGCGAGCACCGTGTCGCCGGCAGCCCTCGCTGATCTCGTGTTTTCAGCGGGTGGTGGAATATTAGGAAAGGCCGCAACCTTTCGGAGCGGCCCACTGCCAAATAAGGCAAAGGATGTCAGCCGACGCCTCCGACGCCGACTGCTGATAGAGCTAGACAGACGGCTGGACGTCACTGCGTGTTTTCCGGAGGATTCATCGAAACGTCGCCAGTGTTTTAATCCCGGCGCTGGCTGCGTGCATCCGACATCAGTGGGGAAACTCGGCCAAGCGACGTGATCCAGAATCGGACGCCCCGCGTTGGTTAGCGGTCTGCAATGTCTTACTCTACCAGTGAGTATTTGGTCCCGTTCCACTTGGTTGCAGACACACTCCAAGTCGCGGGATGACTCGTATGTCACCAGTCTATCACGTCGCCGGTTGCGGCTTGCTTTGCCGGTCGATTGCTCCAAGATCCTGGTTTGCCCTTTGCCGGTGCATTGGCCCTTTTATTGACTGGGTGTAGCTCGTTTCGGATGAGCGGCTCGCCCCCTGGCCCACCAGCGCAACCAGCGCCAGCAGTGAAGCTTCCGCCTGGCCAGAGCTGTTTTCTTCCTCCCCATCTGTCAAAGTGCTTGTTTGGCCCTTGTGAGAAGCTGTGTGCTTGCTCCTGGGCTAGTTTAGTGCCGACCTCTGGTTTGGAATTTGTTGTTGTGATGTCATCTGATAGCATGTACCATGACCAGTCTCAACACCTGTCAAGTTTGTTGTTGCTGTTTCAATGACAGGTTCGTACTTGGATTCTTTTACCCAGAAATCTCACTTTTATGTTGACGTTGTTTCAGAGTACACCTTAGCCACTCTGCCACGGACGCAGAGGGGCCAGCCCATTGTGTTGGGTGGCGATCCTAAAGGAAAGAACTTCCTGTATACGAATGGAAACAGCGTCATCATTCGGAACATTGAGGTACGCAAAGATTTCTGTGAAGATGCATATTGATTAGGAGTTTTATCTGTAACTCAAGTCTTTCTTCTGACAGAACCCTGCTATCTCCGACATCTACACTGAGCATTCTTGTGCTGTTAATGTTGCTAAGTACTCCCCCAGTGGCTTCTACATTGCATCTGGAGGTGGCTATCATTGTAATAATGTTGTATTTCATACTTTGAAAAAATCCTTTCTAAATCTATTTATCTTTTTTCTTCAGACCAATCTGGTAAAGTTAGAATTTGGGACACTGTGAACAAAGAACATCTTCTCAAGAATGAATTTCAACCCATTGCTGGTCCAATTAAAGACATCAGTTGGTCTTCTGACAACCAGCGAATGGTTGTTGTGGGAGAGGGCAGGGAAAGGTAAATTTTGTGTTATCATTAAAAATGTATTAATCTATTAATTTTTATAATAAAATAATCATGAATTCAAAATAATATTTTTGTATTTTGTCACAAAGGTTTGGTCATGTATTCATGGCAGAGACTGGTACGTCAGTTGGAGAAATTTCGGGACAGTCTAAGCCCATCAACTCTGTTGACTTTAGACCAACAAGACCGTACCGAATTGTAACTGGTAGTGAGGACAATACTATTGCTGTCTTTGAGGGACCTCCATTCAAATTCAAGATGACTAAGCAGGTGATTATTTAACCCATTGTCGCTTCCTTTTAAGATTGAATTGTTCCTTTTCACCAAGATATTTCTTAATACTTTTCTTAGGACCACACCCGATTTGTTCAAGCTGTGCGCTATTCTCCCTCTGGTTCTCACTTTGCTTCTGGAGGCTTTGACGGGAAAGTTTTCTTGTATGATGGAGCTAAATCTGACCTAGTGGGAGAAATTGGAACACCTGCTCATAAGGGTGGTGTTTATGCTGTGAGTATTCTATTGTAATGTCTGCTTTTAGAATTTGTGACTCATTTCTTTATGTGGAACAGTGAACTAATGCTCAAGTTCTTTGGCAGGTTGCATGGAGCCCCGATGGCAAGCAACTGCTGACAGCTTCAGGTGACAAGACATGTAAACTCTGGGATGTTGAAACTAAATCTGTTGTCACTGAGTTTATGATGGGCACCCAGGTGGAGGACCAGCAGGTACATTTCCTTGCTATGCCAAGCATTTAATTTTTTTTTTTTTAATACTGTATGTAAATTATGCTTTTGATATGTTTGAAATGCTGAGAATGATATGGTTGCAGGTGTCCTGTTTGTGGCAAGGGCCTCATCTGCTGACAGTATCTTTGAGTGGATTCATTGCCTATTTGGATCCCAATAACCCAGAGAAGCCTATAAGAGTTATCAAAGTAAGATTGCACACTCAATGTCTTTTCAAATTGTTATTACATGTGTGCTAACCATGTTATGTTTGTTTTCCAGGGCCACAACAAACCTATCACTGTCCTTGCTTTAAGCCCAGAACGTGATACTATTTACACTGGATCTCATGATGGTTATGTAACAACCTGGGATGCCAAATCAGGTATTTACAACAAAAAGTTTATAGAACTCTCACTTCAACATTTATCATGCATCTCTTGTTTTTATTTGTGTCAATTCTCCTATTTGTCTAGGTGAAAATGATAGAATTCAGGGTATTGGACATGGAAACCAAATTAATGGCATGTGCACTGTAGGCAACCATGTGTACACATGTGGAATTGATGACAGTGTAAAACAGATTGACGCCACGTCTAAGACTTACACCGGAGTTGATACGAAGCTTGCGTCTCAACCACGTGGCATGGACTTAAAAGGAGACACTATTGTGACTGCTTCAGTAAAGGAGGTATACCTCCATAAGTTGATTTTCTTTTTCCTGTTTCATTATATTAGTTGAATATTGTATAACTTGAATCTATTATGGATATTTCAGATAACTGTCATTAAAAATGGGAGCAAAGTGTCCAGCCTGCCGATCAACTATGAGTCCTCTTGTGTCAGCTTGAGCCCCCAGGATGGCCAAACCTATGTAGCTATTGGTGGAGCAACTGATAACAAGGTATCTTTATTATTGATGTTTTTTGAAGGTTTCTATTATGGATTGATCCTTTTGCATCATTAAATTGAGTTTCTGTCGACAGGTTCATGTCTATGACCTTGTGAATGGCCAGCTGAGCCCCAAGGCAGAGTTGGATCATTTAGGTCCAGTGACAGATTGTGCATTTTCTCCAGATGGCAACTACCTTGTTGCTTGTGATGCAAACCGTAAGGTTATCCTTTACAAATCTCCAGAATTTGAGGTGTGTATTATGTAAGACATGTGGTTTATGGATTTGTTGTACCATTAATTATTACTGCATATCAAATTGTGTACAACTCATTCATTTCAATAAAACTCTTGCTTTCTTAATGCCGCTTGGACTAACAGACAGTAAGTATTGTGCTGGGGTTCATGCTCTTTTTGCTTCTCTTTTTCTGGTTTGGTAAAATCTTCTGAGTTGAATGTCTTGAAATGAGACATACTGACAAACTGTATTTTCCATCTACTTTTCAGCTTGCTCACAACAAGGAATGGGGATTCCACAATGCTAGAGTGAACTGCGTGGCATGGTCTCCAAACTCCCAATTCGTTGCCAGTGGTAGCTTGGACACCACCATAATTGTGTGGAGTGTGCAACAGCCATCTAAGCACAATATTGTCAAAAGTAAGTAAAATTTTAATTTGCCATACGGTGTTTCTCTGGAAAACCTTTCAAGTGCTACATTCTGTGCATTCATTTTCTTTTCAGATGCTCATGCTCAGAGTCAAATTACTCGTTTGGCGTGGCTAGATGATGAAACTCTTGTATCTGTTGGTCAAGATTGCAACACCAAGGTTTGGAGTATCACACCATTCTAAAATGGTTGAGTGCCCTTAAATTTTGGAGAAAATTGGAATCATACATGCAGATATATATAATAATCTGTGATGAGTCATGTAATATAAACTTTCATGAATCTTCTTTTTCTAAAAAAAATAATTAATAAACTTGCAAATAGTTTGTAAGGGATCAGTCCCTGTTAAACTTACTTCTTATTGAATATGTTCACACACTTCTTTTGGTTGTACCGTTATATGTCATAGGAGTCACACCCTTATGTAAGAACTTTTCTTCATTGTCACTGGCATGAGAACTGTGGTGTAGAGGAGAGAAGCTTCATAATATATGGCTAATATCACTCTTGAAGATAAGTTCAAAAAATTGTAAAAAATCTATTTATTCCTGTTCTTCCATTATAGTATCACTACTGTCATGTTATCAGTGATCAAAAATTATTTTTCAATGATTGATTTTTCAATGGTTGATATTTTTTCTTTGAAAGATTATTTATACTCTATTAATGTTTGGGGGGGTTTTATGTTGAAGAGTCACTTTTTAAATGTGCCCTGGCCAAAAAAAATATTCCATGTATTTTATCACAACTTCTGGGTTTGGCCTTTTAAAAATAAATATTAAAAAATATTCATTATAGCCTTTCATCATCCTCAATTGTTGTGCCCAGTTCTTGAAATGAAACGCTTCCACTGCTGCCAAGCCTTACATTGGTAGTGTGGGTTTTTCAAAGAGTCTTTGGCTGCAACCTGTCTTATTTGTGTTATCATTCATAATTATTGGGTGCTTAAATTTTGAGCTCAAATACATTGAGGTACATTGCAGTGAAAGATAAAATTAACACATCTCTTGATTCTTTAGTAAGACACACTTTGTGCTTGCTCTATGGTCTTGTTGTGATTGTGTGCCCACCAAAGGCAGTTTTGTTTTATCCAAATCATTTTTCTTTTACTCACCCTTTACCATGTTTGTTAAATCCTAATATCAAAGTGTGTTTCAATTTATAGTTTGTGATATTTTATTTTTAGTTGCTTTCATTTTTATGGTTTTATGTCCTGTTTTAACAAATAAATAATGTATATGTACATGTGCCCTTCCTAACGTGCAATCAATTGTCATGCAGTGAAGTTTGACTTTGGTGTGTACCATTTGCATGGTTTGGTCATGGTGACCCCCATCGTACCTGCCTGAATTATGTAGCTGACTTATGATCTCCAACCAAAGTATATTGCAAGAAGTGGTATTGTGTGTATGAATTTCATTATATATTAGCTCTATGTCAATGGACAGTATTAATATCATGGTACACTACTCATCAATACATTATATTGCAATAGGTTTAAGTTATTGGTTGTGTCCTGGTTCCTTCCCTCTTTTGTATTAAATTTAAAATTGGCTTCCTGGACTTGTGTGCTAGGTGTGGAAGTTTGACTAATTTGTCTAAGGAGTGATCCCTTTTGTAACAGTGTTATTTGAGTTTGTAGCTTCATTTGTAATATGCCAAATTTTGTTGGATCTTTAGCTGCAGACCAAAGGCATATGTATGTTGTGGACTGATGCATTTATATTTTGGGTTTAGTGCTATTAATGTGGTATTACCTCTTTATGCATTTCTATTTTTCTATCTTTTCTAACAATCTTGCTCAAAGTTTCCAGTACATTACTTAGTCAATATAGGCTCCTATTCTGATGGCTAACCATACACTAATGCCTTACCAGCAACAGTAGGAAATCAAAATGACAAGCCAAGTATTAATCATTGAACTTTTTCTTTAATTTGGTTTGATTAAAAAATCTGAAAGAAATAAAAGTACATATTTGGAATAACAAATCTTATTTTCTGCTCCTACTCTCCGATCACAATGATGAGGAAGACACCAAATTACAGATGATGTTGCCTCTACGTAATTAGGAAGACTGGACAACATTTGTCAAAAACTCATTTTCCATCGAGCTGAGCATACAATTTCGGAACATAATCGTCCCACTGCGCCTGATAGAAGTTGCCCGCAACAGGATCTCCCAGATTGTACTTGGCAGCAAATTTGCGGATGGCAAAGCACCCACGGTTGTCACCAGACCTAAAGAAACAGAGCAAAGTTGGATTTATTTTTGAGTATGCAAGAAGTGATCAAAGTAGTTAATAATTCTTAAACAAACCTATTAGTGAGCTTCTTTTCATCAAAAGCAAGCTTTCCGGACTGCTTGTAAACCAGGAAGACATATCGGTGAAGGCCTAAAAAAAGGAAAAACAGACGTAAGAATACAAGAGAAGTTATGATAAAATATCTACTGTAAGACCAAATGTAACATTTTTGATGCTTACCAGTTCCTTCTGGTGGGCCAGATCCAACATACTCTGAGAGGGTTTCCCCCTTGCTGACATCAGCGCCAGGGATGTTGCCAACCAACCAATGGTGCCATTCACGGTATGTGGGCTCTTTGCGGCTGGGCGCATCAGGATCTACAGGCAACAAAAAGTTGGATTTTTTTTTTTTAAGACTGCGAGCCAAATATTAGAGTGGTGATCAGATTCTTACCAGTCATGCACAAAGTGTAGAATGCACTTGCTTCAGCATTCCAAGAAACTGCAGGGATGTCTTTGACCTGGGTGGGTGTCAACTCATTCCCGAGGTTGACAGATGCTCCAGATGGATAGGTGACCTAAACAGACCATGACATCTATGACAATGTTTCAAATAAATTTTGCTAACATTTTCCAAATGAAACAAATAGGGTGGGACCTACCTTGGCGACTTCAGATGGAATCTTGTCGACCACATCAGGACTGATTTGTTCCTTCTCCATCGCAACAATGGCTCGGGTGGGTCGGGCAGCTGTTGACAGTAGCCGAGATGCAATGTTGAAGACTGGTCTCAATGCCACAACCATAGCTGACCACTATAGGAGCAGACAGGGACCGACAAAGCAGTCATTGATACGAATAGGGAAATGAACACAAACGAACACATTACGACAAGCAATCAAAGCTAGCAGAATGCTTTTTTTAAAGAAAGCAGTGGCATAATGAGATGAATCAAGGTTTTTTCTGGAACAGACTGTACCTAACCAAAGAGCACTTTGGTTGACAGGCCGGCCCCCCACCGGCATCCCCTATGCCAACAAAGCTTGACCCTCAGGGTCATCGCCAGAGATTTGGCTGGACTGCTGTCAGCGAGACGAGCAATGAGCAATGCGCGCATTGTAAGAGATGAGTACTACAGGTAAAACAAAGCCAACAAAGCGCTGTGCCGAGAGAGTGCGGACAATGCCACAAATGAGAAAGCCTCAAAAGCCAGACCACAGGGGCAAGGGGCATAGGGCACCGTGGCCGCCGGGGCAACAAATCACCGGCAGAGCAGAGGTAAAAGGAGATCAAACTCGTGACAAAATTTACAAAGGCAATGCACCGACGCGACTTACGGGATAAGATACGGGCGACCGATGAACAACGGGACGCTGCTGACACTCACTGAGCGGAGTGGCAGATAGTCTTTACAAATCAGAACAAATCAGTACAGTGCAGCGAACGGCGTGGGTAGGCAACCCGCAGCATTCGTCACGGGTCACAACAAGTATGAAAACGTAACCAGACCACAAATTGTGACAGAGATCAGAGATACTGTAACCATTGATAAATGGTTCCAATGCTTTGTTCGTTTGATACTATACTGAAAAGAATAAATCTCAATTATTTCCCAACAGTCCTGTCTGTCTTGCACCCTGTTTGATATTCAAAATGATTTTGTGAAAACTTTACTCACATCTTCTCATACCCACTGCGGAGACGCGGGAGCGGGAATAACGTGTCTGGACCTGTTTGCATTTGCATTTGGCTTTGGTTCCTTTGCTCAAGAGACATGGGGCGAGTATTTCACTGATTCTGATTGATCAGGAAGTTTCTTACTTTGCGAATAGTCAAACTTATCTCCACTTTAAGGAGAATACTTGTTGTCATCAAGCTTTAAGTGTGTCCGAGACCTCAGAAGTTCCGAACGGACCATGTCTAACGATTCAGACTCTGAGGCGATGGATGTGGATGAAACCCTTAATGACACTCAGGCCACAAATTGCAGTACTCCTGGTGGAGGCGGTTCCGATGAGGCGCTCATTGACATCTACGCCAAGCAGTATGAAGAGGCGCAGAAAATATTGCGTAAGTGAGGTTAAAGTAGGATGCGCCCAGCGGCCTATCGGCCTTGCGCCCTGCTCGCTGCGGAGGCCTCCACAATGTTGGGCTTCGCGGACTCACATGCGTTTCATTTTGCTGTTTCCTTTTCAGAGGATGGCCTCACGGACGCCGAGTCAGTTGCAAAAGTGGGACAGTTGCTGAGAGATTCGTCTATACACTGTAAAAAAGGTACGGAACATGAACGACTGATTCGGCTGTGCATTGTATGTCGCCAGTTTGCGTAACTTTTATTTATTCTTTTTGTCATTGCAGAGAAAAAAGTACGGGAGTCACTATTTGGTAGCTCAGTCTTGTCACTGTGTGCTCAAATATCCAAGAATCAAGCTCTTGCATTAGACACAAATTTGTCGGCATTCGACGTTCAAGCGTTTGCTGATGGCATAGTATGTGTTTTCCTTGTTTCTTAAAGGAATTAGCGTGTTTAACTGGTTGAAGAGATTCATTTCATTATTTTTTTATGTTTTAGCTTGCTTATGCTTTTGATGGAGAAACTGAAACAGTCGACTGGGACAAGTTATCTAAGAGGGCCTCTAAAATGTTCAAGAGGTCTCCAGCAATGTCGTATATGTATGGCTCTTTCAAAGCAACTGAGCTTCCAAGGAAGGAACCCAAGGAGCGTGTTCGACGACAAGCATTCAAAGCTACTGGAGAGAAGAAAGAACCTGAAAAGGTCAGATTGATTAAACAGCTCCCCATCCTGTCAGCATCGATTATGTGCACACTTGTCAACTTCTGTCTGTCATCAGGTTACCAATGTCACAGCTACTGATGAGGGAAATGACAAAGCTGTTCAGCATCTAAAGAAGGTACTCAAGAGCAAATTCAGGGAATCTGGTAACCAACCAATTGATTTCTTTAAATTTGTGTTGGATCCTACCTCATTTCATCGCACTGTTGAGAACATATTCCACCTCTCGTTTTTGATGAAAAACAACATTTGCGCTGTGAGACAAGGTAAAATTTCCACTACTTAACATCTTATTAAAGATGTTTGCTTTTTATTTTTGACATTGTTAGATTCTTCCTCCTTTTGTGCTTGTGTCATCAGATAATGGAGGAGGACTTCCATACATACACTATGTGAGTACCCAAGAATGTACGGAATTGCAGAAGGGGAAAAAGTTGCAGTGCATTCTTTCCATCACCCCTGAACAATGGGAGGTATGAAACCTGCTTTCTTGTGAAGTTAGTCACAGATTTTCAATTGGCATCTGCAGTACTAATTTTACCTGTGTATTGTTTGTTTTCAGACTTTAGTGGAAGCTTTTAAGGTTGACAAGCCTATGGTACCACCTTTGACTTGAAGTGACCAAAGATGCTGCTGCTGACCTCAGTTGCACCACCACACAACCAAGCCTCTCTTCTATGTGATTCAGTATTTTTAGTCTTGTCACTATAACATACTATTTCTATTTTATGTTTTCTTCTTATGTACCTCTAATTTAATTGTTAAAACACAAATTATAAATGTTCCTGCCAAATCTTTAGTCATATTATTATTTAATTAGAAATGTGACTACGTAATATCTAATAGCTTATTAAGATGTATTAGTTTCACTATGGCAAATAGTGCCTTTTTCTCCATGAACCTTTACTGATACATAGTTTTTAAGTCTTAATGTTTCTACAGTATTTTATCTTTCCTCATTACCAAGTTGAGGTTGTAAACAGAGCTAAGAGTTAGCCAATAAATATTGTTTATTTCTTTAACAGTGCTTTATTGTACGCCGTGTTCCCCCACCCACCTTGAGTTTCTGACTCAGCATAGAAACCAACACCAACGTCACTAGAAAGTCAGACAGCTTCGCAGTTGAACACAATCAAACTACTGGATGGGGATGCGGTTGTCACGACAATTTGAGGAGCAGGTTGGCTTGTCAAGTCCAATTTACCTCTGTCCTCGGAAGTTGGCAGCCGCGTAGGCGGACGTGATCCAAAGAGGCGCCCGAGCAGCCAGAGCTAGGGCACCTCGCAGAGGGCGCACTGTTCTTTGCTGGTTGCGCTGCGGATGGCTGCAGATGCCAACAGATTCCCGGGCATGGATGTTTCTTTCTCTTTTTTCGCTGCTGATGGCCTGATAAGCGCGCAGGCCGCAGGGACGCGTTGGCCCATGGTTGGCCCGGTCGCGCTGGATTCCAGTTTGAGGTGCCGCCCCGCTCTCCGCCATTCCGGATTCCGGCACGGCCACTCTCCCCGATTGACGAGTGCACGGCGCTCACAGCGCGCCGCGCCGGAAATTGCCTCCCGCTATCTCTCTCGCACCCGCGAGGAACGCCCCAGGAGTGCGAAAGAGAGGAAGAAAGGGACAGACCGACGAGTGCAGCGTCTGCAGTTCCCCGTCTTAGCCACTATTCACACTGCTCACCAGCACCAGCGGTCAGGCGTGGATACAGGGGGAGGGGTGGTTCCTTACCCCCCGTTCCATGGCATGGCACCTACATCCGTCTGAAACTTGCTTTGCCCCTGGAAGAAGGCAGAAAGTGCTACTCCGCCCCCTTCCGGCCGGCCACCGTCTGCAGCCTCTGGATCCGCCACTGCAAGCGGCACGGCGGGGAAGTCCAGCGACCGGCGCGTCGCGGCTTTTCGCGGCTCGCTCTGGGCACTGGCGCACTGGGCTCTGGGCCCGGAAGTGGCGGACCGAAATAGATGCTGCAACGAGGAGAGGCGGACTTGGCCCGCGATGGAAAAGAATGCAGCCTTATCATCTTGTCGAAGTAACTGCACCACGCCTCACCACCCTCCAACGCTGCTTTACATCTCACTCTCATTCGAAAACGGGGAGCGTTATGCACAGAATACACAGGTAACCTTACACCTTTCTCCAAGTGTAATGGCGCTTACGCCCTTCTTGAAGCACACTGGAGCACAACCACCCTATCCCTGATCTAAATGCATAGAGAAGTTTCCTCTGTACGCTTCTTTCCTTAGTATCAAAATCCGGAAACCAAATTTGAGGCTTGAGTTGTCCGAGCGTTCTCTGTTCAAAATGTAATCACGGCTCCAATGAAAGTTGAAAGAGTTGATAAGCAAGGGAATACCGCACTTTGAGTACTTTGAGTACTGGCAGGCGATCGTGGCTGGGAATTCCCCGCGAGCTCGAGCCACTCGAACCCACGACGGCGCGGTCACGTGTCGCACACGACCGAACCCCGTTAGAGTTTCATTGTTCGGCGATATTCGCACGCAGCGTTGTTGCGAGGGTCTCTCTCACTCCCGCGTGGAACTCCGCGAGGGGGATGGAGACACATGCGGCATCAGCCTGCAGCCGGCATGGGTGCTGGAGTGTGGGCGGCCCGAGGGCGCTAGTCGTTCTCTCTGTCCCACTCGCTCGCGTCGCCGCGTCGCAGCCGGCCGGCCGCGGAGAGGGAGAGGGCATGCTGCCGCGCTCCTTGCCGCGGGTCATCTGCCGGCCTGCCGCGCACGCCGCGCTGCTAGCGCCACTATTTAAGACTGCGGAGCCATCGGTCTGTCACACTTCACATCCAACCATCCCAGCATGTGGAAGGTAAGAGCTCGCAGCACTCGCAGCGACCTGAAAGAAAATGGGGCGACGTCGAAGAGCATCGAACCCACGATCGCTCGGCCTTTCCGGGCCGATCAAGATTTTCCAGCGTTCGCTCCACATTGCGCATCCAGTGAGGCAGTGGTTTGATTGAAAATGTGTTGTCTGCAGGTCACGTGTTTCTTGGGGCTCCTGGCCCTGGCTGCTGCCGAATATGCCGCCCCGCTGCCCTACGCCGCCCCCGTGGCCATCGCCACCCCCGCACTGGCCCCGGAGCCAGTGTACGGCCCTCCCGCCAAAGAGTACGGACCCCCGCCAGTAGCCGCAGCGCCGCCACCACCGCCGCCACCACCACCGCCGCCTCCGCCGCCCCCAGCTCCTCTGCCGGCGCCCGTCCCCGTGTACGCCGCCCCCGTCGCCGAGTACGGCCCGCCTGCCAAGGAGTACGCCGCCCCTGTCCCCACCTACGGCCCACCTGCCCCCGAGTACGCGCCACCACCGCCACCGCCTCCGCCTCCACCACCCCCGGCCCCCGTTCCAGCCCCCATCTACGCTCCTCCCGCTGCCGAGTACGGACCTCCCGCTAAGGAGTACGCTCCCCCGGCACCCATTCCCATCCCTCCCCCTCCCCCACCCCCAGCCCCCCTGCCCGCTCCCGCCCCCGTCTACGCCGCCCCCGTAGCCGAATACGGACCTCCCGCCAAGGAGTACGCCGCCCCGGCCCCCGCCTACGGCCCACCCGCCCCCGAGTATGCGCCACCCCCGCCACCCCCTCCTCCTCCACCACCTCCAGCTCCCCTGCCCGCCCCCATCCCCGCCCCCGTGTACGCCGCCCCCGTTGCTGAGTACGGCCCTCCCGCCAAGGAGTACGCCGCCCCTGCTCCCGCATACGGCCCGCCCGCCCCCGAGTACGCGCCACCCCCGCCACCACCTCCTCCTCCACCACCTCCAGCTCCCCTGCCCGCCCCCATCCCCGCCCCCGTGTACGCCGCCCCCGTTGCTGAGTACGGACCCCCCGCCAAGGAGTACGCTCCTCCCGCGCCCATCCCCATCCCGGCCCCTCCCCCACCCCCTGCCCCTCTGCCCGCCCCCGCTCCAGTGTACGCCGCCCCCGCCCCTGAGTACGGACCCCCCGCCAAGGAGTACGCTCCTCCCGCCCCCATCCCCATCCCGGCTCCTCCCCCACCCCCCGCCCCCCTCCCCGCCCCGAGCCCCTGTACGCTCCCCCCGTGCCCACCCCCGTGTACGGCGTCCCCGCCAAGGAGTACGGCCCCCCCAAGTAAAGTGTAAGTGTGCAGCGCGTTCATCTCACCCTCACGTCGCGACATGGTCGTGAGCGGCGAAGCGGCGAAGCGGCGTGCCTCCTCCTTCAAGGCCTTGCTCATGTTCCGGAGGTTGCCGCTCCACGACCGCGACGGCCTTGCAGCGCCTTGCAGTGCCTTGCAGAGCCTTGCAGTGCACTGACATTGGGACGCCGTGCCCGCCCACGCAAAACCAGTACCTGTATTAGTTTTGTCGATGCCGGCGAGTCGCGCCGATTGGCGCAAGCAGTGCCACTGTTTTATCGTATCGAGAGTCATGCCTAGTATTTATTCGGAGTGCTTCCAGCTTCTGTCTCTCTCTGTCCCCTGCTGTGATTAATGTACATTATTGAGCTCGACCATGAAACCTTGCCACTCTTGTGTGTAATATATTAAGTAATAATAAATATTCTATTTCCAATTACGTGCCTTCTTTTCAATTTAATGCGCGACAAACCAGCTGTGTCCGATTGAACATTACGCAGTCCAACGACGACCGGAACTTGGGGTGTTTCAACCGCCGTGCTTCGGGAGGAGCGCCTGCGCGACGGCGGCAGGCAACCCGGCGGGCTGGCGTGGCTCCGCGCTGCAGGCGCCCGCAGGCGCCCGCACCGCATCCTGCCTGCCAGCGCCTCCCCGCACGACCGCGACCGCGCGCACCGCGCAAAGGGCGACAGGTACGCGGTGCCGGCCGAGCCTTGCCGGCCGTGCCGGACACGGGCCGCCATTCATTGAATCGATGGCGTGGCCGAGCGGTGTCCATGGCAACGCGTGTCAAAAACACGCCCCACCCCCTCGTGGATTGACCCCCCTAAGGCCCCCGAGGGCATCAAACAGACTGGCTTGGTGGCCGCGCCGCCGCCGGCCGCCACACCGTCGACCACCATGGGCAGGGCCGGGCCGGGCCGCGCACCGCGCCGAGCACCGCGCCGACGAGCTCGCCTCCCCCGTGCAGCACACGGTGCAGCACGCCGCCGGTAGCCGCCACGACACACCTCTCCTCGTGGTCAGTCCAACTTCTTCGTTCTTTTCCGATTCCTCCACCCCTCCATCCCCAACCCCCGCGTTGTGCGCCCCGTTTGGAAATCAATGACTGAGGACAAGAGCCCGCGGGGGCCGTGGACCGTGTCACTGACCCCGAGTGCGCCGCATCAGCCGAACGGTGTTACGTCGCGATGTCTCTCTTGCCCATGCGGGACGCTCCAGGGGTGCGAGAGAGACATCGCGACCGAAGCACTGTTCGAAATCAGCCTGCAGGGCGGTCTACGCGGAGGCGGTTGCCGCGGTTGCCGCCGAAGGGTTGTCGTTCTTTCTTCCCGACTGTGTTTTCTTTGAGTAACCGCACGGAGAGCGGACCAACCCCGCCAACTTAAAGCACCTGCCCGCCCACGCCCTGCCTCGCGCGGCACTGTAATGCCAGGTGGCTTAGGCGCACACTCCGTGCCGGCTCGCCCTGATCGTCCTCGTGTTCTGCTGGTTCTGCTCCAGATGCCGCGGCCTCGTCCCCCCGATGACGTCCGCAGATGACGTCACTGCCAGGCCGGGGCGGCGGCGGCGCGTTGACCTAGGTGAGTCCCGGCAGGGCGGATCCAGGGACGAGCTCGGAAGGCGGGATGTAGCAAAAGTTGGCTTCTTTGGGCAAAGTGGGACTTGCTGCAGACACTCCCATTATCGCCTGAGTGCCGCCCCGCTCTGTACGCCTCGCCCCCGGTGCGAACCGCGTGCGAGTGCGGAGGCAAGTCACGCTTGGCAGCAGTGTGACGAACACTGTGACAGTGGGGTGGCGTGTGGCCCGCGCGGCCGCCAGACGCGGACAGAAGCGTGCGGCTTTCGTCGCTCTCGTCGTGTCGCCCCTGCGATTGCCTGTCCAGATTTCGCTGCGCCCTCGATCCTCGATCGGCCGCCGTGCCGCTGCCGCGTGACCGTCCACTGCGCGCCTGCTCGCGGACTCGGCTCACGCGTGCAGACCTGCTACCTGCAGTCATGTCATATACTTTTTAAAACTGAAAAACTTGGCAGAAGAGTTCGGACTGCTTACTTTCAATTTCACTCCGGACTTTTGGACCAGCTGGCAAACAATGAAAGCGCTCGCCATCACGCTTCAATTTTAGAATGAAGTAAAACGTGTTTCGTCCGCACCACGCGTGTTGCTCTGTTGCAGCGAATGGCGCCCCATGGCCCCGCTCGACCACTTGGCCCCGGCGCCGCGGGCCTGCAGCACCTGCAGCACGGCCTGCAGCGCGACCAGCATGACCACGACGTGCAGGCCGTGCGCCGCGTCACGCTGCTGCTCAGCCCCAACGGCTCGCTGGTGCTGGTGCCCGAGGACGCCGCCGACGCCGGCTCGCTGTCCGGGCTCGGCGCGCTGCTGGTGGCCACCTTCGCGGCGGGGCTGGCCCTCAACGTGCTGCTGCTGCTGGCGCTGCTGTCCAGCGAGGGCAAGGCGCGCGCCCGCGCCGCGCAGGTGCTGCTCGTGGCGGCCAACGCCCTGGACTGCCTGCTCAACGTGCCCGCCGCCGCCACCGTCGTCACGTCCTGGGGCGCGCTGGTGGACCGCAGCCCCGCCGCCGCCAGGACCCTCTGCAGGCTGAGCGCCGCGTCCGGGCAGGTACGCGCAGCACGTACTTCGGGGCGTCCTATGAGTGCGGGAGGAACAGAGCGATGGAAACGACTCTCGGAATGAGCCAGCCGCCGGCGGGGCGCGACCGGCGCGACTTCTCATTGCACTGGCCCTGGGTTGTCAGCGAGCCCACCCCATTCTTTGCAGAGCTCTGATCAGTGTCATTCGGCGGCAGGGCGGGAAACGGGGGTGGTTTCAAAGACGTGAGTGCGTAGGAGCGCCACCGCCGCCCCTCAGTTCGTGACTCTGAAACTCGTGGCCGCGGCCGGGTGCGGCCACGGCCAAGAATGGCGGTATTTAATTGTCAACTTTGGCCAATGCCGGGGGCTGCGTGGCTGCACACTCCGCCAAAGTAGTTGTCGGGGCTTTGCCGCGTGCCGCGCCGCGCCGTGCCGTGCCGCGCCGCGTCTCCGACTCGGACGCGGCATCGGCACTCGGAGCGACCTGCCCCGCCTCTGGCTGCAGAGCGTTCCGCCGTGACGAGCAGCTGCAAGAATCACATGGAGCTTTCCGCCGGCCGTCTAAATGCGGCGAAGCGGTCCCGATCTTCCAAAATAAATAGCAAAACGGAAAAGAGATGGGTGAAAAAAAATCAGTTTCAAAAAATTACAAGACGGGAAAAATCGGTTTTGAAAGAAGCGGTGGGCTTGTCAAAAACGCAAGGGAGGCCGTTGCAGAATGACCGACGTCCCACCACCGCGACGCTGATCTACGGCACCACCGTCGCGAAGATTAAATTCCTCGCAAACCCCGCGCCGCACGCGTCGGCCGAAAAAAGAGCGAAAGGAAAGGGGAGGTATTTCGGCAAGTCGCAGGGGATGCGGAGAAAGCAAGTCGAGAGAGAAAACAGGCCGATCGGTTTCATTCGTGTTGTGACAGCCGCGGCGGCCACACCGGCACACCACTCACACCGGCAGCGCCGGCGAAAAAAATAAAAACGCTCTATGGGAAGCGGTGGTGGCAGCGTAGCGGCTGCGGGCCCGAGGGGGAATTCCTCGCTGACAAGTGGCCGCCCTTGTGCACGCAGCGCGCCCCGCCCCGCGCTTGCCGTTTGGACAATTATCTTACAACTCCATGGGAAACCTAACGAGGTAGTCGTGTGTCGAAGTGGTGGGCACACCCATCATCCCCTCTCCTCCCCTCCCCTCACACGTGTCACCTGCCACCTGTTCCCATTAATCGCAGGTACGCCGCACGAGCACACATTGTGTCAGGTGATGGTGCCCGTCGTGCCGCCGTGCCGCCGCGCCGCCGCGCCCCGAGCGACCTTCGCCAGGGTGCCGCGCCGCGCCAGGCTGGCCGCCATCGAGTTCCACGAACGCAGCCTGAATTGATCACACCGAATAAGTCTCTCCGGCCACTGTTTGTCCAGCCAGCCCACGGCCCCCGGCCTGGCCCTGGGCGAGACCAAAAATGCGACTCTGGAATGAGGAGGGGTTGTACGCAGGAAAGAGAGGCGGACCGATTTCGACTCGTTCGAAGACATTTGCGATTTTCCCCCGTTCCCCTCCCACGCGCACGCACACAGACGCCAGTCGACCACGAAGCCACGTTCGCGTTGCTCTGTGCATTAATTGCACGTTGGTCTTCTTGGTGTTGGGCAGGCGACGGCCATCCTGCAGACGCTGGCCGTGCTGGTGCTGGTGCTGGACCGCTGCCTGTCGCTGGCCGAGCCGCACGGGTCGTCGTCCACCTTCTCGCTGACGTCGTCGCGCGCGGGGGCGGCCGCGGGGGCGGCGGGGGCGGCAGCCGCAAGGGGCGGTGCGCGTCCGCGGCGACGTGGGGCCTGCTGTGGGGCGCCGCGCCCCTCGCCCTCGCCGTCACCACCCCCATCGCCACGTCCGCCAACGTCCGCATGTTCCCCACAAGGTAAGCAAGCGCGAGTGCGCTACGGCACACTGCTTTACGCTTCAAGTCAAGCGTGGAGGAGCGTCCCATGCCATGACATAGGCGAGAAAGGAGCAGAGCAGAACAGAGAACTACGCTGGAGGTACGCGTGCAACTCGGTCGGGCAAAGCAACGCTCTCGTTGGCCACAGGTACGCCTGCGGCATGGTGCGGCTGGCCGGCGACTCGCCCTGGCCCGGCGTGATCGTCCTCGTGGTCGGCTACCTGTCCTGGTGGGCCGCGCTGGTGATAGGCGTGTCCATGGCGGCGAGGCGCGCGGCGCTGCAGCGCTGGCGGCGCCGGCAGCTGGAGCTGGCCGCGCAGCAGCAGGGCCGCGGCGTGGGGGCGTCCTCGCCGGGGCTCACCTTCAGCCTGGTGGACACGCCGCTCGGCCACCTCAGCCTGGACGAGTACCGCGCCCTCACCCACGCCACCGTGCTGGTCGTCATGTACGTCGCCATGCTGGTGCCGGGGATACTCTCCACGCAGGTGCGTACAGTGCAGCACTATGCTGAGTAACGTCCGGGGTCATTCTGCGGGTTGCACCCTCTTGCACCCTCACAGTGAAGTCAAATGATGTCACCAAGACCTCAATATGAGTAATTTTAGTCAAAATATGGTCTAGTTTTCAAAACGCACTTGTCGTAATTTTTGCCAGATTTTTCACTTTCCCCTAAGCAGTCAAAGCCCTCAAGTTCTGTCTGAAAATTGAGCTAAAGTATTTATTATCTGGGGCCAATCTGAGACACCTGGATTCCTGGCTGTGGCCCCCTTTTACCGTTTGCCCGGACAGGAAAAGCCTTATCGTGCAATCTTCGCATGTGAGGCGGGTGCACCCCGCGCCACGGAGGGCGCGCACCGCGGCGCGGGGGTCGAGGGCGAGAGGGGGCAGGAAAGGGGGGGGGATAGGTGAAAGGGGAGAGGGTCGTATTGCTGCACGCGTCACCTCAAGACCAGAAAAGGGAAAGGGGAGGGGGACTGGGGCGTATCGGCCGAAAAGTTGGACCGAGCGAAATGGAGTGATTATCCCGGCGAGGCCTCGCGAGACTCAATCTCCGGAGCGCCTTGCAACTTTCTGGCACTTTCTGGCCGCCACCGACACCGGACCCACGGACGACGCGGCGCGGCGCCCTCGGAGGACGCCCATCTGCTTCACTGGACCTCGAATGTTGCGTCGCGTTGGATTACCAATAAATGTGTTTGGTTGACGGGGACGTGCTCTGCAGGTGCTGCAGGTGATGACGACGAGGCCCCGCGCGGCGCACGGCCCGGAGGAGCTGTGGCCCGTGCTGACGGGCACGTACGAGACGGTGCTGGTGTGGCTCCGCCTGCAGTTCTCCGTCGTCGTCCCCGTGGCCATCGCCATCCTCAGCAAGGAGGTCCGCCGCAGGGTGGGTACCAGCTCGGCCAGTGGCGGGGCCTTGGAGGGGAAGGCGGTGGCACCTTCAGGCAACTTACAGCGGCCACCTTTCAGGCGGTTCTGGGTGGGGTTTGGGTGCTGCACTGCTACAGGGCGCTCTGCTTGCAGGTGAGCGAGATGACGCAGTGCCTGTACCACGCGTGCTGCTGCTGCCTGTGCTGCTGCACGCGCCGCGCCAACGCGGTGGGGCAGGCCAGGCAGGCCCTGCCGCAGCGCCGCTACGGCCAGCTGGGCGCTGCTCTGCCGCAGGCCAACAACGCCGGCAACGCCAAGGCGGCCTACGCCCCGGCCGGCGCGGGCCGCGGGCAGCGCTGGGCGCGACTGCGGCACCGCGACGTGGACTCCTCCAGCAGGTAAGTGTGTGGCTCCAGAGGGGTGTACTTTTCTTACCCTACTTTTCTTCCCCAACTCACCCCTAGCGGTGCTCTCCGACGACCGCGATAAACGAACCCTCATCGGGACTTGAACCCGTGGCCGGCGCAGGTCCGACGGCGCGGAGACGGTGGTGTCCCCCGGCACGGCGGTGCTGTTCGCCTCGGCGCAGGGCCTGCACCTCCGCACGCTGGACCCGCGGTGGGGCCGCGAGGACGAGGACGCCGACGCCGTGTCCACGCTGGAGCCCGCGGGCGGCGCGGGGAGAGGGGGCCCGTCGGACAGCTCCATACCGCCCCCTGCCGGGCACGCCGGCGGCTGGGGCCGCCCCTGGGCCGAGGCCGAGGGCTCACTGCCCAGATACGTCTTCCAGTTCTGCGACCTGGCCGTCATCGCGGACGCCCCCAGGCACTCCCCCGAGGCCAGCACCGCGTTGGCCGGCCGCGGCTTCGTCCTGGGCCACGCCTCTTCCTCCGCCCCCGCCAGGAAGGTGCGTCCACGCCGCGGTCCACGCCGCTCGACCGAAAACGGAAGGCTGGAGAACCGACTGGAACGACTTGGCCTTGCTTCTTTTTGCAGGTCATGCAGGACACGGACGAGCGGGAGCCGAGCCTGACTCGGGAGGAGCTGCAGGCGGTAAGAGAAAGAGGACATTCGTGTTCCGCACGATGATCAGCGAGCGGGAGTACACGCGGTCCTCGGTCCGTGGGGACACGAGAGCGAGCGGGGCGAGGGAGGGGAGGGGCGCGCTTACGCTGCCCGTGCTGCCCCAAGCCCTAGTTCATTCCGTTAACGCGTGTGTGATTCGAAACTGGGTCAAGGGAGGGCGCCACTTCATCGCAGTCAGCGGTGTAATTATTCCACTAAGCTCGGCGTTGACGCCTCCATTTGTACGTGTCCCGTTTGGCCGTTTTGTCCGCAGTCGCTGGGCAAGCCGCGCAGCCTGTCCAACAGCTACCGCAAGAACGTGCGCTTCGCGAGCGTGGTGTCCGAGATCCCGGTCCCGACGCCGCTGTCGATGGTCGCCGAGAACGACGCCGAGAACGACGCCGAGAACGACCCGACGACGTCGTCGTCCACGGCCTCGTCCTCCGTGACGGCGTCCACGGCGTCCTCCTCGGCTACGGACTCGCCGGTGCGGTACGCGCCGGCCAGGCCGCGGACGAGGTCGCTGGAGCTCGCCCTGGTGTCCGAGGAGCTGCTACCGCCGCCGAGACCGCCGCCGTCCCGGTTCCCGGCCCACCTCAACCACCGCGCTGGCCTCGACCTCACCAAGCCGCCGTCAGCGAGGACGTCCAAAGTCTGATCCACTCCGTGTTTTTATTTAAAATGACCTCTCAATCTCTTTTTAATAAATACATTTTGCTTACCAAAATTGCAATTTTTTTTTTTTTTGGGGGGGGGAGGGAACTTACTTTTGAAAATTTGGACAGCATCGTGGATCACGCACAATCAATCTAACATATTGCATAACATTTGTCTCACCGAAAACATGACGAGGAAAAAGAATCCCGATTGCCGTGACCAGGATTCGAACCTGGGTTATTGCGGCCACAACGCAAGGTACTAACCACTATACGATCACGGCTAACCCGGGATGTTGAGGAGGGGCGCGTTGGAAAGCGACAACACGCAGCGGCAGTGGCCGCGCGGCGCGAGCGCTGCCTGCCGGTGGCCGTCCGAAGCTCTGTTGAGCGAGCGGAGCGGAGGCCGGGGGGAAGGGGAGGGGAGGGGGGGGACACAGTGGCAGTGGCGCGAAGAGGGACTGCCTTTCAAACCGCGCGTCCCTTCGCGCGCGATCGCGTTACGTTTCGACGACGAAAATGATTTCGGGGTCACACGGCCACAACGGCCAAGCAAGAGGGAACACGCAGGCCTGCTCGTCGTCGGCACAGTAAACTCCAAGACCGAAAGCCACGCTCCGTTCATGGTCGAGCGATGACCTGGGTTGCAAATCGAAAGGTCTTCCATGCCGTTTCTTTCTATATTTATACGTCACATCTCGCCACTCGGCGGGCTCGACATCCACGAAAACTACGCTTGTTTTTCTGCCCTGCTGCGCGGGCGGGGCGTGGCGGGGCGGGGCGGGGCGGGGCGTGGCGGGGCGGGGCGTGGCGGGGCGGGACGGTGCTTGGTGGGGACGGGGAGGGAAGGCCGGGGCGGGGGAAGCCAATGAACGTGGAGAAAACAGCGACGCCCCGGCGTGCACATGGTACGGCACGGCAGGGCACGGCACGGCGTCGCACAGCCATACAATTAGCCACAGAAAGGACAAGCAATCTGACTGGGAGGCCCCACAAGGCCCTTGCCTCGCTCGCCCCGCTCGCCTCGCCTGTTCGCTTTGTGGCACCAGAATGGACTCAGCCGGCACCGCGGCACTGGAGGCGGCAACGGGTGGGACGCACGACGCACGTCTCGCACGGGCCGCACGGGCCACACCAGCCGCACCAGCCGCACGGCCACAAAGGGGAAGAGGAGGACGACGCCGACGACATCCCGGGGCCCGGCCCGGCGGAGCCCGGCGGAGCTTTACCACATAGACAGCGTCAGAGGCTAACTTTCATTCAAAATTCTATCCGATTCTATCTGAAATTTCAAGATGTTCGATGGATGTTTTTTTTTTCAATTCGAGACGTTTATGAGATTTGGACTGAAAAGTCGTGGCCCAAAGAATGCGTACGGAGTCTCATGCGGGGTGGTCCCCTGGGTGCCGTGGAAAAGTCGAGAGATGGAGGGGATTTTCTCAGAAGCCACATCAGTTACCATTTACTTCATAAAGGCCAACTTTGAAGAGAAAGGGGGGTCAAATTAAGATTCCAGGAGCGGATGGAAGGAACCACGACGAACGTAAACCCGTATATACCTTTTTCCTTGCTTTGAAGTCCATATCCCCCACCTCCTTCAAGGAGCGGGGTGGAGGTAGAGGTCAAATCACCGATCATGTCCAACTCGGCCAACCCTGGCGCCCGGCGCCGCGGTAGGTTCGGAATAGCAGGGAAGCCCGCGTTGACAATGCGACGCGCACTTGCTCCAGCTCCGCCCGACGTCCGCCCCGCCCCGTCCACGCCGTCGGCCCACGGCCTCGCCTGCTGCACCCACGTGTGGGCCACGTCGTGTGGGCCACGTGGGGGCCACCGTGCCACTCGCGGCGGGATGAAAAGGCCTGCCGTCTGATTCCGAACACTGCTTCGTCGCTCTGTCTCTCTCGCACCCCTACGGACCGCCCCATGAGTGCGAGAGAGACAGAGCGACGAAAGCAGTGCTCGGAATCAGACGGCTGCCGATCGGGGCGGGAAAGGAGCAGGGGGTGTACATCACATCGTTTGCTGCGGCCGCTGCGGCGCTGTTTCCCTTTCCTTTCCTCCTCCTCCTGATTCCCGATACGGCATCGCGGCCGCCAGAGGGCTCCGCTCGCTCTATTTGCGCCGCCGGCAGAGGCCGCACCTTTCGAGCCTCATTTGCACCGTCTCAACTCCAAGCGCGCCGCTGCCGCTGGTCAGTTCGCCGGACTTGGAGAGAAGTTTTGCTCGCCCATCTGCATAACGAATTCCCTCCGCGCTCCGCGAACCGCTCGATCCGAAGTGATTGTTGCGGGACTTGAGGTTTGCTTGACCGATCGGCCGACTTTGGGACTTGGAAAATGGACCATGATCACCAACAATGGTGGGAAAAGGTACACGCTGAAAACCAGCACCATCGACTACGGAGGGCTACAAAGCGTCCTGCTAACCGTTCCAAAAACCTCCCCAGTTCTGTACGCACCCCCGTCAGCCCGCCGTGCTCAGTCTCTCTTGCACCCCTGCGGGACGCCCCATGAGTGCGAGAGAGATGGAGCGCGACGAGAGCGTCTTTCGAACGGAGGCCTGCAGCAGACTGATTCCGAACAGGGCTGTCGTCGGTCTGTCTCTCTCGCACTAATGGGGTGGTCCATTGGGGCGCGAGAGTGACAGAGCGACAAGGCAGTGTTCGGAATCAGCCTGCAGGTGGCGCGGCATGGCGGCATGGCGGCCCTCGCCTCGTTAGACTCGTTAGACGGCCTCTTGTTGTCACTTTGCGTCGCTGCGTCGCTGCCTCTGCCTCGCTTTGCCTCGCTTTGCCGCGCGGCGCTGTGTTGTGTTGTGTTTGCCCATGGTTTGTCTCTGTGAATTTGGCGCCCCGAACGCCCCGAACTCCGCGGAGGCCTGGGCTGCCAGCCCTGCCAGGGCCGCCACGCTCCCGCCGGGCCGAGCGCCGGGCGGGCAGGCAGGCAGGCAGGCAGGCAGGCAGGCCAGGCAGGCAGCCAGGCAGCCAGGCAGCAAGCGCCACGGCACCTGCCGGACTTTGTGTTTGATAAAGCAATAAACCTTCGGGCCAGCGGGGCGGGGCCGGCGGGGCCGGGTCTTGATTTGCAGCGCGTCCCCGGGAGCCTAGCCTAGCCGCCTAGCCGCCCCGCGCAATGTAAACTCGGCAGCGCGCAGCGCGACCACGACCGCGAACACCAACACGACGCACCACCGCGCTGCTTATGCGCCCTCGTCGTCGCCCTGTCTCCCTCGCACTCATGGCACGTCGCGTAGGGGTGCGAGAGAGACAGAGCGACGAAGCGCTGTACGGAAGCACTGCTGGAGCTGGTCCGGGGCCCTTCCACACGCGTGACTACTCGAGGGCAGGGCAGGGCCGAAGTTCCAAAACAACCTCGCGCGTGGCTCGCACTCCAGCTGTTTGCCCGCGGATGGGTGCGAGACGCTTCCTCGGAATCACTCGGCAGTCGTGCAGTGTGTAGGTCGCTCGCACTTTGAGAGTGAATCCGAACAGCTCGTTCGTCGCGGAATCAGTCTTGGGGGCACCAGGCACCGCGCCCGCGCGCCCAGCCCGTGCTGGCCGCTAATACGAACATGCGCGCCGGCAAACGGGGGTGGCCGCGGGGCGGGCGGACGGTCAGGGAGGGGAGGGGGAGGTGGTCCTTGGGGAGTAGTGCCCCGCCCGCCCCGCCCCGACGTACAACAACAATGCATTTAGCCGCATTAAACCCGTGGACGCACCTAGCAGTCCTTGCCGTCCTAGCGCCGCCGCGCAGCGCCGCCCATTTCGGCCCCCCGCCCTCCACGCCGACCCGCCGGCGCGGTACTCTTGTACCCAAAGCAGCCTCTCCGGCCAACTCCGCGCCAACTCCGATCGCGGCGTGCGTGTGGACGCCGCGTCCGGCCGCGTCCGGCCGCGCCACGCCGCGCCACGCCGAGCAAGACAAATAGTGCGCCAGGATGAACATGGACCCGCCGTCAACCTGTTGGAGGGAGCGGCGGCAGGGGCAGGCCGGCGCGGCGCACCGCGCGCAGCAGCAGCGCAGCAGGTCGCCGCCCTGAGTTTGCCATACTTACCGAATTCTGAAATTTCGAAGAAATCGGTGACTATGACACCCGACAAATGTTTCCTTGAACGAGCAAAACGGTTCCGTACCCACGGATGACCTTTCTTTTCAGAGATCGCATCACACTGGGCTCTGCCACCGCGGACTGCGACGTTTCGTCTTGGCTCATTGGATCGTGCGGACGACGCAGAATCTTGTAAAGTTTCGAACAGTCGACTCGGTACCAATTCCGTTCGACGAAGACCCGGAGCGTCGCTGCGTCCGCTGCGTCCGCTGCGTGCTACCCCTCCCGCGACGCCCACGCCCCGCCCCGCCGCGCCCCGCCCCAACCCCCCACGGCCCCCTTATAAGGCGCCGCCCCCACCCCGAGGCCCTCACTCGCCCCAGCGCCACTGTGGTGTCCACTGCGGTGTCTACGTCGCCGTCCTGCGCTCGCACGTCCTTGCTGGTCCAGCAAGTGAAGCCCGTCAAGCCCCGCATAGCCGTGCAGACAGCTTCGGCCCTGTCCTCCGGGATGACCGGCATGCAGTACTCTTCGAGGTAGGTGCGGTGCACTGTGCGCGCCAAGGACTGAAGCACCAACTGCCGACAGTCCTTGGCGCAAGAGGACGGAGTGCGTGGACGGGTAGACGGGTTGCCTCCGGCTCCGGGCTCGGGTTCCGGGTCAGCTGCCAGTTGGGTTGCCTAGCCCTCAGGCGAGCAGCCACCGGTCGACTGAGAGTCGTTTACGTCGCTCTGTCTCTCTCGTATCTATTCGCGACGCCCCATGAGAGCGATAGCTACAGAGCGACGTAAACGACCCTCTGTCTCAGTCCTCTGCGCGGAGCCGAACGGCAACCGACGTTTCGATTGTCGATAGAAGGCAAGCCGAGAGGCAACCCCTCTCGCTCCTTTTCTGTTCCCCAGGGTTGAAAATAAACTGGAGGCACGGTTGAGTTGGTGCGTGCAGACTTTTCGCTGGGTGCGAAGATAGGCGTATCCGCTCCAAAAGTGGATCTGAAAAATAAGGGATGATGATTATCGTATAATTTTGTTTGGTGCTCTGAGATGCCCAGGGGAGAGAGTTGAGTTGCTGCCGCCGAACGGTGGGTAAGGGGAACGCGTGTTGGGCCTGGGAGACCTGGGGGACCCGGGGCGCTTTAGATTGGTTAAGCGAACATCAGTGAATGGGAAGCCGAGGCCCCCGTGCAGAATGCATGGAGTGGCCAGGCAGTGGCCAGGCAGCGGCCAGGGAGCGGTCCGGAGCTTGGATAGCCTTGGCCATGCCTTGGCCATGCCTTGGCCATGCCTTGGCCATGCCTTGGCCATGCCTTGGCCATGCCTTGGCCATGCCTTGGCCATGCCTTGGCCATGCCTTGGCCATGCCTTGGCCATGCCTTGGCCATGCCTTGGCCATGCCTTGGCCAGGTGCCTTGGCCATGCCTGGCCATGCCTTGGCCATGCCTTTGGGCATGCCTGTGGCCATGCCTTGGCCATGCCTTGGCCACTGCCTTGGCCATGCCTTGCGCCAGTCGCCTTGGCCATGCCTTGGCCATGCTTGGCCATGCCTTGGCTCTGATGCCTTGGCCTGCTGGCCACGCATGCCTTGGCATTCCATGCCTTGCCCTGCCTTGGCCCCATGCGGGCTTGGCCGATGCCTTGGCCATGCCTTGGCCGATGCCTGGCCATGCCTTGGCCATGCCTTGGGCCATGCCCTGGCCATGCCTTGGCCATGCCTGGCCATGCTTGGCCATGCCTTGCCATGCCTTGGCCATGCCTTGGCCATGTTGGCCATGCCTGCCATTTGGCCCCTGCTTTGGCCTGCCTTGGCATGCCTTGGCCATGCCTTGGCTGTTGGCCATGCCTTGGCCGCCTGGGCGGCAGCCGGCCAGCCTGGCGCGGCACGGCCGCGGGCAACTCCCTCAATGCATTTTGCATTCGAGGGTCTGGGGCCGGTGCGGTGCACTGAGTCCGGGACACTGAAACAGGAGGAAACACCCCCAAATGGAAACTAGCGGAGCAGAACTTCGAAGTCGCCGAGGGGCACAAGGTTTATTAGCTCGGTCTGATAGTCAGCTCGGTACAGTATGCGTCGGGATTCATTTCACTCGTGGCCCCAGTCGGGTTGGCCGATTGGTCCAATAAGCGTCAGATTTAAGCTGTGGGATCATGGGAACGCGGGTTCGAGCCCCACAGCCGCGGCAGTTTTTCCGCCTGACGATAAACCAAAAAGAGCGACGCGATTTTCCCTTTTTGCACTCGTTTTGCACTTCCTGGTTGCCTTCCCGGCTTCGTGAAGGCGATTCCGAGGCGGCGCGAGGCGGCGCGGGGCGGCGCGGCAAGGCTCCGTTTCCGGTTTCCGGCCTCGTAACGTCCCTTCCGGAGTTCCGCGCCGGAAGCGCATCTCGTCTACGTGGCCAGCCTGCCCGGGCCTGCCTTACTCCAGTTCCAATTGGAAGCACGAGTCACGGACCTCGTTCGCGCCCTGATTTCGATTATTTTGTTATCAGGTAGTTTGAAAAAAATAATGCAAGTATTGTTTTGTGATAATACTGAATAAAATATTCGGTGTGGGGATCTGACCTAAAATCTGATGATGAATTTAAACCTTGCGTCTCTTTTGCGATGAATTCATCCGGGTTTGGCCCCGCCCCCACTCTAGCCAATGCCTGCCACCTGTCGCTAGACGGGATATCGCGATGAAGTTTGGCTGTGTTCATATTTTTAGGGGTTCCCTAGAACCCGTATTGTTTTACACTGCAGGGGCACTCCCGGGACGGCAGGGCGCCGCCGCCGAGGCCACCGCAGTCTCTCCGGGCGAGGGGGGAAGCGGCGGGGTGGGGGTGGGGCGCACAGAGCGCAGAGCGGCGCGGAGCCCGGCCCCGGCCCGTTACTTACGCTTCTGTTTCAATCACTCTCCGCGTTATCGATAACTTTCTGAATGGAGTGATTGCGTACCGCTCGCTGAGATGTCGCAGACGGCGGATGACAAAGGAACTGAAAGTTTTCTCTGAGCCTCTGCGCTCCTCGTTGCCACTGCGCCTTGGCGCGACGCGCTCGTGCGTTCCGTGGAAAAAACGTCGACAGTGCGGGTGCAGCCGCCGCGCAACGCGTTCGGCCAGGCAAGGGCGGATCCAGAGACGGGGGGGGGGGGGGGGGGAGAATCTGCGGCTTGGCCGACGGCCTGGCCGTTCCTCGAAGCTTCGAGTACTGGTGTTTCACCGCGGGCCTAGGCGGCGCTACGCGGGCCGCGTGGGATGAAGACCATGAAGACGGAGGCCGCGGTTTCAATTTCCGACATCTCAATAAAACTGCGCACTTCGTTTCCCCGCCGTTCCCGCGGGATCTGCATACATATTAGGGCGCAACGACGAGCCGCCCGCCTTGCTTCACAGAAGGGGGGGTAATCGCGTGGCCTGGACTTGTATTCAATTACTTTCCGCGCGCCGGCAGTCCCCGACGCCCGGAAGGTAGGCCGCCCCGAGGCCAGGCAGGGGCATGCCGGCACCACTGGTAAAACGGGGCGCGAAAACCACCCCCTTTAACTAAGGGAATGCCTTCGGAAAGACATCAACACTTTACATTAAATCGCGTAGACGCCCTGGTAGATCATCATTCGTTGTCGTTGTGCTAGCGGTGAGGTTGCTGGGAACTGACTGACTCTGCCTGTCCCTCAGGTTGTTGCGGCAGGTGGCCATGCTGCTGGTGGTGGCGTGCGTGCTGTGTGCCACGGCCGTCACGGCGCAGGTCAACTTCTCGCCCAGCTGGGGCAAGCGCGGCGCCCCGCAGCAGGAGGCCTGCAAGCCGTCCATGGACTCGCTTATGTATCTCTACAAGCTCATCCAGGTCAGTCGCTGTGGTCGCTTTAATTCGCTGACGTTATCCGTACGAAGAATTACAACATTTAATGCTGACCGTTTTCCCTCCGTACTTCCCTTGTTGCAGGACGAAGCACAGAAGCTGTCCGACTGTGAAAAGTTCAACAATTGAGTTTCAAGCACAGTTCTATGCATTACTTACATTTCACATTATTGCAGTCTGCACGCTTAGTTTCTGAAAATTCTGTACCTTCCAACAAAATGTTGAAGTTTGGTTTATGCTGGGTGCCGAATGTACTTCCCAAAAATAAAATGTTATGAATCCTTGTGGAGAAGGGGGCATTAAGAAAAACACGTTATGTCTATTCATTGGAAAATTTTACCTTCCTCACACGTATGATAAAAAAAAAATCAACTGGATTTACGTTGGTTTAGTAATTGAGACAGAAAGCTGAAATAAAAATGCCGCTAGCAAGGCGCTAGCAAGGCGCGCGCGTACCAGAGGGCGGTTCATGACCCCAGTTGTCGCGTGTCAATGAGATGACCAACAATACAATGCGACCGAAGGAAGGCATGGACACGCAGTCCGCCGAACACCTATAAAGTAGGCAAAAAGTGCGACTGGACTGGGGTGATTCCTCTGCGTCCGCCTACAGAAAGGAAAAGAGGACCAGAACAAGCGTACCCTCACAAATCGGTCGACTCGAAAGACAACATGGAAATCAAAATAAGTTCTGTTTATAAATACATAGAAAATAACACGCTCACAAACACACCACACACACACACACACACACACACACACACACACACACACACACTAGACTGTCCCACGAAAAATTACATGTTCTGTTTGCTCACGGGGCACTTGAAAAATAAGTTCTAAATGAAAAAAAAGGGAAAAAATTCTTTTGGCCCCAAGCATTCGGACAAATTTAGGGTCGCGCTCGCTCCCAAAGTGAAAATAGGGGTTTTTTTGGCAAATTTCGCCCTTTTTCTCACAGCCACGGCGTTCCCGCCGTCCCTCGCGACTCGGTCGGACTCCTAGTACCCTCGCGTAACATTCCAGCACCAACCCGACCCTTGCCGCCCCTAAAGCCCTTTAATAAGGGCCCAAAAACAATAATTTTTATCAGAAAATTTTGTTGAAAAGTGCTAAAAAAAGTGTAAGGGGAAATTAGGCAAGTCTGTGTGGCTCAATCGTTTGGGAAATCATCAAAAAACCTAAGTGTCCAAAATTTGGGAAGTGCCTACGGTCAAAAAGGGGCCCACCCGAAGCAGTGCAAATTCACAATTTTCGGGAAACGGCCTATTTTCCATATAGGCGTTCCAGACCAAAAAGGCCACTTGGCCGGCAACCATCTCGGGTCGAGCTCAAACGTTTTCCTGGGTTCCTTTCATCCTTACGGACTGCCGAAACACCATGGGAGCGAGATCCGACTCAAATTTCCCGGGATTGTAAAAGGGACGTAAACCCCCCAACACCGGTAGAACTCAAGCGTAGTTTTACGCCTTTCTTCAAGCGTAGTAGAACCACGCTCGGCTTCAAGCATAGTTCTCCATTTAGCCCCTCTCCCGCCTATCGAAATGCATGGGAGAATTTCTTCTCTACGCTTGACGTCAAGCGTAAAGTCTTCAAGCGTAGTTGTATGCTTGAATAAAGCATACAACTACGCTTCAGCTTTACCGGTGAGGGGCTTCCATCTCCCATTTCTATCTTCCATCTCATCGTGATCAACACCTCTTGAAACGCCTTTTAAACTGTCTTGAAGCTTCGAGACTTTCTCGTGGAAAAAATGTTTTGACGATGTGGGGGTATTGACCCATGGGTACACTGATTTTCTAAGTGTAACAATGAACTAATTTAAAAAGCAATAACATTTTCATTGCTCTAGTAGTGCCATGAAAAAGTTTTTGCATTATAAGTGCAATAATTGTTGTATTGCATTAGCGCATTTATCACATTATTAACGTAGTTATCATTTTATGGCATATGTGATAATCTGGGCCCAGGCCGGCCAAAACCTGAGGGAATTATTGCATTTTTAATGTGATAATTTTTTATTGCTGCCGCGGATGCGATAATTTGAAGGAATCACACTAGTCTTTTTATCGCAGCAAATTGTATGAAACTTATAACATTAGAAATACCAGTGTATAGGCAGGCACCATTTAAGCCAAAGAGGAGCGAAATCGCCGATGATCTACTTTGAAGGGCCCTGATATGATCAAATCTCCAGTGAACATAAGGAAATTGAGCGACTTTGCGAGCCCGTAGCGTCAAAACCCGACGTCGTACAGCCGCGTGTGACACGCCAATCGAAAGAGCGCATTATTTCCCACAAGAAAAACCTAGAGGGTAGATTTTTTAAACAGCCGCTTCCACCAGCCCAACAAGTCCCAAACCCTCAAAGACAGCCATTTAGAGGGGTTAACGACCCTTTTAAAAGCCATTTTGGGGGGTTTACGACCCTTACACAATCCGGAGTTTGAGTCGGATCTCGCTCCCATGGTGTTTCGGCAGTCCGTAAGGATGAAAGGAACCCAGGAAAACGTTTGAGCTCGACCCGAGATGGTTGCCGGCCAAGTGGCCTTTTTGGTCTGGAACGCCTATATGGAAAATAGGCCGTTTCCCGAAAATTGTGAATTTGCACTGCTTCGGGTGCGGCCATTTCTGACCGTAGGCACTTCCAATTCCGGACACTTAGGTTTTCGATGATTTCCAATCGATTGAGCCACACAGACTTGCCTAATCTTCACTCCTTACACCTTTTTCAGCACTTTTCAACAAAATTTTCTGATAAAAATTATTGTTTTTGGCCATTATTAAAGGGCTTTAGGGGTCGGCAAGGGTCGGGTTGGTGCTTGAATGTTACGCGAGGGTACTAGGAGTCCGACCGAGTCGCGAGGGACGGCTGGGAAGCGCCGTGGCTGTGAGAGAAAGGGCGAAATTTGCCAAAAACCGCTATTTTCACTTTGGGAGCGATGCGCGACCTCTAAATTCTGTCCGAATACTTAGGCCAAAAGAATTTATTCCTTTTTTTACATTTATAACTTATTTTTCAAGTGCCCCGTGAGCAAACAGAACATGTAATTTTTCGTGGGACAGTCTAACACACACACACACACACACACACACACACATACAAATAGTTTTGATATCTAAACTGCCACCTGGAAAAGATTCAAGGTCAGATATATATATTTTTTATATATTTCCCCCGTTGGATGGACAGCGATAGGGGGAGACCTAGGGATATTCGAAACAAACCGCTGAAAAATGGATCGTGGTTGATGACAGTTGACGATCGTATCCGGTCCATTCTCTCATGAACAGAACAACAACAAACTCCTCGACTGTCGTCTGTTTAGCTACGGTCAGTCGTGCCCTATTTTTTCGGTTAAAATATTGACGTTCTTTCGCTTTTGCGCCTTGACTATTTAACGATTCAGTCAAAAATAGACTTGTGCCAATATTATGGTTTCTTTGCTAACATTTTCAGTGACGGAACCAACGCAAAACCCGAGGGGCGGGGCGGTGGAGTTTGGGGAGTTTCTGTTGGTTTCGGGAGTTTCTGAAGTTCTAATCCGAGCTCGGGATTGGTCGGATCAGATAAACGACGGAACAGCGTTCCTGCTGCTGCGAAAGGCTACTGTCGCACAATTATCTGCTGCTAGTTTTCAGTGTCATTTAGCGTCATAGCGTGGCAAATTCTCGTGTATGTTTGAGAAATGTGCCGTGTTATCACAGTTCCTCACTGCTGTGCGGCGTAGAATGAGAAAAGCGAGCCGGAGTCGTGGTGGGGAGAGCAGCGTAGTTGCAGAAAGACTGGCAGACTACAAGGGCTCGACGGGTGGCCTGAACAACCATCAGGGGTTTGAGTGCGACGGCGACGGCGAGATCGAAATCGCTTCAATCGTGAACGGGACGACCACGATGGCGACCGGCTCTACTGCTACCGCCCCCAGCGTCACCACGCAGCTTCCTTTGGACCTGCAGCCAACGGAGAAGAAACTTTCAACAGCTGGCCTAGACGGCACCAAACCTAAGGTGGTGACTGTCAAACACCCCGAGTCAAAACATCCCAAGCCGACGGTGAAAAAATGCAGGCCTTTGCAAGCGGATCTCGACTGTTGCAAAGAGTTCCTCAAAAACAAAGAGGAGGGAGAATTGCGACTTGATCTCAGTAAGTCTAACATAACTATGTTACCACCTACTGTGAGGGAGTTGACTCATCTTGCCGAGTTGTATTTATATGGTAACAAGCTGTCAACACTACCATCGGAAATTGGCAGCCTGTCTAATCTTCGCACTCTAGCTCTTAGTGAAAACTCCTTGACTAGTTTACCTGAATCTCTATCAAATCTGAAAAGTTTAAGGGTTTTGGACCTTCGTCACAACAAGCTGAATGAGATCCCCGATGTTGTGTATCAGTTACACTCCTTAACAACTCTATTTCTTCGGTTCAATCGCATCAAAGTTGTTGGTGATGACATTTGTCATTTAACAAACCTCACCATGCTCTCATTACGAGAAAACAAAATCAAAGAGCTACCTGCTGGGATTGGTACTCTAGTCAATCTTGTAACATTTGATGTATCGCATAACCACCTTGAACACTTGCCTGAAGAGATTGGCAAATGTATGATGTTACTCACTCTTGATTTACAACATAATGAACTACTGGACATCCCAGACAGCATTGGAGAGCTAAGCCAGCTTCAGCGACTTGGGTTGAGATACAACCGTCTAAATGGTGTTCCGCAGACCCTCAGCAATTGCAAGCATATGGATGAATTCAATGTGGAGGGAAATGCCATCTCAGTTCTACCGGAAGGCCTTCTTTCCAGTCTGTCTGAGTTAACAACAATCACATTGTCAAGAAATAATTTTACTGCTTACCCATCTGGAGGACCTGCACAGTTTACTAGTGTTCAATCAATCAACTTGGAGCATAATCAAATTGATAAAATTCCGTATGGCATTTTTTCTCGTGCAAGAAATCTCACCAAGCTTATCATGAAAGAAAACCAGCTGACGGCCCTACCTTTGGACATGGGAACATGGTTGAATATGGTTGAACTAAATCTTGGAACCAATCAGCTAACGAAGCTACCTGAAGATATACAGAATTTACAGAACTTGGAAGTTTTAATTTTGTCAAACAATCTCCTGCGTAGATTACCTGCCAGCATTGGAAGTTTGCGCAAACTCAGAGTGCTTGATTTAGAAGAAAACAAGATTGAAACATTACCTAATGAGATTGGATATCTGCGTGAACTGCAGAAGTTGGTTGTACAATCCAACCAAGTCTCAATCCTACCCCGAGCTATTGGCCACCTTGTCAACTTGACATACCTAAGTGTTGGTGAGAACAATTTAATCCAGTTACCTGAAGAGATAGGAAGTTTGGAGCAGTTGGAACAATTGTACATAAATGACAATGCTAATTTGCACAATCTTCCATTTGAACTAGCATTATGTTCCAGCCTTCAGATCATGAGTATTGAAAACTGTCCCCTTTCACAAATTCCTGCCGACATTGTCAGTAAAGGACCTTCATTAGTGATACAGTACCTCAAATTGCAAGGCCCGTACCGTGCCATGTGAGACTACTGTATCCGTTGACAATGTGCTCAATGTCGTCAGCATTTCTTTGCACTCAATTTGGCCTGTTCCATCCATAGCTGCAACTTGTTTTTAAATCCTTAAAAAAATTCCTTTTTAATATTTTTAACTGAATCAGTTATTTCAGAAGTTTCATCATTCACGTGCTTGCAAAATATTTATTGTTGCATCTTGCTTGTTGTTTACTGCACTTGTAAATTTAAAGTCAAATCTACTCAGGTATTCATTTAGGCTCCTTAGTTATTATCATTTCTTATTGTGAATTAATTTTTCTTGCCCTCTTGTGTTTTATGAGATGTCACCAAGGCAATCAATTTTATCTTACAGATTTTCAATAGATTATTGTGAAATACTTTCTGTCCCCAAGTTAATGTTCTTTATTTAATTTTTTTCCTTGTCAAGAAGGTTAAATATGACTTTTTTAAAAAAAACTAGAAGCAGTCATCAGTTTACTTCAGGTACTGCCTGTATTAAGCTGCTATAGTTATTCCTTTTATCCCTCTGTTAATTTTAAGCATTGCTTTCGGATGTTCTCAGCCTATTACTACTATTAATAACTAATGAAAATGTATTTTGTTGGTGCTCAAAGCATTGAGATTTACGGTCGGCATGTATAGTCCTAATATTACAATTTTTTAAGTAATCAATCTAATACACTCAGAGCAGTATATTGCCTGTTAGCATTTATGTTGGTAAACTATTATTCTACAAGTAATATTTCTTACCAGTTTGAAAAGATTTGGCATCACATCCCAAGAAGTTTATTGTTTTACTAGTCGACACTTTGTCCAGGAGGCACTTGTTGGGAGGGGAGAGAGGTGTGTAGGTAGCCCCTACTAGTGAGTCTTTTATAATTTGTATCTGATAGAAAAAAAATTAAACTGAAAGGTCGTACAAAACAATTGAATAAATTTAAAATTGAATGTTGGAAAACACAAGCGGTTCTCTGTGGGTATTACATTACATATGTTACTCAAAGTGATGAAAATTGTGTCTTAATATTCTTCTAGACTTTAATTCATGTTAATCTGGTCAGTACACCTTAAAACATATTTATTCTTATTTAGTCATATTGTATTAATGGCTTTCAATGTCATCTTAATGTGTGTTAGTTATGGAATTAGCATCAATGCTGTAGCCAAAGTGTGAGGCCTACTGATTTGAAATGCCAAAAATTATTTAAAAAACTCTCTTAAATCATGAAATTGTTTTAGTATATATATTTGGTGTAATAAGGTAGCCTTGTTTGACTTTTTAGTTGGAAAGTGCCAAATCTGTGTATATTTGGAACTATTGTTACGGCCTGAATAACCCCGAGGTAGAGTGTCAGTAAGACACATTGAAATTATTACTCTAGCACATGTACCAATATTAATTATGATATGATGCTTTGTTTCAGTTCATGGATAATTAAATGACCTGGAAACTTAATCTTTTAGCATTTTTGGTAGATGTCACCAAAACTAATTTTATTTTTTATGGAATAGTTGGCATTAGACTCTTGGGCCCCAGACTTTGCATTCAGATAGCCAGGTTGACATTCAATGAGCACTTTCAGCCATACACTATTGCCATGTTGAACTGGAACCTATAGTAGCCTTGCTGAATGTAGTATACGATCTACCCTGTTTATTTATATCTTACCTTTAATTCTTCACACAGTTAACTTGGCCATACTTTTTGCAGAAAGTCATTAAAGTTGGATAAGCAGTCTACCCTGTTACTAGGTGACATTTTTCGAAGAAATTTTTATTTTGAAGTTATTTGATCAATGTATTGTGAATGTATTAATGTATGTGTGTGCTTTCAAGAAATCAGTTCCTTTAGGCTTAATTTTTTTTACTTGTTCGAACTCAGTTGTCTTGTGGGTTCCTAGAGATGTGGAGCAGCTGTGCTTTTATTTTTGTGTTGTCTTTGGATTGGTGGGTGAAAGAACATACTGTAACTGCCTTTCACAAGTCAAAAGTTCATTTGACTTCCTGGTTTCTTCACGTAAGTAGGGTGTAATAGAGTATCAACAAAACAAGGTCTTAATTTGGTTTTTCCATCAGCGTGTCTGAAAAAACGTCTAATAACAATGTTTTGTTGCTACTCCATTAGGCCCTTATTACATGGTTCCTTAAGTTCTTCCTTTAGACGATGCATTTATATTAAGTGTTGGGCCAAGGTTTTCTTGACAAGTGCTACTGCTTTGTTAATAAATTGCAGGATAGTGGTGTATCCAATCTAGTTTATACAGTCTTCGTGGCTGAGTGGGAAGTGAATGAATTTTTCCTTTTGTTTGTGCCAGCTCTATGGCTGGCTAGCATTTTGCCTCAGACAAGCATCTGAATAGCCCATTACCATGCTGTATAAATTATGCATTCCTGCAAACAGTAAATGTAAGATACTATACGCATGCCTCATAGAAAAACAAAACAAGCGTCTTAAAATTTCTATTTTTGGTCGCTTTGTTTCAAATTGTGTGCCTCGTGTTACTCCCAATGTAGTGGGTGATATATGTTTTGCCTAAAGTAGCTTTACTTTAGATATATTTCCACATTTTAATACTTGAACTGATGCACAAGTGTGATTTATGTTTGAATGAATGAATTTTGAAGACTGTATGTGTACTCTTTGCCATTGTATTTTTGAGGATTTGTTGGTTCATCACAGGTAATGCTGATAGGAAAATTTAAACTGCCTTGTCAGCTTACAGTTCTGAAGCTTGTGCTTTTTAATACTGCCATAATTTTGGAGAAAGTGCAGAAATTATGTGGTGCAAAATCTAATGTAGTTATACAACTACTAAGTCACAACGTTGAAGCTAAAATCCAACAATGAAGGCAGCATTTGCAAGTTCCTGTTGTGCCATGTATGCTTGTTGGTGTTTTTCATGCATAGTTTGTCAGAAGAAAAATGAGGGTGGTAGGGATCTTATGTTGTAAGTTCTAGGAAAGTATTATAGACTGAAAGACAAATTGTAATTTCATTGCTTTCTTGTACCGTAATTGTATTTTTCTTAGAAAGTGAAATATGTTTAAAATTTGTCAGGTTGCTTGAGACTAGATCTTTCCACTAAATGATACCTGTCATTCGGAAGGTATGTTCCCACTATTTCCCTCTGGGAAAGAGAACATACACTAAGAATTGAACAACATTAAGCAACACTTTGTGTTTCTTTTTCTCTGTGTAGTCTTGTTATTGGACATGGTTGGTGTGTGTGAGATCTGTATTACATACGTTACTGTTTATGTCTTTTGAAACCCATTGTGATGTGATGATAAAATTGGTCATGCCATTTAATTGTGGAATAGATTGTAATCAAATGCTAACAAAATTTAGTGACAGAGTTTTGTAGATAAAATTGATTTAGTCAGACATGTGTCTCTTCAACGTGATCTCTCTGTGTGTGTGTTTGTGTTTCCTTTATGGGATCTGCCTTGTCCCCTAGCATAGTATTGTATGGTTGTCCATTTTCATGTCTTATCAGTATACATTGCCCCTTCTGTGCAACATGATCAAAGGAAATTATTGGACATCAATTCATCGCTCTGGACTATACTTAAATGCTCATATGAAGGCCTATTTTATTTTCTGCAAATGGTTAAGAGCACGCTGGATGTGCTTGAATTGTTAAATGGCTTCAAAATCAGCCTTGTGACTTGATAGATTAAGAGAAATATTTTTAAAGCTTTAAATGGTGATATTTTGTGAATTTTTTCTGTTAAAAGACATTTGTGAGGAAATTGTATCCCTCAATCCGTGGATTTATGAATTTTAATCCAGTACATTTGTTTACATCCTTTTGTTACAAAAAATGATTATATCTTTTTATCCACGTTTACTGAAGGTACCCAATTCATTGCATATAGTATTATGTATGTTTATAGCTATATCAATGGTTAAATTGATTTGATTGTTGGTGCAAATGTTGTTATATATCCGTGTTTCATTTTAAGTATGTTGCAAAAAGTAGCTTTTATTCAGTGATAAATGTTAACAAGCATCTTCTTTCCTCCAGTACATTTTCAGTGTAAACAATTGTGAATAATTCCATCTTTAAGTCTTTCAAATAATTAAAAATTTGTGGCGTTAAAGATTCAACCAAAAAAAAGAAGAATTCTTTTTATAAAAACATTGCTTTGTTTGTACCTGATGAGTACTTGTACTTGAAGAAGAATGGCCCTAGCTTACTGGATTCTCCTTTTATTTATTTAATTTTTCAAATATTGCTTAACAGAAATAGTGTTGATAATTGTTTCTAAATTATTAACATTCTAGCTTTGGTATTGAGACTCGGTGTACAGAGCCGCTTCCTTCTGTCAGTTGAAACTCCACACTATCCACCTCTGGAATAGCAGATAAGGAACCATATTTCTCTGAAACTCAATTAAAATTGTGCTGATGTACAATATGACAATAAAAACTGTGATGGGAAAGAAGAGTCAAGAAAGTAGTGTGACTGTGTAAGTTATTTACTGCTGGAGACTTTTTTTCTTTTCTTCCTTCTTACAGCTTCATGTTACTTTCATGCCAACTTGATTTAACTCTGGTAATTATGTCTCAAAATTTTAAACTCAGTGTCTTTATCCTATGCTTCTATTTATGTGTTTTATTAATTGTAGTATTGACACTTAATTTTGATTGAAGTATATGTGTTCAGAGAAAGAAAAGCAAAACAAACAAATTTGTGTGTTCTGTATATTTCGTCTCAGTGTTGGACACCTTTGTAGTGGTGTTAATTGAGGCATATCATTCTGAAGGCTGGTGTAGAAGTTCAAAATACATGAATTATTGTGAACAACTTGATGCGCACTAAACACTATGTCTTTCTGGTCAGATCTTGCATTTACCTACATGCAGAATGTACATAAATGTACACTGTGATGTAAAAACCATTATTGCTGTGTGCGCCCAGATGAGATTGCAGCATTAAATTCAATTTAGGAAAGGGCATCAGATTAGATCCTTAAGTGAGATTGAGAATAGTAAATGCCCTTCATGTTGTGTTAGCCCCACCATTCTTCTTATGTCTCAGGGCTGATGCTTAAGGCCTATTGTGTACTATTTCATTTCCATCAATCGGCACTAATTGAATGCGACACGTATCAATTTCTCCTGTAACCAGGAAAAATAAAAGTGTGACATCCTAAATGTGTGTTGTTTTCTCCTCTTCCTGTCTCATGTAGAACAAAATGAAAAGCAAGTACTAGAGAGTAACTGACGAAACAAAGAAAAATCTTTATTCCAATTATATCATTGATGCCTTACAACTTAATGTTGCACATGTTGAGTGACGGTTAAAACTTGATGCCAGCATGGATTTGAGGGATAAATACAAGAAAATTTAGGCAGGGCCAAATTAAAATAGGTAGCTGAGCATGTTAAACTCCTATATTGACTGTCTAAAAACTACAATATTAAAATTTAGGTGCATCTGTGCCAATCTTCCTTTCAATTGGGTTGACAATCTGAAAACAAGAATAAACAAGTTAGAGAAGCAATTTATCAATTTTGCTAAGTGGTACTCGTTCTTTGCCTTCAGGTGACACAAATGTAATCTCAGTATTTCACTCAATATAAGGCGTAAACCATTTAACTGATGTCTTCTGAATAGTTCAAGGTTTTGGTAGCAACATTACTTCAGAGAAAAATAATGCTTGTATAGTACAATCAATGGGCATTGAACTTGGGTTTAGAGATCGGGGGAGCAGGGCTGTATCCATTGGTCTACATCACGTTACATGGCTGGGGTGTGCTAACAATGCCCCTAGAGGAACGGGGCTTCCCTGAGACCTAGCGGCGAGAGGGCGCATGCGCCGGCACCGTTGTTGAGGTTAAAATCGTGGGACTTAGAACATTTTGGCTGGCAACAGCACAACATCTAGTAATCTCAAAAAATCATGTAATAAACAGGTAAAATTCATAAGAGGAGAATTTTTTTTGTCTCATTGTTGGCCTAATTTAGTACATTCATTTCCTAAATGGTTTAATTTGCAAAATTTTTCCTATAACCAAAAAAATTCATCCAAATGTTGTCTTCTCTCCTCTTTGTTTTAAAAAAGGGAAAAAGTACTTAGGTAACAGAAAAAAGCTTTAACAAATTTTATCTTCACCTACAAAATAATTTACATATTGAAAAAATTATCCACATTTGATTTGTGTGTTAAAAAATTTACGGAATTAAAATGGGGTCACCAATTGTGTCTAAACCAAATTAAAATTTTTCTCGTCCTTTCCTTTCAATTGGGGTTGAAATCTGAAAAAGAAATAAAATTAGAAAAGAGACATAATTTCAGTTAATTCTCTTAAAGTTACACCAAGTTAAAATCTACATTAACTGAGTATTCATTTTGATATTTCTTGAGCACTGGAAAAATATTGTGGTCAATATTACCTTGTAGTTCTTCTTTTCGTACTCTTGCCAAGGCTCAGGGTTTGAGTGCCTGTTCCATGTAACATCGGGATTCTTGGTCGCTAGTCTCAAGGTGTATCCAACGGAAATGATGGCACCAACTCCAATGCAGAGCCACACAGGGATTAACTGGAAATAAATTCAACTGATTAACACCCAAATAAAATGAAAAAGTAAAAGACTCAAAGAGAAGATAACCCTACTATTATATAGTTATAAGTAGTCCAGTTGGTATGGACGGGACGACATCAGTATAAAAACTACAATATCACAATAGAGAACGAAAAAACTGACGGTATGCCAGAAACAATTCTCGTAGCAAAAATGACAATACTTGAAAGAGACGGAATCGACCTTCAAGTACAGCTCTTGATTAACACAGCACACACATCATAACATCGAAGAACTTGGCAAGAAGATTGTACCCACCTCTTTCCTTTGCTTCAAGCTAGCAATGGAAGTTCCAGGAAACCTTCCTCCTCCCATTATTGTAGGATGAAATATTCTAGTGACTTGAATATCGGTAATACGCGCACTAGCACACAGACCAGTGACGAGTGGCCAAACGCGAGGGGACGAGGACGAGGCAGACGACACTACAGACGTGACGGAGCGACCACTTTATGACCACCACAATTTGGCAAACCCTGCACTTCTAAATTCGAAAGGAAACTATCAAAGAATATCATTGAGGGATTTTTTATGAGAACTTTGTTATGCTTTACCATGGTTTTGGTTTTACACACGACCGATACCATGATACCATTTGACACATACCGTTTCCGATTCTGATCTCTGCCACTGCCAATTTTCCGTTCGTCGTTGTTCATGTTCATCTAGAGATCTAGATGTGATATGTGTGATGCCGATTGTCCAGCCACTGCTGGTTTGCCTTTGTAAAGAAATCCAAGACATTAAATTTGCACAATTTAATTCTAAAATGCTGCTTAAGTGTCGGGAAGGTGAAGTTTTGAACTTCGCATGAACAGTTGGGTTAGTTTTCATTTTGTTTTTCATCGAATCGAGCTTCTTAATTAAATGCAATTCCACCACTTTCTGGTTAATTTTTAAATGTTCATTGAATGTGCTAGTGCTCAAGTTTATGTTCTTTTCCCATTCCGTCATGCTTAACATGATGATTTTCTGAATCTGAATTTTTGTTGTTGCTGCTTTTTCAGAAAGCATGCGTGAAATGTGTCCTCTGATTCCAGAATAAGTTTATATTTTTGGTTTGTTTGTTAGACTTTGAATTTGAAGTGACCAACATTCATTCCTTTTTTAGGTGTCCATGGGAGCTGATGGCAGTGACGTCAAATCATCAGCTTGTACTTCCAACCATTTGGCCCAGACCATAACGCTGATCCTGTTAAACTGTGCAAGACTATCCTGGCCCAATAGTCTCAAAGATGCATTCACCACAGCCCTTGTCTATCCCGAGTATGCCGTGCCAACCCCCGTTGCCTTCAGCTAGCAATGTCTCTATTCTTCCTCCATTGCCGCCCGGACCCCCTCCTGGACTCCCACCTGGACTTCCGCCTGGACTTCCACCTGGACTTCCACCTGGACCACCACCTGGGCCACCACCTGGACCACCACCTGGACCACCACCTGGACCACCACCTGGACCACCACCTGGACCACCACCTGGACCACCACCTGGACCACCACCTCTACCTCCTTTAGCTGAGTCTCAGGCAACAGTTGCTGCCCACCAGCTCAATGGCGGACTGGAAAAAACGACATTCTTGGCTTACCCTCCTTTGGCTGGAACTGCGGGAGGGAGTCAGGAACCCTTTGGAGTGGAGCTGCCATATGCTCGTTCCTATGATTTTCAGTATCCTACCCCAACATCTGATGTATATTTTCAAGGAATTCAGTATTTTCCATTTTCTGGTAACCCACAACACATGTCAGTTCCTCCTCCTATGTTTCCAGTACCTCAAGCCAATTTTAGTTTTCCTCCTCCTTCTATGCTGAAGCAGCCACCTCCCCCTTTGGAAACGCATGTTAAAATGGGCATTCCGTTTCTTCCACCGGGTTATGAAACAAATCTACGTGCTGTACACAATAACTGTCATGGAAGAGAATCAAGGCATTCATCACATTCTCGAAGATCAAGGTCCCATTCCAAATCCCCAAATTCTTCCTCAACTAGGTCTAGTGCTAGAAATCACCGGTCTAGTAATCATAGAAGAAGGTCAAGATCAAGAAGTTATTCTAGAAATTCACGGTCTAGAAGTCGGTCTAGAAGAAATTCAAAATCTCAAAGTGATAACCGTAGGCGTTCAAGATCCAGAAGTCGTAGAAGGCAATCAAGGGATCGAAATACAAGAAGGTCAAGGTCTGCTAGTCGAGTGCGACGAAGTTCAAGATGTTCTAGTCGGTCCAAGAGAAGATCAAGATCACACAGTAGAACTCGAGGTGTGTCAAAATCTAGCCGTGCTGTGGGCAAGTCTCGATCACCATCTAGATCTCACAAGTGGTCCAGGCTAGACAGGCATAACTCTCCTAGGTCCAAGACTTCAACAAGGAGCTCAAAGAGTAGTTCCAAAATACATGATTCTAATGTAAAGGATGAAAGTTCAAGTCCTAGCAGGAAAATTGAAGATAAAAGGTCAAATGGAAAGTCTAACGGAGTGAAAACAAATGAAGATTGTAAAGATTCTGTATCGTCAAGGAAGCCAAGTGAATCTACAAACGGGAGGAAAAGCTCTGAAAGATCCCGGAAGAACGATGATTCTTTGGTTCTTAAGAGGAATGGGGAATCAGGTCAAAGAGATCAGTCAAAATCTGAGAGAGAAACTTTGGTTGAACGCTGGAGGTAATATTTTTTGTGTTGATTTTATTTGTGCTGAACCATTGTCTTTGCATTGGAATGCTGTGAATTTGTGCTTTTATGTTGCAGACTCAATAATTGTAAAAATTTGGAAGAAATGGCCAACAAACTTGTTGTTCTCTCCAAAATGGAAGCAGATGAGATCATTGAATTGGAAAAACAGACATGGACCCGATGTGCTCCTGCTGATTTATATTACCGGAGGAACCCTCAGTAAGAATATTTCCATGTAGAATTGGTGTTTGCAGTCATACTTCTCTCTTAATTTTAGCTTATGATTTGTTATGTTCCTTGCAGGCACCCTAACCTCATGGAAGCAACACCAAAGCTACTAGAACTCTGTGATCAATTTGACATAGAGCTTGTTCAAAGGGCAGATCGTGAGAGGAAGACGTTTCCTGCTGAGCAACCATTACCTAGAAAGGCTCGGTTTAAAATGTGTCGACATACAAGTAGGCTAAATAAATACGTAACTTCTCTGAGTTTGATTTTTCTATCTCTCAACCGGTTTCTAACTTTGGTTCCAACTGTGTCACATTACTTTGATTACATTTTCCAGAAGAAGGTAGCAATTCTTCCACTAGCAGCTGTGAGGATAGTTCATCAGATGAAGAGGATAAAGCAATGATGGAACTGGAAAGAAAAAGGAAGCATCCTCAACGCCTTCACTCTGAATTGTGGCATAATGAAGGAGGCGAGGTGAGATGGTTTTTGTCTTTTTTTCCTAAATGATGTAGTAATTTAAAGAAAATGGTGGTTTATGTGGGTGGAATAAGAACCTTATTCTTGGCAATCTTTGTATCTCTTTTGTTTCCTTTCAGATGAATGATGGGCCTTTATGTCGTTGTAGTCATCGTGCTCGTCGCTCAGGGATCAGACACAATGTTTATGTGGGAGAGCAGAAACTGGAAAAATGTGATATAAACACAAACAATGCGGGAAAACTGCACCATTATCGAATCACCATGTCTCCTCCAGTTAATTTCTTGGTAAGTTCGTTTTGTCCTATGTCCTTTTTATGTTTTTCCCTAAGTGCCTTAGAACACTACTGTCTTCACTAATCTGTTTTTTGTAATTTTCTGTATCATAGACCAAGACTCCTACAATCATTGAACATGACTCCCATGAGTACATTTTTGAAGGATTTTCGATGCTGTCACACTTTCCATTGGTGAAACTTCCTACCTGCAAAGTGATCAGATTTAATATTGAATACACAATCCTTTATGTGGATGAATCCATGCCAGAAAATTTCACAATCAAGGAATTAGATTTGTTTTGTAAGGACCAAATTGTTAAATAATATTCCTCTCTTTGTTTTTTTTTTATTTTATGAATATTTTTCATTTCTATTGTTAAATATTTTCTGCCTGTGTAGATAATTACCTCTTTCATGAAGTCTTAGAATTGCATGACTTGGACTTGAGAGCATTTGGAGATCCTGGGGGATGCAATCAATTTCATTTTATGCCCCGCTTTGTACGAGACCTTCCGGGTAATTATGATGTAGACTTAATACCATTTGTAACTTTTTGTGTTATCAAGTGCTCTTGTGTTTTTTAATAAATAGTTATTGTTTTTTTTTGTGTTTAGAAAATGGGAAGGAAATATTATCCATGAATGAAGTTTTAAAGTATCTTTTAAAGAGCAACAAGCCTCTTGTGCCAGAAGAACGCTTAAATGAGATTTTTAACATGTCTTTGTATGACTGGCAAACATTTGCTGATGAAGTGAAATGTAAGGGCAAATGTTTTTTGGAAGTTGAACTATATAACAAGCCAAATATTGATGATGATATTGCTTCTGGTGGGAGAATAGTTACCGATCATGTAACAATTATAAATATTCTTCTACAGGTATGGTTGTTACAAAACCAGGTATGAAGCCCTGTTCACTGCGTGTGGATCAGCTGGACCGTGAAACTATGGATGCAGGGGGTTTTCCCGAAATTGTTCATTTTGGTATACGTCCTCCTCAGCTCAGTTATGCTGGGAACACTGAGTAAGTTCTTTTTCTTAATTTGTTCATTTATTTTCTTGATGTGCCTCGGTAAATGTTAATCTGGACCTGTTCCTCATATGTTGGTCGTTCACATCAATTTTAATTGTCAATTAATGCGCATGTTGTCTACAATTCTGTTTCATCTTCGCTGCTTGTATTCTTTCTTTAGCATGAATGGTTTATTCTCAACCTTTTTAAGAATGTATTTTGTTGTTGTTTTTTTTTGGGGGGGGAGGGGGGGCTGTAATACTTTTTATCAAGATACTAGAAGGTATTTTGTTCTTCTGGTTTTCCACACTTGAACTTTGCCACAAATGCATTTGTTCCAAAAGGTTTATCTGTCACATAACTAGATTGTTGATAGGTCTTTAAGTTCTTGAATTTAATACAATAACAAATAGACGGATGGGAAAATTTTGTTTTCATTGTGATATATATTCTTCAACCAACAATTGTTCTTGGATTCTTGGTTAAATATTTATTGTGTCATGGCATTGGTGTTATTCATATTTGTGTAGTCCTTTACATTTATTGTTTGCATTTCATTCTTTGATTTTTCAGGCAGTGTGTAGTATGCAAAAGCACAAGGTGACATTGACTAGGGTAAATCTGCCAGAGCCATGTGGTTTTTCATACTGATGGCCCGGTCCTAAGATTGTGCCCTTCTCAATGTGCCTGTTGTCATCTTGAAAGCTGCTCCACCTCAGTACCTCATTGACATACAGAAGGCATGCATCAAAAATTTCTTGCAGTGCCTGCTAGCAGCTATGTCCCTAGCCTTTATCAGAGATTTATATTTAAGAAACCTCTGACATAGTGCTGGACTGCTGAAGCGCTGCTAGCACTGCTAGTGTGGTCCTCTGGCGGCCATCAGAGACAGTGCTGTTATTGCAGTCCTGATGCGTCAGGCGGTGCCAGGCAGTGGCATGTGGCTCTCTCTGTGTGATCTCTGTGGTGAAGGGTTGCGACTGTCTTGGGATTGGTTTATTTTGCTAGAATGAGTCGGCGAAGGTAGATGTGTTTTATGGTTCTGAGAAGCTTTTGATTCTCTCTGGATCAAAAATTGTCTTTTCTTTGTAAGAGACTTACTACTTGTGGATGAAGGGTCATATGAGCAAGCATGACACTCTCTTGAAAATGTGTGGAGTGACTTTGAAATATTTGTGGTACATGGCTGGCTTTCTTCTGTTGCATGTTATACCATTAGCAGGTTTTTGTTAGATTTTATTACAACCTTTTGTGTTGTTGGTACCTACAGTCCTACATGCAGTTGAGTCAGTGACAGGGGTGTGGTAACTGTGTCACCATCGTGTTCCTTCCAACAAACAGCACCAAATTATCTTCAATCTATTTTCTGTTTGATGCATGTCATTGTGAGCCTTTGTCTCACTTTTCAGAGAAGTGGACCTCCAATTGCTTTTATTTGTAAAACTAGATTCTGTAGTCTTTGTCTCTGTCCCTCTCTTTCTCTTTCTCTGTCTCTGTCTGTAAATAGTAGTTCTGATAATGAGCAAACATCATGTCAATCTCTTTCTTCAGGTATCAAAAGCATTGGAGAGAATATGTTAAGTTTCGCCATCTTTTGGCAAATATGCCTAAACCTTCTCCTGAAGACAAGCGTAAACTGATGGGAAAAGAAAATCGTCTTCAAGAGATGCGTACTGTGAGCAAAATGAAACGTGATGTTACAATTGCCTTAAGCAGTCAGGGATTTTACAGGACAGGAATAATGTGCGATATAATTCAGGTAAGTAGGTTTGAAACATCTCATTTTATTTGCATTTTGTAAAACCTACGGTAACTCCTCTTTGATGTTTCAGCATGCATTGCTGTTGCCCGTTTTAGTTTGTCATTTGCGATTTCACAAATCACTGGACCAACTGGAAGAGGATATGGACTACAAATTCAAAAATAGATATTTGCTGCAACTTGCATTAACTCATCCCTCCTATAGGTAAAATCGGTTAATTTAATGACTATATTTGTTAAAAATGATTCAGAAGGTAAAATGGCACAATTTATTTCTGTTTCTAAATGATGTAAATTTATTTCATCCTAGGGAGAATTTTGGTACGAATCCGGATCATGCCCGGAATTCTCTTACAAACTGTGGTATAAGGCAACCTGAGTATGGCGACAGGCGCATTCATTATATGAATACCCGAAAACGAGGTAAGTGCCCTGAGTCAGATTTTGCGTGTGAACTGTGAAGGGTAATCTAAAAATCTGGTTGCCAATGAAAGAGCCATCTCAAATTTCAGTAATCCAGATGTCTGATAATGGTGACAGTGGCTCAATAACAAGGTTTACATTTTTTTAATAGGTATCAACACTCTAATTCAGATAATGTCCCGGTTTGGAAAGAAAGAGGCAACTGAATCAAATATTGGGCACAATGAGCGATTAGAATTTCTTGGAGATGCTGTTGTTGAGTTTATCACAAGTATCCATCTGTTTCATCTTTTCCCTGACCTTGAAGAAGGTGGTCTTGCAACCTATCGTGCAGCTATTGTTCAAAACCAGCACCTTGCTGTCATGGCCAAAGTAAGTTTCAAGTGCTTACAATCACTTTATATGCTCGCTAACAGCATGAAAATTAAATTTGGAATAAATTTTCTTTTCTCAAGCGCCTGAATCTAGATGCATACATGTTATATGCTCATGGATCTGATTTATGTCATGATTTGGAGTTGCGTCATGCTATGGCAAACTGTTTTGAAGCTCTAATGGGAGCATTGTTTCTTGATGGTGGTATAGAAGTGAGTCAAAGTTCTCGTCTTTTAAGCAAAGCATTGATTATTTTTATTGTCAATGGGATTCCAATGATAATATGTTATTATTATGCAGGAAGCAGATAAGGTATTTGGTCTCACTTTATGGAAATCTGAGCCAACTCTGGGAGATGTATGGATGAACTACCCTTTGCACCCTCTACAAGAACAAGAACCTGCTGGGGATCGTCAATGGATTCAACATTTCCCTGTTTTGCAGGTGCTAAATTATTCTGCGAGTTCTACGAGCATTTCTTTACTTGGCTTACACTTCACTTTTCTATTTTACTTTAGGAAATTTTTTTGACTTCATCTTTATTATTTTATTGTTTCAGAAATTGACTGAGTTTGAAAATCGTAGTGGGATTAATTTCAAACATATTAGGCTACTTGCCCGAGCATTTACTGATCGCAGTGTTGGATACACTAATCTTACTTTGTAAGTCAGTTTGAATATGTTGGTTTTTGTTAACTAGTATCTATTTTCAACAAATAATTTTTTATTTTTTTTGTTTTTATTTTTAGAGGTTCAAATCAAAGATTAGAATTTTTAGGTGATACTGTTCTGCAAATAATTGCTTCTGAATATCTCTACAAATTTTTCCCTGAACATCATGAGGGACATCTATCGGTTAGTGTTTTGCATAAAATAGTTTATAAACTATTTTGTAGGTGTTGTGTAACAAAGTGTTTTTATTTACCTATTTTGTCTGTCAGCTTTTGAGGAGTTCCCTGGTCAATAACAGAACTCAAGCGGTTGTCTGTGATGACTTGGGTATGACAGAGTTTGCACTTTATGCAAATCCAAAGCATGACATTAAAACCAAAGACCGAGCAGATTTGCTTGAAGCTTATCTAGGTGCCTTGTACATAGATAAAGTAAGATTTCACATTGTCTTGCAATTATCACACTTTAACAGAATTTTGAATTAATGAGCAATCTTTCTGATAGGGTTTAAAGCACTGCCACTTGTTCTGTGAGGTGTGCTTCTTCCCAAGGTTGCAGGATTTCATTATGAACCAGGATTGGAATGATCCTAAATCAAAACTTCAACAGTGCTGTCTCACATTACGGACCATGGAAGGTGGAGAACCTGATATTCCTGTTTACAAGTAAGCTTTTATTTAAACGCTGTGATTTTCTCCAGTATGCGCTTTCTTTCTCTTTTTCCAAAAGGAAATTTGTTTTTTTATCAACACAATTTAATTTTCTCAGGGTTATTCAATGTATGGGACCAACGAATACTCGTATTTACACCGTGGCTGTCTATTTCCGAGGAGAACGCTTAGCTCAAGCATCTGGTCATAGCATTCAACAAGCGGAAATGAATGCTGCAAATGAAGCATTGGAGCTCTCCACAGGTCAGGACACAGTCTTGCTTGTCACCCAATAAAAGTAAATGTAATAGATATTCATGATTACAGTTTTATTGTGTTTATTCCAATGCTTTCAGAACTTTTCCCTCAACTGGACCATCAGAGACGTGTGATTGCAAAAAGTATGAAAAAACAGAAAAAGAGAGCTAGAAGAGATGCTGCATTGAAGGCTGCAAGAGATGTGGAATTACGAGCTGTTGAAGAAAAAAGCAGAACAAGAGACAAGAGCCGGCGCAGCCACGATGATAAAGATAAACGGAGCAGACACAGAGATGAGAGGGAAAGGGACCGAGATAGGGATAGAGAAAGAGACAAGACTAGGAACAGGGACAGAGGTGCTACTAGAGACAAAGAAAGGGACAGGGAAAAAGATCGCGAAAGAGACAAAAGCAGAGACCTTAAGCGAGATAGAAATAAGGAAAGGGATAAGTACAAAACAAGGAGAGGAAGCAAAGATCGAAATGGTCGGGAAAGTGTCCTCGACCGAGGACAATTAAGTCGTAGCAAGGACTTGAAGGAACTGGAAAGCTGTGATACTGAAAGAGATCATTTGATACGGGATGGAGACACCAACAATCGAAGTGACTCTGTACCCAGAGAGGCCAGGCAAGCTGATGTCCACAATAGGGAAGAACATGAGACTAGCAGTGCTCTGAGAGAGAAACTAAGCCCAACACTGGAAGAATGCCGCTCCCAATTGAACTTGGAGATGATGGATATTGATGATTATCAGAGCCCCAAATGTATAGAGAATGCAAGCTCTGAAGGTAGCAGTAGTGGCAGCAGTAGTCCTGCGAGCAGCAGGAGCAGGAGCAGGGCCTCCAGCAGGACGTCCAGCAGAGCCTCTTGCCCCTTCTTCAACTCTCCCTCCCCCCGCACCTACCGCACCGATGCAAGCGACAGTGAGAGCAGCAGATGCAGCAGCAGAGCCAGTTCTGTGGGGGACTTTGATGATGTGAATGAAAATGAAGACACTAGTGGAGTCTGTTTGCCCATCGAAACAGGGGCACCAAACAAATCCTACTCTGGTGTTACAGATATGCAGTTGTCAGGTGAAACAGGCCCTGAGAAGGAAGATACCGAAGGACAGGCGCAGACAGTTGCCGAAATTGAGAGAAATGATTAGTGTAAGTTTTTCGAAGGTAGTAATTGCAAAGGTCCAGTCAACTCTTTGACATCACAATGTAAGCAATGACCAAAGAAACCCGAGAAACCTATAAAATATTTGCAATATGTGCCAGTGAATCATATCATGTGTATTTGCGAGAATGTAGTTTGTATTGCCCAGAAGCTTTCAGGCTATTTTCATTTAATTTATTATTCAAGTGTGTATGGAAGTAAAGTCTGATAATACGCATTTATCATTCATTCTTCTCCAACAATAACCGTACTGATTTCTGCAAACCTTTTGTTGTACTGTCTCTTTTTAATTTTTCATATAATGTTGGCTGTAATGCGGTATTTTCTACAAGAGGAATATGTTTTTAACATTGTGATATCTTTGTTCTTGAATTTTTTTCTTTTTACATGTTTTTTGTTGCTATTATGGAGAAATCCTTTAGGCCAACCCTTAACGCCTACTCTTTGTGCATTGCTAACAGCAGTTTTGAAAGTTTCATAGTTGGTAGGTCTACACGAAAATGGTTTCGTAGAAGCCAAAAGCGAGTCTGCTAAACCCATTCTGTGGTTTTGCATATCATCTTTTAGCAGGCCTAAAGAGAACTTAAGGAAACTTCTTTCAGCTTAGCTACTCTATACTTCTGTGATTCCACTACCTTGTAAACTGTTTTCCTATCAAATATTTTATTGCTATTAAATATTACTGACAATCAAAAGCAACTTAATTTCTGATTTGTTGTACTTAGAGAAGAATTATGCTGCTAGTAACAAATTGGTGAATAGGGCCTACTGCAAGCTGCAGATAAGTTTTAAGACTGTGACATGTAGTTCTTTCTTTTCAATGAAACTGTTGATACCAAGGAACATAAGTGCCATTTATTTACTTTTAAGTGTTGTTTGTAGGAAGAGGATTTATCACCTGTGTGTTTTCGCATTATTGAATATTCAATTTGGTGCTGTTGTTTTATACAGTCCATTTTATCTTTGTAATTTGTACTTCAATTAATGTTGCCACTTCCCAAGTGTGTCATTCTCCTCTTTTTTAGTTCAATACATATGTGGAAAAACCAATTCATTGTCCTTTTGTGCTTGTCGTTTTTTTTTTTGAATCATGTACGCTCTTTTTATTTTTCAAAGCTGTCATTATAACTGAAAGATTTTACAAACCTGGTGGTTTTTCTTTCCATGTTTTTGATGTGGAATGGACGATGTCTGAGACCTGCCACTTTCTATTACCTCCTCCCGAGCAAATTTATTTCAGAAAAACAGGTTCTAACATTAACTCCTCTGATTCTGAGGAAATTTGGTGGGCAACGAGGGTGTGAGTCGCGTGGGAGTCTCGAGCCAAGGAGATGTGCCCACCATATTTCATCAGAATCGGAGAGGGTAGATGGAAGGACCTGCATTTCTTAAATAACTTTGTTTCCCCTACTGTTTAAACAGGTGACAGAGGTGCTAAAAAGAGTACACAGTTACTTCCTAAACATCTTCCTTTAATTCAGCACAAAGCTTTTGCCAAGTCTTACAGCACAAAGATTAAGCTGGCACATAACATGCTTTAAAGTATCATGAACAGTTGGAAGAGTCTAGAAGGAAATAATGAACACACATGTATGCCTACCTCCTGATGGTGGTTGTACAGAGAGGTACCAAAGCTCAATCTTTGTATAAAAATATATATTACACATACAAATACCTATGTACTGCTTACATTGGAGACAATCCAGAATGATTTAAAGAATAAAGTTCCATCTCTACTTTCTGAATCAGTCCAAAGTAGAACAATCTATAAAGGCTGATCTTTCAAAATGTATCAACTACGCCACTATGTACAGGTCATTTGATTATGAAAGAATTGATACCAACATTAGAGATGAAACTGTACTCTTAAAATAAACTCTTACAGTAAGAAATTCAAATATTTGCTATATTAGTATTACTTTATGAGGCCATTCAACCCACACAGTTTAAAAGAATGACATGGGCAAGTTTACCATAATGATACATTTACAGGGAAAAAGTCACAAGACACAATCTTTCTTTTTTAAAAACAAAAAGAAAAAAAAATCTGTAGGTCTCAATGTTAGCATTATCACTAACACCATCTTGACAAAAGAGAACATTCAAGATGGAGTAACTAAAGATGTTTTAGTTTTAATATCACAATATTAAAAAGTACCAAGTTGCAGTCAAATCCCAAAATAAGAGAACTTGGCTTCAAACGCAAATAACTGCCTCCAATTTTAAAGACAAATTACTTTAAACATTCACAGGTGGGAATGCTGCATTTCTAGTCATAATTCAGTGCAAATTTTATAAGTATGATTTATGCCAAGAGAAAGAATGAATCACCTGGTCACCCTTTGAAGAAGAATATGTGGCTTCAGTCTCTACCCTCTGACAACAATTCCTAATAATCGAAAATAAAAAACTTACAAGTTTCTTAAAATATACAACTGAAATATGATAATAACCCTTAAAGTAATTACTTTGTGTCTTGCCAAAACAAGGAGTCAATAAAAATAAGTGAGAAAAAAGTGCAACTTGCACACACCTATCAAATATGCCCTAAAACACGGAAAGTACAGAGTAAAGTTTAGCATGCACACAAACTACACACCACACCAGTGAACTTCATAAAATAGATGCCTCACTAGTCTAATAAAATTTTTTGATACACTGAACCCAATTCATTTGATTCTAGGCTTAGATCCCCAATAAAAGGTCAAGGTATGATGGGATGACATTTATTAACCATCTGGTTTCAGACGTCTAGTTTATGAGATCCAATGCTTCCTTGATTTGAATCTCTGGAAATGAAACAACCATAAACAACTTCATAGATTATACTTCAATAGATCAATTCTTGAAATGTGTGAAACTCAGGCTATTTACCCAAAATCAACCTTCATAGAAAAAAACAGTTGTGAACCCAAACCAATCCTAACACCACGCTGAATGGAAAAAGAAAGAGAGAAAGAAAGATGCTGTTCACGAAACAGACACGCATCATGGTAATGTGACTGGCCAAATTACAGGGCCATTGCAATCTTTGCATGTTGGCAATGTGCCAACCCAAAAATAATTGCCAATGAATTAATTACAGATTCAATTACATATAATTCTAAGGATCTGCAAGTATTTCAAAACAATGAAAACATAATAATTTATTCATTAATCCTACTGCAACCTCAACAAACTTTTTACTTTTAACAAAAATTTACATTTATGACACAAAGAAGTTCATGCCTTACTGCATGTCCAGCAAAGGAGACAAAATACAGATAAAATGACTAAGGTAAATAAAATTTAAACAAAGCCAAAGTTCTTTGTTTTGATAGCAAGTAATAGTTTAGCACGTAGAATTTGGCGGCTACTGTACAGTGGAACATATAATCTAGAAATGCATGTATTTGCAGTAGGAAGATGAGAGTCATCTGCTGGTCGAATAGTTACGCTTGGCATAGGCTGGAAACCATCTTCTGACGCTGGCAAAGCGGGAGAACCGGTCCAGAAATAGACCTGCAAGGAAACATTTGCATTTACTCAACGATTTGAGCAGTTTGAAAATTCCATTGCAGTTTTACAATATACAGAGAAACAAATAAAAAGTTTTTAAGCTGCATCACTCCTTACCAAATCTTGGCGCTCGGAAGGTGTCATTCTCTCCACAATGGACCACAGCCATCTTTTGAATTTAAGGTGTCTCTCGCCTGCATCACCAGATTCATTAATGAAGCTTGTATAGGATATAAGGGTTGACACAGCAATATCACCAACGCCATTGACTAGTAGCCTCAAATCTTCCGCTGTTAGCCCATCAAGGGCACTAGTTGGAAGAACATCAAATACACCAGTGCGAATAGCCTGCAATGACAAAGAAATGTTAATCTCATAGTCATGACAAGGTTAAAGGACAAACAATTAATGTTGATTAATGTTGACTTACATCAATGGCCTTTTCCTGTGATTTCACCATTCTGTAATCTGCATATTTACGGACATAATCATAAACATTAGAGGCTGTTACCTCAACATCACGCCCATGTGGTATCAATTCAACAGAGCCTCCTCCTTCTTCGGGTGCAAGGTCAATACTGTGGAAAGACGTACAATAATTGCAATTAATGCTGATTTGAGCGTTAAAGACCATAGATGATCAAGAGAGAAACTAGTCTAGCACAGTACCTAAATGTCAGATCAAGAGCAGAGAAGAAACTGTTACTGTTTTTATTTTCAGCATCAATCACTAGTTGACGTAGACTCTCATACATAAGAGGGTCAAAGAATGCCAAGTCGTGAAATTTGACTGGCCGATCGAGAATGGCTTTTAGGACATGACGGTTGAGGAAAATGGGGCACAGCTCATTTTGCAGGAGGCACAGCCCAAGAAGTCTAGAAGAACAAAAATTACATTTAAATGGGTTTCTTCCAGTTCAGTAAGTTAAATCACAGTACAGAAAACGCACCTGCCAACATTTCTGAATGCATTCAGACGTTCAAATGAGCCTTTCCCCTGCCGAGGCGAGTAGAAGCCCCGTTTGCCAGGGCTGTAGAATAATGGTGCATTATCCTCACCATCGTCTAATGGGTCAGTGTCCATCATTTCAATTCCTGCCAACAGGCTGCTCTTTGTGGAGGCGGCCGAGGGCAAAATGGAGCTGCCTGTAAGGGAGCCACCTGCGTTTCCACTGCCCTTCTTGGCACTGCCGCTGCCGCTGCCAGAACCAGCAGAGTTACCTGCACCCAATGCTCCACTTCCAGCAGCACCACTCTGACTGGCAGCACTGCCACTTCCGCCTCCACTGCGTTCTGATAAGCTGAACACATCTAGGTCTGCAAAAAATTAAATCACAGGGTGAAAAGAGGTTAGAAGAGAACAGATGAGAAAAACCTCATTCCTTGGATTTAACATTTACCTAGCAAAGCTTCACTTGCTAACTCTTGACCGTGATTGAGGATCAAGTCAACTGCCTCCTCTACCTTTTGGCGGAGCGCATCTTCACTTGCAAGAAGCATGAGAAGTTGAGCTGGAGATAACTCTAGTAGCATACCAGTTATTTTCCCAGCAAAGTTTGGCCTAAGAGCTTGCACCTGAAAAAAAATAGCACTTAGTAAAATACGAGCATTAGACACACTTATAACTAAGACACCAAGAATGAGTGTGAGTGATCGGCCGCAGTGTGCTGAGCGCGCCTTGAGACTCCACTCTCTACTCCATACCTTAGGATACAGTCTGTCTCCCAGCTGCTGTTGGTGCATGCTGAGATGCTCATTGTGGGAGCGGCCGTCGCCACCGCCAATGGCGCCTTCAGCGCTGGGGGGGTAAAAGAGACGCGCGTCATAGGACAGCGATCTACGAGGCTCTCGAACTCGTTGGCCAGTGGAGCGCTGCAGAAAGAAAGCGAGCAAAACATTAAGAAATTGACGAAAAGTAAATGACATTCAGGTTTAATGGTCGACAGATTCACCTTTACCTGCACATGTCTCCGTAGACTCTCTCTATCCCGTGTGCGTATTCTTTGGAGGACATTGTACTGGCTGCTGTATCTTGTACCTACTTGAGCTGACTCAAGATTTGGAAGCTTTTCATTTGCTAATAAAGCCTAGAAAAATCAGAGAAACAGAGTTTTTTTTTCAGAACTGATTAACAAGTAAAAGAAACATACAAGAATGGTAAAAAACGAACCTCAGCTATGGCTGTGTAGAAGCTGCGAGCCACTCCCGTACCTTCACCAGGCTCATCTTTAAAGGTCACCTTTACTTTGTGAACTGCTAATGGGGTCTGTTGGCTTGAACTTGAGCCACGGCGATGGGTAGAATTATACTGTGTATTATACTGAGTGTTGAGCTCTTTCAAAGCTTGCAAAATGAGAGCATTACGTTCTCTCTCCATCTGAAAAAATATTTTAGAAGGGGGTGATAAATGCTTTGATAGCAGTGTTTAACTGCAAAAAATGCTTAAGCAGACAACACTGACACATAATTGTAAAAGAAAAAAAAACATTAGACAATAATCAGAGAAATAATCAGTACCTTGGACAAGGTCAGATCCCGTTGCTGGGCATTTCGCAATTTCTCCATTTCTCTACGGAACTTTGCTTCTTTCACTGCAAATCCTCCCAGTTCAGACACAACAGACCCAGGTTCAAGGCCTACATCCTCCATGAACACACGACCAAATAGATCCAAGGCGAGCCGCCAGCGCCCTAAGAGGAGGTCATGGGACACAGACTGCCCAATAGAAGGTTGCGACCTAAAATGAAAAGTTAAGTTAGAAATCACTACTTAATTTTGTTTTGTTTAACATTCAATGAATGAACATTTTATCTTACCTTGGAGGCTGAGTAGTTTCCACTGTAACATGAGCTGATGTATCTTCGCAATCAGTGACATTCTCAGTAGGGATTACTAGCACTTCTGGAGCATCAGTTCGGGGTGTGGGCTATGCAAATTAATAGTAATTTAATTAAAATCAAATCATGAAACTAGCAAGCTAAGATTTTACCATCAGCTTAAGTCCTCACCACAGGAGTATCCTGATTGGAAGAAGGCCCAGCTCGTACAATGACACTTTTAACAGGTGATATTGATGCGCTTCCCTCAGTGGAGCCGGCAGAAAGCAAGCTCTTGGACCCAGTTGCAATGATACTCGATCCAGATGATTTGAAGTTGGTATTGCTCACATTCGAGCTGGAGTTGCCACCAAGATTTGCAGTGGCCGCAGCAATGGCGGCAGCAACCTTCCGAGGAGAAACAATGATTGGCGCCCTGACAGAGGAAGCGCTGGACAAGGACGTGGTGGTGGTGGTTTGGGTTGAAGTAGAGGGCCATCTTCTGTTGTCTTCTCGCCAAGTTGAGCCTGACAAGATAAAGAAAATTCATCACACAAATCTTACAGAGAGAGCTACATTCTGGTTCTTGAACACAAAGTCAAATTCAACGTACAAGTGGAAACCATTTCACGAATTACATGATCAAATGCATCATAATTCTTTGGATTTGAAGAAGTGGTGCCAGAAGAAGTAGAGGGACCAGATCCTGAACCCTGTGGAAAAAGAAATGACCCAACAATAAAGTACCCACCCATTTTCATCAATAAACAAAACCAACAAAACTCTCGTTTACCTGCTGAGTTGAAGCTGCAGGACTTGCTATCACAGAATGAGCCAATTGAATCGCTATATTGGAAGGGTTAGGGGTTGGTACATTGGCAGCTGCACTTGTATCTGCTGTTCTTACGGAGAGCCCAAGCCTAGTCGGCAACACCTCCAAGGGGTTGCAGCTTCCAGGCGGGTTGTTACCCCTCGCTGGCACAGTTATCGGCTGCTTAGGCATGCCAAATAACTCCTCCCTGCGAGCGTTGGGCTGAAGCAGATGTGGCTGGTCTGCTAGGGGGAGAGCTTGTGCCAAGGGGGCTTCAAAGGGGTCCGGTGGAGGGCATCCCAGACACAGAGTAGAATCTGAGCGCTGGAAGAAAGGATGCTTCCTGCCCTTGCTTGCTCCACTTGAAGCACCTCTTTCTCGGTCTCCCAAGGCATTGTTATTAGCAGTGCAAGACGAAGCAAGGAGGCTGGATGCACTCACTTCCTGGTCTTCCACTGAGTCTGTCTCCATAGCAACAGATTGGTTGGTATCTTCATCTCCTTCATCATTTTCATTTTCATCCTGTTAAAAACGGTCACATATTAAGACTTTAATAAAGGAAAGAGATAAATTGTGAAATAATTAAGCAACACTCAATATGTAGCACTCTACTCAGGTCCTCACATGTCAACCAAATCTCACCTGGTCATTCCATGGCTCGAGGGGTTCTCTTATCACTTCAGGAGTGACTGGACTGTCCACACCTGACCTCATGTAGTATATCAGGGCATCAAATACGTAGGCAATGTGCTTTAGAGCAGAAACATCAAGTACAGGAAGGCTGTCTAAATGCTCAGCATTATGGGAGCGCATAAGTGATAGGCAGTATGACAAAAACTCGCGTCGAGACAGGAGAGGATCCAAACCTGCTGAAATGAAATGAATGTAAGTATCATTTATGTTTAATGTTTTAAAAAACAAACAAACAACTAAAGCAAAACAAACAATACCTTCTCTGTCGCGAGCTGATCTCTGTGCATCAGAGGAAAATCCCACTATCCGAGTACTTCCCGTGGGGTTACTTGTTGTGGTGGTGACTGGACGTCGAGCTTCTGAGGACACAGGCAATGCACTACTGCTTCCGCCTGAAAGTTGTGAGAAATCTTATGGTGAATGTTCTTGAGCAAACAAAGCTTTTCTTTAGAGGCATCATCCGTACCAGAGGTAGAAGAGTGCAGAGGGTGTCCAGGGTGGGTTGGGTCAGATGACTGAGTAAGGGCAGCTCCAAACCTCAGCTGAGCTTCAGTAGAGTCCATTACTGTTAGGAGCCAATCCCACGTTGGTTTCAAGTGGAACTCCAGGTACAGCTAAAAGAAAGCACGTTTCAGGTACAAGCTACATTTAAGCTACACTCAACACTTGTCCACTTTGTTAACTATAAAGCATACCTGCAAGTTAATTGATTCCTGATAGGTGATTTCCAGTGTCCTTGGTAGAACTGGAGTGAGGGCATTGTAGTCCTGAAGCATTGTAAGTAAGTCAGCAATCTGCCGGATGACGATGGAAAACGCCCTGGCGAGGCAGGATGCAGTTGTTGCCATCGTTTGAGGTTCATGACTGGCAGCAGCTGCTTGCTGTGCGGCAGCCACCACATTCGCAGCGGTCGCCGAACGACGCAGCGTCGAAGGATCGATGAACATGACTGAAGAGCCACCTGCAACACGCACCCCTTGAAACACACAAGTGGGTGATCAACATGCCTCAGTCAAACAGGCAAAATCAGAGTACAGGGCAAAGCAGCAATTGACTCAGCAGCATTTTGACTCTACCTCCAGCACGTGCGCCTGAGTCCCGTGTTCGAATAGCCCATTGCATTGATTGTGGTGCAAGGTTGTTCCTTTGTCCATGTGGGTTATTTGACCTGGTAGATTATAAACATTATGATCAGGACAGAGTTAACCTAGGTACAGAGTAGCTGAGAACTAGAGAAAAGAGTGAAACTTACGTGCGGCGTTCTAGTTGTTCATCTCCCAGGGGCAGGTCTTCCTGAGCATCTTGCTCATCACTTTCTCCTACCTCAGATTCCTCTTCTTCCTGCTGAGAAGACTCACCAGAATCGTCCTCTGGGTAAAGCATCAGTGATGCCATACCTGACCACACAACAAACACACACAAAAATTATAAAAATTGGTTCAAAGGCAGAACAAGTAACAGAACATAAAACAATTGTATTAATTGTGTATGATTAAAATTTAGAAACTGTTGCACAGTTTGACATACCTGTATCTGAACCAGTAGTGGCACCGGTCTGCACACTCCTCTGCTGAGAGGCAGCGTCTTGATTGCTCTGATTGTCATCGCTATCAGACTCAGTTTCCGCCAACAGGTCCAGCTCAGTGTCAGACTCTGGGTCCGGCGGGGCTTCGTCCTGGGCTCCATTGCTGGCCTCGATGGCATCGCCAGCAGCCGCTTCACTCAGAGACCGTGACTCCCGTTCCCGTTCCCGCTCTCGCTCCACCTCGGCACCGCCGCCTCGCTGGTCAGCATTGTCTTCTGGATCACTTGCGTTGTCGTCACCATCCTCACCGCCCAGACCTGAAACAAATGATTAAGAGTGTTAGGGCCAACGAGTTGTGGAACAAGCCGAGCCAAGACGGGCACAGCCGCGCCGGTTTCTCACCGTCACCGCCATCCGTGTCGTCCAAGTCCATGACAACTGCCCGACGAGCTCGAGCCGTGCTAGACGCAGCTCCATGCGGACTCCTCCCATCCGTGTGGCCGGCAGCGACCGACAACACCCCGCCTTCATCGGTGTGGGCATCGACAAAGCCTCCTCCATTCAGGGCCAATGGCTCCACAGAAAACAATTCTTCAGAACCCTGAAAGGAAATACAATCATATTAAAATAAAATAAAAATAAGAGATCAAAAAATATTTTACAATTATTTAGATCCTTACAGCAATCACATCCATGAATGACCCAGACAATTGGAATGGGGCAGTGGGACGAACCACGCCCAGTCGTACTGGTGCGATCAAACTATCAGCCGTTTCACAGAGCTCTTCGACTGCCAGTCTGATTAGGGCCTGGAACACTCGCTTGCACTTGAGCAGTGGTTCGTTCGCCACGACTCGTTTCTTGCTCTTCTGGGGTGCCATTTCGATGCTGAAAATGACAAATATGCGCGCGACAGACCGCACAAAGCGGCGAGCCACGCTGCGCGCGTCGGCTTGGCGTCCGGGCACAGACTCGTTTTGCAATTCACGGATCAATGTGGTGAGCAGTATATCAAACATTTCTGTGCTACACTTCACGAGAAGACAGTGGGTAAACTTATCAAGTTGGGTAGTGCCACTCTGGCTGCGTAGATACGCCTGATCTTCATACACCATTTGCGCAGCATTGCTACTACTGGCAGATGTTGATTCCCTCATGCCAGACATTATCATGGCTCTGACTGCAGGCCAGTCGTTGAGGAGTCTCTCCAAAGCCCGACGGCTGAAGCGAGGAGGTTCCAGATCGTGGTCCGGCATGTCCACCTCTACATCAGAGGACGGGGCCTTGCGTGTGGCAGACGCTCCCCGGGTTCGGTTGCCAGCATGGAACTGTTTCTGCTCAATTACTTGCCGTCCCACAGTTTGCACAAGGAAAAGGAGGATGTTTTCGCCCCTATTGTTAGGCAACTCAACAAGATGGGTCTCTGTGACGAGGCGGCAGAGCAAATAGTACCTGGATGTCTGAGGGCCTTGAACAAGAGCTTTGCACTTGCACTTCTCCCAGCAGTCACAGTAAGCTGTGGGGTTTGTCCTCTTAATTTTACAGTCATGACCTTTGTGACAAACTCTTGCACACTCCGTGCAGCAGCACAAAGAGCCAGTGAGCCCACATGTGCGACACTCAAATATATCTTGCTTGATATGCTCTGCTCCAGTCCACGTGAAACTGCATGTGTCGTTGCAGCAGACAACATGCAGAGGATTGCAATCAGGATGGGAACCTGGAGGATAAACCATTTCTGCCATAAGGTTCCACTTTGCAGCATCCTTCTGGCCACCAGCATCTGTGTTTTCCATTGGAGACTTTGAGTTCAGGTCTCTCAAAAGTTTAAACCAGGATGAAGAAGAATTTTTGTCATCCCCTGCAGAGCTGCATGAAGGGCCTGGAACCGGAGTGGAGGATCCAGAAGGAGGGTTGAACATGGTATCCATACCAACGTTATCTCCTGTATCATCCATTTTGCAGTCCATCTGATTATCATCATATGTGGACCTCTTATTATCATCTGCACTGAAATCGGCACCAAGCCTGGTCTTGTTCATACCCTGTTCTGAGGTTAATTTGGTAGCCACACTCTGAATGGTACTCAAAAGGATTTGTGCAGCTGGATACGCACGAGATGTCACAGCCAGCATGAAAGGCGTCTGACCAGTAGCATCCCTGAAAGAAAAATAAAGTCAAGCCAGTTAGAAATGAGGAAAATTCAGAACTGATATCAGGGACTGATGAATGAAAGATCATTGGAATTTCTTACTTGGCACTGAGTAACTCATGCAAATGGGGTTGAAGGGCCCGACTTTCAGTCAAAATCTTGAGTGCTTGCAGAGCTGCATTGCGCCTCTCTGAAGGATTCATGACAGCACCAGATCCATCCAAGCCTCCCATAGCACCTGCATTACTGTTGTTTGCAGAACGCCCGGGTCCCATCAGGCTGTCTTCATCACCTGAGCCTGCAATTTCAAATGTTTCTTGCCAGGAAAGTGAAGGTGCGATCGAATCTTCAACAGAGTTTTGACCCACTGAAACAAAGAACAAACTAGTGTCACAAGAACTATTTTTTTTTTTTAAGTTGATTTTTTATGATTTAAGGTTTCAGCAAGTACTTACTCTCAGACATCTCAGAGCGCACAACTTGTGATGCTCTTCGCATCATGTCTCTAAGGCTAACCGGAGTGCTGCTAATGACATTAATAGCATTGTCCAGCGTCCCATTGTTGGAGCTTCCTCCAGCACAGCTGCTACCATTGGCAGCACCACCCACTCCAGAATTGCTGGGCCCAGCAGGAGATGACGCTGCAGCCGCTCCTGTAGCTGTTGTGTTTGTTTCGGAAGTGCTTTCCCCAGTTGCATCTTTGTTGGATGTTGGAGCACATTGGGACACACACGCATGGAAAATATTCCTGTTGCCATCACACCGCTCATGCAAAATGTTGTTCAGCACCACACTGATGGTCACTCCGAGCTTGGCTTCAGAATCTAGAGAGTTCAAGACCTGCTTGATACCGTCAAGGTCGCACCTCAACACTTTAGACATGAGCACTTGTGACTCCAAAGCAAGAACGAGAAGTGCAACTTGATTCTTCAAATTTGTGCTTGCAGCCACAGCAGTGAGCGCATGAATTCCTGTGCCAATGCATCTGATAGGTGGAAGATCTAACCAATGCGGATCTCTGATTGCTTCAACGCAATCTTTGGCCAGAGGGCAAATTGCACTGTTTCCATCACGAAGCAAAAGGACACTTTGGCCACTTTCTCCAGTACTTGTAAGATTAACAGCATGCGAGTCAAGACCCATGAAAGCAGCTGTGTCACAAGGGAATGGGCTGTCTTGCTCTATGCGGCCAGTGCTCACATTCAATAGGACATAGCTCAACTTAGATCCAGTCTTAACAATGGCATGGATGCCTTGACCATCAACAGCAATCGTAAGGATCTGTCCTCCACTCTCTGGAATGTTGATGCGGCGTGGGGTCCTCTGGAAACAGTCTGGCACTCTTGATGTTGCATTAGACTTGACAACTTGAAGGTCATCTTTACGCATTAATCTGCAATCTTGCAGAAGGCTCATCATATCATCAGATCCAGAGCCAGCATCCTTCGATCCATCTTTGTTGGAGTTGGCAGCATTAAGGACCTCTTTAGCACCAGGGAATCGGACAAGAGCAAAAGCACCATCAACTTTGAGGACTCTGCCCATAGGCATACTTTTCACATCTTCAACAAATATGACATCCTGAAAAAAATCAACAGATAATGTAAAATTTATTATTAAGACAAGAGTACAGAGAAACCACAAACATAATAATTGACTAACTTTAAGTGGCCATTCTTCCTCGTCCTTCTTGTCACAGTCATCTCCCTTTGGTGCTGGCCGTTTTTGCCTCTTGATACTTGATGTATTACTTGGAGTGTCACTGCAAGTACTTGAAGCAGGAGATGGTGGTGGGGGCATATCCAGCCGGTCTGCAGTTTCTTTGTGGGTATTTTTGCCAGATGATCCTGCAATTATGTTTTATTGTAAATTTTAATTACCACTTGCATGTACAAGTGAAAATTAAGGTTAACACAGTACGAATGGAACACTTGTTACACACCTGAATTGCTGTTAGAGCCACTACCACTGTTGCTACCACTGCCAATTCCACTATCACGAGACCGTCCATGTAACTGTTCCAAAGTAACACCACTACAAGATGGGGCAGGTGAGGGTGGAAGTAACTTAAAGCGACATACATCAGCTAAATTCCATGCCGAATTTTGAAGAACACCAACTTTGGGCACACCATTAGAAATTGTAAAGCCTGAAAATATTTTATTAAGATTAGAGCTGTCATTTAATTGAGACTATTTGAGAGAAAACAAATATGAAAAAAGGCCTCACCTATGGCTCCTGCTTGGTACATGGGGCTTATTTTCATGCAGACTTGACTACCGGCCACAATGTCAGCTGACAAGGCAGTAGAAGGTCGATGTTTACGAGATTTAGCTCTGTATTTTTCCCATAAACGCTTCCTTTGACAGAATGGGAGGATACCCCACCAATACATTGCCCCACTCTCCAGACGAGCAACTGCAAGGGATTCATTTATTTATTCTTATGATTACCAGAATTTGAGAAGCAAGTTTGATTGTTAAATGGAAAGAATCGTACCTGTATACAAAATGCATGTGTGTAGGGAGACAATGTTGTCTAACTGAAACTCTGTAAAACTCTGGGCAGGGTGTTCCAGTCGCCCAGCAGCATGCTGTAAAGTTTCATCCATCCAGGTGGCAACACGGCCACTTTCTGAGGCAACAGAACAACGTATGGCTGACGCTGACACGTGCAATATTTTCTCATTCAGAAGTCCCAAGGTTATTGTTTTGGGATGATGAACAGATGGGTTCTAAACAAGAAAATTAATGTTATAATTAATCCAAAGTAATATGTATAATGAGCTAGACACACAAAAATGAAAGCAGGCAAAATAATTGAAACACAAATTTTAGAGGGTTGTACCTCTGGATGTCTGTACGGTTCCACATCACCCCATCGCCATTGGTACAGCTGACCAGTGCATGAAAGAGCAATGAGCTCACTGTGCAGTCCAACAATCTGCACAAATTTGGGAAGAGGTTCTAAGGGTGACCGGTCAGGCCAATATTCCAACTCATCAGATATCCACAATGGACTTTGTTGGGCAAGTTCCTTCTTTTTACTCTCTATAAATAAAAAACAAATGTTGTGAAATCTGAAAATAGTAATCCACTTTAGAATTAGGCAGAATGAAGTACCTTGATCTCTCTCCCAAGCAGAAGAATCTCTGAGAGCTGATTCCAGCCAACGCCTGGGGCCAAAATATTGCCTATCCCTCCACCTCGAGAAGCTGTCACGATCACGATCTCTTTCTCCCTCACGATCTCTTTCTCTCTCTCTTTCAGTTGAGCTGACATTTGAGGTAAGCCGTCTAGCAGCAGTACCAGGCCTGGAACTGAGCATACATTTATTATCAATATACAAAACAATTTCTGAAAAATAGGTGACAAAATTTCATTTGAGCAAGTTCTTAAAACTTACTTTCGGATAGCAGAGTAGCCAAACATATCTTCAGAAAACATTGTGTCAGCATCAATGATGACTGAATGATCGGTGTGGAAATTTCCATCAAGTAAGGAAATAAGATCTTCCGGCACATAGGAATCTTGGGCATCGTCTCCATCATCTGCTTCTTCATCATCTCGAGATAGTAAATTGTTCACAGCCAAATTTACATCAAGATTTGTACGCTACACAGATAAACATTTAAAAAACTTGTTAGCTAATCCAGCTCAATGAAAAGAACATTCTTTAAAAAGCAACACTGATAGCCAATTTTAAATACCTGAAGCTCCCTAATAATGAGATTCCTACTCTTGCCTTGCAGTACCACTTGAGCTTGAGATACAAGCTCCTCAGGAACATAAGGTACAACGAGCGGTCGGGAGCCAGAGCCACCAGAACCACCAGAGCTACTGGCCCCTATTATCACGCCAGCAGCTCCCCTTGTCCCAGCTGTGGTTCGCAAAGCTGCACTGGAGCGCATAAGGCGAGCTCTAGTGCGGTGGAATTGTCTGCCTGCACCTCCTCCACTCCCTCCACTGGGCCTGCTACTAAAAATTTCAAGTAATTGTTAAGTTTAGGTAAGGTGTATACAGCTGTTAGTAGTCCAACAGAGAAAGCAATACTCACTTTTTGTTAGGGTCATTTTTGCTAAGGTCCAGTCTATCTGATATGATTGAGAATGAAAGTCTACATATACGCCCATCTTCTAACAGAAGAGCCAGGTGTGAAGGCCCAACAACAATTTGCTTTACAGGAACTTTTAATCCATTGAGAGCTGCTGGGTTTGAGTGACCAAATCTATTCAACTTGTCAGAAACCTCCTTCAGCCTGCAAACAAAAACCATGGGTCATGAAACCACAAGTATAATCTGTAGAACATGGTCATCAATACAATAATGACCAAAGATTCCAAAAGAGGCCTCATGAAAGTAACAGGTACACTACAACTATGAATCATTGATAGGTATGCCAAGTTCAAAAGTCAAAATAAATTAATAAGTGTGTGCATGGAGGTCAAATGGAGAAAATGATGCCTTCAAAGAGAAGTTCTAAATTTCTTTAAGATACGTGTCATGCAATATTGAGCATTATAAATTTGCAGTGACGAATACACCGTTTAAACGAACATTGCAAGTTCAAAAACCTTAACCTAAAAAAAAACACCGAGATGAATGGGGACGTGGGCTAACGACCTCCATGGAGCTTGGAAGACTCTAGTAATGCATTGGACAAATTCATTGTGTAACACGTCAAAAGAAAATATAGTTTGGGCCGGGGTACGAGAATGGGGAAATAATTTAGGCTTAAAGGGGGCTGGCCAAGGACTAAGCCTGTCGCGTAGGCCTTCACTCACCGATCATTTAACTGATCTTCAGTGCCTGGAAGTGGATGGACAACAAAATGAAGGGAGGACATTATCCTCCCTTTCAAAGTGACTTCTCTCCTGAATTGAAAATCTCTACTGCAACACTTGAATTACGAAAGGAATTCGTCCAATAACCCAATCGCCATGTTTTTGAGACAATGACGACATGAACCTGCCGACAACCAAGCACGATTGTGGAACGAACTCAACGACACAAACGTTTTCTAGCGGAGACCACGTGAAGTGTGTGCGGTGTGATTTGGAAGGTACCCAGCCCAGGCTGCCATAGGCGCCACATTTGAATTACTTTCCATAAAAACGATGTCACAAATTTGTGGGCACAAAATGTGATTATTTCAAGCATGAGATACGTTAAATTTGATTTACTCTCTCAATTTTCTCATGACCTTACACTGTAAAGAGGCATCGATCTCGTTGTATCATTTTGAGCAGAGAATGTTGGCACTTCGTCCTAGCAGACAAATCTCAATGTGAATCGAGATGTGTTGTTGTTTACACAAAAATAATTTTGAAAAAGAACCATTTGTCAAAAATTTAGGCCAAAAGCAAGTTTTTGCCGGACATTCGATGGTTACTCATCGCTGGCTTTCATTTCAGTGCCAGGTTTAATCACTCCATGGTTTTAAAGTTCTGTTTTTATACGAGATATGTGATGTGTAAGGGAGTTTGTTGACTCCAAGCGGACTTAAAGTGGAGTCAATTGGCACTTGTTGTTCACTCTTCCTGTCCTATCTCCCATACGATGGAATATTCTCCGTGGAAGAAATTAGTGAGGTCAAAATCGGGACTTCGAATCGTACTAGCGAATGATGATTGTAGAAGTCCATTTCTACTCTGTGAACCACCCTGGACACCAGATAGTGAGGTGAGGACCTTCAATGGGTGCGGCCACTGTTCTAGATGTTGATTATTTCATTTTACTATGTCACATTAAGCCTTTGAAGTGTATGTAACATATTCTGTTGTTTCTGTCCTAGTCGAAGAACTGCACTGACTGCAAATCTAAGTTTGGTTTAACACTGCGCAGAGTACGTTGATCACGCAAGAAATGGTATATTATATTCCCTTGTTTTCTTACTCTTTCTTGACTGTCTGATTTCACATTTTAGCACCATTGCCGTCGTTGTGGAAGGATTTATTGTGGACACTGTTGTTCTACAAGACTACCATTACCGCGTATGAGCTTTGTTGATCCAGTTCGAATGTGTGAACAGTGTGCTGATCAAACTTCGCATGAACAGGATTTCTTTCAGCGCCACTTAAAAGTGCTGACAAATGGTAATACGATGATGTGAAAATTTTGTAGGCTTGTTAGTACAATTCAGCTTCCAGTCAAAACTTAATGTAATAAATTTCTACTGATTTGATTTTCTGACACAGGAGCGTCCTTTGTGTCGGATTCATCTTTAAATGGAACTGATCTCATGTTATGCAAGCTGACACCTGATCACAGGTATTTTGTGAAAGTAGATCATATGTATGTACCAAATGTATACATACAACTAGCTATTCATCTCTCTGATTAACTTTCAGATATCTCATGTTTGATGGCACATCCCAGGACCCTATTGATATTCTTCTAATTAAATCTTTTAGCGTCTCAAAGGATGTAGATGTCTTAGGTATGTACATTACTACCACTGTCATATATAATTAATATAATGCCTTGGTTGCAAAAGTGAAAACTAGTTAACAGTGTTGAGTTTTTTGACATAATGTTCAAAAACACTTATTCTAGATTGCTATGAGGATTTTAACTCAGGTATGATTTCATTGTGTTTTATTGCTCGCCACTCATCACCACAGTAGTGTCGCTTGTTCATCATATTCTGACTGAAGTTTAAACCAAACTATTTGTTCAAATTTTCTTTTGTTTTACAGGTGGAAGCAGTATGCAGCTAGTGTTTACTACGCAGGAAGATAGTGAGAAGCACTTAAAACTCACAACAGGACCGGATGCCTTGCGGAAGATGGGAAGCTCATGGATACTTGCAATGCAGCAGGTGATTTTTTTTTAAAGACAGATTTTCCTATTGCAATTACTGTATTTAGAAACTAGTTACTTAATTAAGAAGGGTTTGTGGTTCCAGGCTCTGAAGTTCTTGTATAATATGGAAAACAGCTGAAAATGGGACACCTTCTCTCACCAGCATCAAGATCACTGTGCAAACCCCACAGTTTCCTTTTTTTGTAAGAAGTATTCCCAAATTATCTCTCTTACTGTCAATGTACCTGATCACAATTTTTGTGCTATTTTATCCTAAAGTTGTTTTGATTTGGTGGGTTTGTTTCATTTTCTCCCGTGTTTGTTTCAAAAATGGGACCCTTTTTCATATTTTATAATCCTGTTTTCTATGCTGATCAAAAGATTATTTAAAGAAGGGATTGTGAATGGCTTATTATTGATTTTAACTTAGTTTTGGGCCTTGTTTGATTGCTGGTTGAATTGGGCCTTTTGTTGTACTTGCCGTGATAGTGTTAGTAAAAGTGATATGACTGGAAGTGTCATGTCAGAAATTTGTTTTGGTCACTTTGTTTACATAATGCCATCTTTAAGTTTGTTGCCATTTTGCTGCAGTGCCATCTCAAAAGACACTTGAATCTCTAAGTTTTTGAGCCATTCGTATCAATATCCATGTCTTCATTCCATTTTGTGAGAACACAATTTGTATTCCTCTTTTTATTATTATCATCTTTTTATTATAGTATGAAAACTTTATTTTTTAGACACCATGAATGCATTTATAATAATCAATTTCACCTTTTTTTGTTGGTTCTAGTTTAGAGGGACTTTATGATATTATTTCTTTCATTTTCAATTGTTATTAGTTTACTACATAAGTTTTAATTTTTCCTTATACACTTGTTTTGAATCTCGAATGCTTTCTTCCAATCATGGAAGGCACATCGATGTCAGAAAAGTATTCAATCCTGCACTTTTCAAAAATTATTTGGATAAAGGTTGCCCCTCCCTAAAATCCAATGATGTTTGTTCGCCATCTTTCAACATGTGCTATGCATAGCTGCATAGTCTAACATAATTTTAAACTTCTTTTTTAAAAAATTCCTTGTAGGAATTAGATTTTAAAAATATTCCTTGTAGGAATTAGGTTTATCTGGGCATATTGGGATATCATGTTGGGCTTGTAGGGCACCTTAGCATATTTATTAACAATTGTAAAGACTTTAAAACTATATTTTATGTATGAAATAAAACTGTAGAACTTTTACCATAGTTTTTGTTTTTCACCAAGGGATCTTTCCAGTTTCTTGCACAAATACAAATACTTCATGAACTTAAACAGGCATGCTTCAACACTTTTTATGCTCAGATTGAGCTAACGGTGTTAATTCTCGACAGGGGATGGCACACTGACTCGGCGATCGCGCTCGCTGGAGGTCTGGCGGACGCAAAAGTTGCCTACTTACAGGGGCAAAGTGCGACTACCTTTCAGGGGAGCGACGCCCCCATCGCCAACCCCCCGGCCCCTCTGGATACGCGCCTGACGGACTGGAGCCCCGTCGGGCCGTCGACATGGACGCTTCGCTCACATCCACCCTCTCTGCACCCAGTGCGAGAGCAGCTCCACGTAGCGCGTTTTGGCGGCCTCGCTCATGCCGAGCTTCGATGAGAACACGGCGTCGGAGTGCGAGTCGCTCTTCTCGACGGCCTGGTTGGCGCGGATGATGCTGATCATGACGAACAAGTGCGAGAACTCCACCGGCACCGTAGTGGCCAAGTCGCGCTGGAAGGCGTCCCAGTCCATGTCGCTGGTGTCCACGCCGTGCAGGCGAGCGTACCGCACCAGCTCGGCGTGGTACTCCCTGAGCAGCGTGTCCACCTGGGACAGCGCGTCCGAGTCCGCGCTCGAGTACAGGAAGAAGACGAGGTCCGACGAGGCGGGGCCGATTCTCGTCAGCTGGAAGTCCACCATCTTGAGGCGGTCAGGCTTCCCCTGCTTGTCGTACGCGAACATCATGTTGTTGACCCAAAAGTCCTCGTGCAGGATGGTGGTGAAGGGCCCCGCGGGCAGGCTGTCGTTCTTGAGGGTCTTCATCGCCTTGCGCAGCGTCGCCTCGTCGACCAGGGACCGGACCTCCGGCACGTGCTCGAGCACCATGTCCAGGCTGTTCTCGGCGAAGCGTAGGTACAGCTTGTCCGACTCCTCCCGCTTGTTGTGCATGTAGAAGACGCAGGCCTTCTGCACGGCGTCGCCGCTGAAGACGGCCGGCCGGCGGGACCGCAGGGCGATGCCCAGGGCGTGGAAGCGCGCCAGCTCGGTCACCGCCACCCGGCACTGCTCCACGTCCATGCCGTTGCCGCGGCTCCCGCAGCGGTACCCCTGGCTCCCCAAGTCCTCCAGCACCAGGATGGCGTCGTCGTCCACCACCGCGTCGTCGCGACTGCCGATGCGCGCGCCCAGCATCTTGGGGAAGGACTGGAAGCGCTCCGCCTCGGGGATGCGCAGGTCACGCTGCAGCTCCTCCATGGCGGGCACTACGTAGCGGTAAAAGTCGACCTGGGAGACAGATTTCGAAAATCAATAGACACCCTCCGCAAGAGTCGAGGGGCGAGAATTTTAACACTGATCTGACGGACACCTGTGACTATCCGTGGGAGGGGTGGAACCTTACTCACAATGGGGAGGCTATTGGAAACTGGCACGCACCTCTTTGGGGAAAGAAACGTCCACGTTGAAGGTGTCGCGCAGGTACTCGGTGGGCGGCAGGCGCTTGCACACGGCCGGGACGGTGGACTTGTTGCCCTGCTTGTCCTCGAAGTGGGCGTTGAGCATGAGGAAGGTGCTGCCGTAGTTCTCCCCCGCGGCCGTCTCGCCGCGCACCTCCAAGCCCACGCACCGCGAGGAGGGCGGCGCGCTGGCCGCCAGCAGCGCGGCCACGTCGGGCACCTCCAGGAACATGCTGCAGGCTGCGCGGGCTGCGCCGAGGGCTGCGCCGAGGGCTGCGCCGAGGGCTGCGCAGAGAGGGGAACGGTCACCAGGGGCCGCGTCCAGCAGTACGCACGCCGCGACTGCCTGCATATTCATCGAGGGACTGACTTGCGCGAATGGCGACCACCGCCACCGGCACGCCGTCAGGTCAGAGGACCGGCCGCGGCAGGCGCGGATCCAGGGGGGACGGAGGCGTCGTCTGAAAGGCACGCAAAAAGTCGCACGTTGCCCCTAGCAGTAGGCGACTCCCGCACCTGAAGCCGCTTCTGGATCCACCCCTGGGTCGCCGATCCAGTCGGGGGCACGCCGGCGACGCGAGTCCGCGCGGCCGGCAGCACGGATCGGCCGGGCCTAGGGGGCCTCTAGGCGCTGCCAGGGCGCTGCCATGGCGCTGCCGGCGACGCCCCCGCGGATCCACCAACCCACGCCCACGCCCCTGGTGGTTTCACTCCAATAGACGACTTGAGCTAGGCGAAAGAAGAGGAAGAAAATACCTTCCCGAACATGGCGGCCGGCCCCTCATTGGTCCTGGCAGCCGACGGCGGCCGGCCGCCATGTTCGGGAAGGTATTTTCTTCCTCTTCTTTCACCTAGCTCAAGTCGTCTATTGGGAATAGCTGCGATCTCATTAGCTGCAACGCAGCCGTGCTCTAGAGGCTCCGTGCGATAAGGTGGCATGTGGCTGATAAGCGTAAACGGCGCCCACTTGAAGCTCACCCTCCGCGCGCGGTCCCTTGGAATTACTTTACGGTGGGCTGAGTTTGGACAAATTTGCCGACCGGGCGGGCCCATGGGGGGCCAGTGCAGCCAAGGCAGAGCCAAGGTGAGGGCTGCAGGCCGCCACGGTCAACGCCTGTTTGCCGAGGGTTCACTTCATCCGTATCTCTTTTTTATGGGGTGGCTGTCGCCTGGCTCCAAAGGGTCGGTTCGCCGCCCTGCCTGCTCTCAGGGGGAACGCCCCACGTGAGTATGACAGACAGTGGACGGCTGAGATTGCGGACCTCGTTGCGGACGCTCTGCATCGTGGCTATCTGGCATTGCCTCGGCCTGGAGTGCACTCGGGTGCACCTGGCATGCAATGCACCAAGCGGAGCGTACCTGGTGTGAACGCTCCCGCTAGGGCACACTGTGTACGTGTACACTGTCAGTTTCTAGAGCGCGTGGCCGAGGAAGGCACGACACGCTTATCGGCGAGGTCGTCACGTCTCCACGCTAGCGGCTCTGCGAGGAGCTGCTCTGTTATGAAACCCAGTATCTCGGTCGGCGAACTTGAAAAGATCCAAAACCGATGCACTCCGAGACTGTCAACTGTCACCGATTTCGGTGTCAAGCGAACAAACTTGCAAAGCGATGTTGGCCTCGGCGCCCTTTTTGTCGCGCGACGCGGCCAACCGGAGGCAGCGGCACCGAGCGCATTCAGTTTCAATCAAATGTGGCCGCTGCTGCCCCACCCCACGGCACCCACGGGGAGCGGCCGAGCGTCCCTTTCCACCGCCCAGCCTCACCGATGCCGGCTGGGCTGGGCCGGCTGGAGCGCCTGCGAAGACGAGCTAGGCAACCCGGCCGACGCAACGCTCCTGCGTGCGACGGGACTGCCTACCTCGCAGGCTGCTCGCACCGTACCATTACCATTAAGGGCTAGACCACATATGGATCGTGACGCACCACCAGCACCACGCACTCCCTGCTGAGCGCGGGCCTACTTAAAGGGGGTCTGCCACTCCACTCGAAACTCACCTTTGGCCGCTGTATCTGCCGACGGGGCCGCTTGACCGCGATCCCTTCCTCTGTTGTGGCCGGGTGCGCGGGTTGGGCGCGCTGCTGGCACTGCGTGGAGAGCTTGGCAGTGCTCGTCAGCTTGTTGTGTTTGGCGGCGCGGCGCGGTGGGACGACACTGAGCGATCCCCGCGGGGCCGCTTGATAAAGTCTGTTCGCGGGACGCGGGAGGACCGCCACCGCCGCGCCGTCGCCCCGCCAACCTCTCGCCCCGCCGAGCCCCGCGTCGCCCAGCTCACCGTGTAGCACGCCGCGCAGCACACAGTCCCACGTCGTCACCGCAGGGGCCGGGGGCCGGGCCGGGGGCGGGCAGCCGCGCATCCGAGGAGGAGCTCCCCGTCGTCGTCCTGTTCCTGGGAAGCGCGCGCCGCCGCGGCGTCCGGGATGCGGTCCGGGGCGTCTTGTGGCCTTGTCCAGCGGCGGCTGGCCGCACCGGCGCGGGCGGGGCGGGCGGGGCGGGGCGGGGCGGGGCGGGGCGGGGCGGGGCGGGCGGGGCGGGGCGGGGCGGGGCGGGGCGGGGCGGGGCGGGGCGCCGACACCGCCGAATCGATCCGCGATTATTTTTACCCGCGGCCGGTATGCAGGTGTAGTGCAGTGTGTCACGTGTCACGACATGTCAAGCAAAAAGCGGTGGGGTCGAACACCCTCTGTTACCGGATGGTTTCAAGTGGTTTGAAGGGTTGTTGTTTTTGTTGTTATTGTTGTTCTTCTTGTTATGGTAGTGGTGGTGGTGTCAAATTTGTGTCGAAGTTTTCCGAGGTTCCGAAATTGTGCGCTCCTTCGGACTTGGAGCGGGCTATTCTCGGTCGGTTGGTTATCTTCCTATTCACGATCCGCCCTGGCAAGCACCGTGATTTGGTATCTTTCGTCTTTCGCCCTCCATCAGTAGGATCAGTAGTGAGTACAACGTTGCACCACAGTGGTAATCTCTCGTACGCCTCCCAGACAGCCCTCCGAAGTGCGCGGGTCAAAAATGGCGATGATGAGAGTTCAGCGGAACGTCTTTATCGGCGATGCCGGGAACGACGGATAAGGCGTTTGCGGGTGAGCCCTGCCCTGCGCGAGGCGCGGCCTGGGGCCTAGGGCCTAGGGCCTAGGGCTGGCTAGGCGGAGGCTAGGCGTAGGCGGGGCTACGCGCGGCTGGCCAGGCGGAAGGGGCAACGGGGGATCAGGACGGTAGGCCCGACAGGCTGATCCCGAGCGGAGGGCCCCAACGGACTGCCTCGCTCGCATCCACACGCAACGTCCCATAAGTGCAAGAGAGAGAGAGAAGCGTCCCGCTCGGAATCACTTTGCTTGCTCTGCTGGCCGAGGTCGGCCTCAGCACATCATCACTCTGGCAGGGAGACGTCCTGATTGTGCCCTTGGGGACAGTTTGTATGTAAGTATGTATATATTGGCCACAACAAACTTTAACATTATCCAAACATGTTGTTATTGTTATTGTTGTTATTATTGTTGTTGTTATTGTTGCTGAAGGCGGCAGGGATGACGAGATCCTCCCCGATCAGGGCGTTGGTGTTATTGCAGTTGGTGGCGCGGCCAACGCCTCCAGGGGTGACTCCAGTTATTCCAGACGCGGCTCCAGGGTTCGCGATTGAAACTGTCTCCGAGAGGGCGGCGTCGGGAGCTGCAGAGCGTCGGCTGTTGACGTTGGTGTTGGTGTTGTTGGTGCTGCCGCCCCCGTCTCCGTTGTTGTTGTTATTATTGTTATTGTTGTTGTTGCTGCTCCTGGTGACCCACTCCGAGGCGCTGCCGACGTAACTGACCGATGCGATGCCTCTCGTGCCGCTGGTCGCGTTCCTGCCGACCCTGCAAGCGGAAAGGGCGCGGTTTACCCTCCAAGGGGCTCCTTGTTCAAAACTGGTGACGTCACTCGACTCCTTGGCGCCTTGTCGCTTACGTGGCGTAGACGCGACTGCCGCCGGCACAGTCCCGCAGCTCCCAGGCGGCGACGCCGTGCCCGTGGCTGTCGATGGCGCGCACGGCTTTGAGCGCCACCACGTTGACGCAGTCGCCCTTCTCCATGCACGCCTCCACGTGGCCCTCGCCTGAAACAACGCGCAACGCTAACTTAGCCATTAGCGTCAGCCGCTAAAGATGTTTTGAGGAGTGAGCGGTGCTGCGCTAACGCGCCCCGTAGCGCTTAGCGCGTCCTGTAGAAGTGCGAGAGAAACAGAGCGATGCGTCGCGAAACGGTCCTTGGCGGCGGCGGGTGCATCGGTGCGTCCCGGCAGCTCACCCTCCACACGGCTCTCCTCGTCGTACAGGTCGACGCAGGCGCGTTGCGCCCCCAGGGCCCCCAGGGGCGTCGGCGTCGCCGTGGAGCGCGGCGGGGGCGGTCCGGGCAGCCCGGACACTGCGAGCACCAGGACGGGGAACGCGGCCAAGGCGGCCGAGAGGGACAACATTGCCCCCAAGGCGTGCGGTGCGTTCGATTCGCAAAAAGCCCGCCGCCGTTTTTCTCTCTCTTTTCGCTGTGGCAGCCAATGGCAGCCCGCCGCGGCCGTGGCCGTGATAACATTGTTCTGGCGGGGCGGCGGGCGGGGCGGGCCGGCCAGGGGCCAGCTGAGCGCGCCGGCACCGCGCACGACCAGGACGCTCTCCAGGACCAGTCTGGGCTTCCCGCGCGCCGCTGCGCCCAGTCAGGTTCAACTCGCCGCGCCGCCATGACGCGCCGCTAGACCGCCGAGGAGGATCCAGCGGCCGGCGAACGGCCACCGCGACCGCGGACCGGGGATCCGGGATGAGGAAGCCGAGCACGGCGAGCACGGCGAGCACGGCGAGCATGGCCGGTGGCGGTAGTCCGAGTAGACGCGGGTGCGGATGACCCCAATGGCGACCCGGTGAGAATGGCTCGTCAGGACGGTCGTAAAATCGATGTCGCGGTCTGGCGTCGATTTGGCGTCCGTTTTGGCTTGGCGTCGTCTTGACCGCTCGCCGCGGCGCGCGGTGAGGCGTCGGTTCGATTTCCGATTCGCAGACAGGGTCTGGGCTGGGCGAGATGGAGGTACCGGGAACCAACGCGTCACTGGACGACCACTGGTGCCGCAGGTGTCTCCGAGCGCTATGCCTTCTCGCCGTCATCGCCCGGGCCGCCGCCGTGCCCACCACCGTGCCCGCTACCGTGCCCGCCCTCAACATGACGAGCACCACGACCACCACGACCACCACGACGGCGGCGACTAGGGCTCCGACGGTGTCTGTGACGGCGGCCAGGGACGCCATGAGCCTGCCGCCGTCCGCCGGGGCGGTCAACTGGATGCTTGTCGCGCCGTCGGCGAGCTACAAGTGCATCGACTTGTACGACGAGGTGGTCTACGCAGCGGGTACGCGCCGCCGGCGACATGGCTCGGTGGTGCAGGTGGTGGCGTGTCCGGCCTCAGACGAGTCACACCCTCACCTCCGTCCCGTGCTTTCCAGGCGAGGGGCACCTGGAGATGTGCGTGGAGCGCAACGAGTGCGTCAACGTGATGGTGCACTGGCAGGGGAACGTGCGCTCCGTCAACACGCACGGCAGGTCCTTCCTCGTCTGGGAGCACCAGACCTGCAAGGGGGAGTCCTACCTCTACTCCAAGTACGGCGAGAGACGGAGTGATGTTTCGGGTAGGCGGTAGGCACTGACGGCCAAACGGGTCCTGTCCCGCCCTGTCCGCAGGTCTGGCCGGATGAGAATCAGCAACGGCGGGCCCATGACCTGGGCCAACGGCATCGCCTCCATCAGCTACGTGTACGACGAGATGGACCGGCACCCACTCGGCCAGCGCGGCACCAGCATCCACCTCTTCTCCAACAACAATAACAACAACAATAACAATAATAACAACAACAACGGCGGCGGCAATGTGTCCAACAACAACAATAACAACAATAACAATAATAACAACAACAACAGCGACGGAGGCTCCCGTCCTGGGCCCACCGTCTCACCGCCGCGGCCACCCCCTGGCCCTCCCCCCGTTCCACCCCCGGCTCCTCCCCCTGTGCCTCCCCCGATGCCCCCCGCCCCCACCGCGCCTCCCCCGGCTCCTCCTCCAGTTCCGCCTCCCGACCCCGCTCCGCCTCCAGAGCCCATGCCCCAGCCCGTGCCCTTCCCCGCGCCGCCGCCGCCCCCAGAGGACCCGACGCCGCCCCCGGACGGCGGAGGCGAGGGCGGCGAGTCGACCCCCGACGACGAGGAGTGGCCGCGCGGCCGGCCGGGCCAGCCGGGGCAGCCGGGCCATGGGGACCGGTCCGCGGAGGAGCGACGCGGCAGCGCCGACGGCCGCGGCTTCCACTGCCTGGAGCTGCAGCAGCAGGACCGCAGCCAGCGCATGGTGGTGTGCGGCGAGCTGGAGGAGTGCGTCAACGTGATGGCGCACTGGGTGGGCCGCGTGCAGGACGCCTTGCCCACCGAGATGGGCGGCGCCTTCGTGCTGTGGGAGCGCCAGGGCTGCAAGGGCGAGTCCGTCATGATCACGGCACCGAGGGCCGCGGCCAAGGGCCCCCAGCCCCAGGGCCTCGGCCGCCACCGCGAGGCCTGGGGCTCGGGCAGGATCAAATCCTTCATGCTGGTCAGGGCCTGATTGCGTGATTGACGCCTTGTTGACAAATATAGAGAGCTTAGCTTTGTATCGCCTTGTCATCTTCAGTAAACCTGTGAGTAGAACCAGCGGTGACGACAGTTCCGATAGCGCACTGTCCACCTGGACCCCATTACGGCAGTCGCAGATCCTGGCTTTGGAGGAGGGCGTTCGCCGCGTTCGCCGTCGGCGGCCCCCTCTCAAGACCGCGGCGCGTGCCGGCTAGAGAGCCGGCGGTCCGGCTTCGATGTAAAGAGACCGGGCCTGCGGCTTGCGGCTTGCGCGGCGCCCGGTGGCGATACGCCGCCACGCCACGTGCGGACGTGCGGGGCGTCTCGCGTTCCGCACTGTCATTCCCTTTCCGATACTATCAACACTGGAAGCCGCCATGATATCCGACATGAGATTTCCACGAAGCGTGGCTCCTTTGATGCGCGATGATGTGCGCTGTTTCATCGGGTGGGTTTGGCCGTTTGGCCGCTGCCGTCTCCTGAAGCGCCTGTGAGGTAGGCCACCCGCCCCTCTCGCAGCACCCTGCTGTAAAAAAGGTGGCCTGCCTTGCCCCTGTGAAGACGACAGGAGCAAGGTAGGCCGCCATCTCAACGTCGGTGTGCTGCGGGACGGGGGCTATTGCTATTCGCCCCGCAAAGCAACCGAGAGATGGCACCACAGTCGCGGCTGTGAGACGGGTTTTTCGACAAACCCGGGTGGTAGGGGGACAAGCCGTGGTGGTGGGGGCGATGAGCCGTGGTGGTGGAGGCCGTGAGGTAGCCCAGGTAGCGGCACAGACACGTGCCTGGCCCGTGACGTCATTGTCCAGAAAACCCGGCCCAGGGAGCTGGCGACGTAGTTCCGACGGTCGCCGCCAGAGCTGCCACTTTTGCTTTGCGGGGCGAATTAGCGACTCGACCACAATTGATCGTCTGCCTTTCGGGCCCGACTCATTCATTAGCACGCGACGGGTCGTCCGTACTTAGAGGAGTGGCTTATCTCGGTAGATCGGGTTCATACATCCACAGGATGTGCTATACCTTCACGGCGAAGCCGACGTTTTTGGCTGATTTGGCGGACGCCCATCCTTGAACCTTGAACACTTCTCCTCCCGAACCGTCGGGACGATAAAGATTGGTGTGTGTCTATGTCAAAAGTGGCAGCCCCTTGACGGAGCAGATCCCCATGCGGTGCAGGACAATGACAGATAAACAATGACATGTTCGTAACACGCTGGCACTTTTTATTGCAGGTGGAATATGGATTTCATTGTTATAAACAAAGTGAGCCTTCAATAATCAGTACTTTAAAATTTGGACGCCTTATCTTACGTTGAAGTTCATTGCAAAAGTCATTGTGATTAACAACAAATCATTGTTTACAAAGCAGTATTAATCACAATATACATAATTATATACAGAGCACAGCTCACAAGTCTATTGAATCATGTCAAGAAATTTACCAGGAGAGAGAAAAAAAGAAATCACATAGAATTATACGTACTATCCATTCCCAGCCAGAATAATGATGTCAAAATGGGTTTTCATTTACAAATCAAAATCAACTTTCACATCCAAATTCTGGTTGGGATAGAGGTTGAATGAGACAATTTGCTTTCTAAGTGCTAGGAAAATCTTGACAAACATTCATCAAGCGCACAACACTATTCACAGATATACAAATTAAAATAAAATCATAAATACATTCTGTACACAAGAGGGCAGGAGTAGCTGTCTATAACTACAATACAACACTTCTACAAGTAATTCACTTCTCCTCAAAAGTTTGTTAAAGGTCAAATACATTCAAGCAAAATTGCAATGAGATTCATTTACATTACATAGTCAAAGGAGAAATTATACTTAACAATATAACACAAAACCCCACAAAAGGGTAAACAAGTAAGTTCATGACACATTTAATGAGCAAACACAACAGGTTGTTGTGAATGAAAAACTTAACTTAGGTAGATTTACACAGGCCACTCACAGCATGCCATGTATGAATGGTAGGAAAAGTATGATACCATTTTAAAGTTCAGTCTAATTTTAAAATGTGTAACTAAGAACACCTCTAGTTCACAGCATATGCATCCTATCACTCCTAATATAGGAGAAATTTTTAAATGTTAAATAGAACATTGAACAGTTGCAAATATCCAATAAAAATAGAGCAAGTGTGAAGTAACAGAACAGTGTAATACTTCTTGTCTTCAAAAATATTACAGTATATCCAGTCAAATCTATAGAAATTCAAAATTGATAAAGCTCTATGGACGGAATAGATAATACTAACATGGAAGACATTGAGAAGAATGATCTGAAATTTCACATGTATATCAAATTAATAATAGCAGAGCCTCATTATAATTGTACCAGCTCTATGCATCAACTAAAACCAGTCAAAATGGACTCAATGTGATGCTCTGCTGACAATCTCAAAACATTTGAAGACAACTCACAAACATAATTGAATACTAAATAGAACCCTTTGGTACAAACATGAAATCAAATTTTCATGATAGGTAAATGTAACAAACTCAAATCACACAAAATAGAACAGCAAAAGGGGGGAGGGCTAAAGTAGTAGAAACATAATCTACCACCCTGGGACTCAACCCCTTTAACTGCTCATGATGTGGCCCTCTACTCACAGAGTAATCAGCCGTCATACAAGTAATAATACTAAATGTGATAAAAGCATAATTCACACAAGTTGAAAAATATGAATTCTATGTCAGCTATTTCATTATTATTTTTTGGTCATAATTTTGAAACCAGTAATATGTGATACATTTTAAGCACTATGGCTTTGTAGCATCACACAGTTCTTTAATGTAACACAGACATGTTAATAAAATTGAAAGAAAAAAAAAATGGAAAACAAAAAAAAAGATGATAAAAATCTCATTCTTAGACAGGTACTGAAAAATTATCACATAGTCATTCCTTTTTAAGAAATCCTCCCTGAAAGTGAGACGCAAACAAGTCCACTAATTGTGAACTTAAATTAACCGTTCCTCAGGGGGTGGTTTCATAACATTGTCCATCTCCACTCTGGGGTTGCAATACTCTTGTTGACTTGGACTGTATGTACCACGAGTGGCTCTCTTCTTTCTGGCCATCATGATGAACACTATAAGGCCTCCTGCTGAGAGGAGTAGCACTGCACCAATGATGGGAGCCACAATTATGGCTATGTCAAATGGATTGCTTGCAGCATATACCGGTGACTGAAACACAAATTGAGAATTAAGAATTAATGATTCAAAAAAGGTTGTGATCATTTAATTGAAATGGAGTCAACTGCAATGGTTACCTCGGTGCAGTTCTTGCCGGTGTGACCCTCAACACATTCACAACGGTAGTCAGGTTCAGAGTGACATTCTTCAACACATTTACCATCATACTGACATGGATTTTCTCCAATCAAGCATGGGTCCTGTAATCCACAACTATTTCCACAAAAACCAGGACTACATTCACATTTGTAAGTGCCTCTCAAATTTACACAAGAACCAGAACCACAAAGCTGACGGTTGAGAGCGCATTCATCTATGTCTATGTCGCACTTTGGTCCCGTAAAGCCTGGCATAAACAATACAATCAAAGCATGAAAAATCAAAGCATCTAATAATCTGCTGTGCAGTGGTGTATTTGCTTACCTGTCCCTGAACAGTCACAATTAAATGTGTTGATACCATCATGGCACAATCCTCGGTTTAAGCAAGGAGACATCTTTTTTGGTCCCACCTGGCACTCATTTATATCCTCTTCACAAAATTGTCCAGTAAAACCCGGAGAGCAATTACAGAACGGTACCTGTGTCAAGTAAATCATGTGGTTAAGTGCACTTGTTGTTCTACTGTATTAAATTGAATTTAAATTGGCACTTGGCACAAACCTGCTGTGATGTATCACAAAAACCTTGTTGACACTGTTGAACACTGCAGAAGGGTTGATCACAATATGTCCCAACAAAGCCTTCTGCACAAGTGCACGTAAAGTTATCGACTGTAAGTGGATCTAGATATGTAAATAAAATAAAAAACAATTTAAGTATAACCAACTTTGTATTACCATTCTTATAAAAAATTATGGAACAACGTAAAAGTCTGAAACCATACTTACTTTTCACATCTTTGCAAGAGGAGCCATTTTTGCAGGGACCACTATCACAATTAACCATTTTGAAATACTGACATTGAGGACCTTCAAACTCATTTGTGCACAAACATTCAAAGCGTCCAAGCAAATTTTGACATGAACCATTGTTAAGACAAGGATTTGAGTCACATTCATTAATATCCGTATCACACCTGAAAATAAAAAGCCCATCATTATAAGATGATAAAAAAATTATCCTCAACAACATTTGAATATTTTATTAAAATGGCACAACTTACAGCCAACCCTCCCACCCAGATTGACAGGAACATGTGTAATTGGCAATAGAATCCACACATGTAGCATTATTTTGGCAGTTGTTGTCAATACATTCATCAGTATTTACAGAGCAGTCATCCTGCTCAAAGCCAACAGGGCAAGTGCAAGTATAAGATTCTCTTGCATTTAAACACCTGATAAACAAGAAAAGTGTTTTAATTTTTTTTTTGTTTCTAAGAGCACAATTTTATATTTGTTTCAAGCAGTTCTTTAAAATAGTATGTATCACTCACCATCCCCCATTTTGGCACTCTTGTTCAAAGCACAATATGCAGCCTAAATCTGTGATTACACTGGTCTCATTTGCTGGTTTCAATAAATAAAAGAACTCTGTAGCTGTCATATTTTCCATATTCAGTTGGTCTTGAGTAAAGAAAGGCAATAGTAGACCACCAATACGAACTTCTCCCAAACAGCCCTGAAGAAACAGATGACAACACATTATTAACAACACTGAAACAAGCCCAGAGAAAAAAGTGGAAACAGATTCAAAGATATTTCATTACCTTGAAGTATCCTCCGTTTGTTGCAGGCTCCCCTTGAGATTTGCCTATTGCAGGGAAGTCAACCGCATTATCATCAAGAGAGCTGGCTGCTGTTGGAGCGTCAGGAGAATCATGATCATAGACTACATAAGAGTGTCTAGTTGAAGCAGGAGCACCATCTGCAGCCCCTGAAAGTTAGAAAACAGCACATTATAAATAACTTCAAAATGCCTTTGAAAAAATGCAAACTACATTGTCTCAATTAATAATAACATACTTATGGAACTGGCCGAAGCAATAGATATAGGGGGTCCAGCACCCAATATCACCCTTCCGCCTGTTACTAGCTGATACCAAGCGTCAATCGGGAAATCGGCTTCTGTAAACTGGTGGGTATTTTGCGCTAGGGCTTCTTCACTCCATTCGTCCTGAATAAAATGAGCTTCAAGAGAGCCATCCTTGATTTGAAGTTTCAGTGATGTCCAATCCCCGTCAGCATGTTCCTTGCGCAAGCGCCGTGCTCTACCATGTCCTGATCCCAGCATCCATGCAACTGTTACGTTCCCTTTGAAAGCAGCAATAGAAAAGAAATCTTCTCCATCAATTGAAGCAATGTGCATGAGAGTTCCACCTAAATGAGTCCTAAAAACAATCAAAATAAAAAATGGATTACAAGTCTGGGGTTCTGGGGTAAAATCCCAAAATCAAAGTTCTTACTGAAATGGTAGGACCATATTAATATAAAAACTTACCTGTACATTATTTCAATGGAGTTATATGCAGTAGAAATAGGAGATTCTGAGCTTGATGATTCTATCGAGCCAAGGCTGAAGCTCATGGAAGAATTAACTCCATTGAACGTTGCATTAGCAATGCATTCGTATCCATCATTTAAATTTCGACAAGTGCTTCCCATGGGGCAATCCTGGAGCTGGCAAAACTCCATCTCCTGGCATGTTTTGCCCTTGTACCCACGAACACATTCACAGCTGCAACAGGGATTATTAATTGCAGTAAGTAAAAGAATGAAAATCAATCAATCAAAGGAAACTTTTAAGCTCACCTAAAATCATTCCAAGTTATTTTGCAAGTCCCATTATGTTGACATGGGTTGGACGAACATGTGTCATCAGAAATAACACCCTCTAGGACAGTGTCATTAGCAAACATCACAGTACCAAAAGATGTCGGGACAGCTAAATCATCAACTTTAAGCGGGAAGAATTCTGTCACCATGGTGCGTGAACCATTGCTTATCTACAAAAACAATAAAAAAAATTAAGATATGTTTAAAATGTACTTTACTCTAGACAATCTCAGCTCACATTTGCACTTCCATTACCTGAACATCTTGGATTATTCCCTTGAAATTACTGTGGTCAGGTGTTCCGCCAGGGCGGAAATTTACTCTTGCATTTGGTGGCACTCCACCTAAATACAGAACCTGGACGTCCAACTGGCCTGATGCGGATATTGTTTTACGGAAATACTCTGACCCATTTATTTTAACTTGGACTAAAGTCACATTGCGCACCACCTGTTGATCGCAAGCATTGTTGAAATTATACTGTTGGGAAGCTGGCTTCCTGACGGCCCCCGGCACCCTCCCCCGACGAGCCGAGCCGAGCACCCAAGCAACCGAGCCCGGCCGAGGCCGGCCATTGTCGGAAAACCGATAAATTGTGACACCCCGGCGCCCCGGGCCGAGAGCACGGCCAGCCGCGCCACGAGTAGCACCCGCACGCGTTTGACCAACCTGACCAATAAAACCCATCAGTTCCAGTTGCCTTTCCCTCGATCCCTGACTCGCCCCCTCTAACCCTCACCCACCACCCAGAGACACAACACTGGTGGCAGCGGTGGGATTGAGGGAGGACGGGCCGAGCTCACGGTGAGAGGTTAGGCCCAGCCAGCAGCACAGCGGAGCGACAGCAACCGAACGGCCTACGGGGTCACGTCCCCCCTGGGTCCTTCGCGAGCCTAGCCCACTGCACCGAGTCGCCCGGCGTAGCGTCAGGAAGTTCACGGCACGGTTCGCCCCTGTCCTGTTCTCCTTGCCGTTGCCCGACGCGAACGAAGCCTCCCCGTTGCTGACCCGGCGTGGTTCCGGGCGGTTTCACGGCGACTCCTGCCCTGAGCCCCCCGTCGCCACCCCGGCCAGGCTAACGCCAGCCATGCCGTCGCACCGACGCGCCCGGCGGTCACCGGCACGCACACCAGCTCGCCGTGCCGTTCGACACCCGGCCCCTCGCGCTCCCGTACGACGCACTGCTGCGACCCGCTCGCGCCCGACGACCGAGGCCCTCACTGAAGTGCTGCACCGGGAGGGCTCCCGCGGGCAGCCCCGGACGACAACGGGCCGATTCACCCGGACATCGCATTCCCCGGTCCGCTTCCCCGAGGACACGGCGGCGTCCTCCTCGCGCCCAGCGGTGAGCGTGGCGGCCGTTGTGCCCCCGCCCTTGCCCCTGGCCGCGTCCGAGGCCCCCGTGTTCGTGCAGTCCACGGGCAGCCAGACAGACGTCGCTGCCGTCGCGGCTCTCCCGTACCACCAGCCGGCGGCGCCGGCTTCGAACCTGCCCACGATGCGCCAAGCCACCTTTCCAACCTACGACGGCAAGTCGGACTACTCCTTCTACCGGGCGCAGTTCGTGGCCCTGGCCTCCGGCCGCCCCATGTCCGAGTGGGCCGAGGCCCTGGTGGTGGCACTCCGCGAGCCGGCAAGCCACGTGCTGAGCACGCTGACGGCGACCCAGTTGACCAACTTCGCCGAGCTGGACAGCGCGCTGCAGACGAGGTTCGGCAGACCGCGGCCGCGAAACATCGCCGTCCAGAGCCTGAAGGCGGCCCGCCAGCAGCCGGAACAGAGCCTTCGAGAGTTCGGCGTCCACGTCGACCTGCTGTGCCGAGACGCGTACCGGGATGACCCCGTTGTCGGCCGCAACCCGAGTGTGATGGACAAGCTCGTCCTGGACAACTTCCTGGCTGGAGTTGCCGATGTTGCCACCCGACGACTCCTCCTGATGGCGCGCCCCACGGACTTGGCGTCAGCCCTGACCATCGCCAGCGAGCTGGAGGACGCCCCGCAATGCCAGCGCGTGCGTCAGGTAGCGGCCATTGCTGGACCAACCCCTGGCAACACTGCTGGTGCCACCGTTCCGGACCTCGTCGCTGTCCTCACCGAGCTGACTGCCGCCATCCGGACTTGCTGGAGATGTCAGTCCGACGATCACACGGAACGAGGCTGCGACCGGCAAGGACATGATCGAGGCCAAGGAGAGGTGTGTCCTCGAGGCAGCGCCGAACAGCCCCCGGTGCGTGTCGAGCTGCGGGTCCCTCCCAGTGGCGGGTGCGTCGCGCACTCTCTACTCGGAGCGGCATCCACCAGCTCGCCGCCACCCGCGTCCGCCCCTGGATGAGGATGGGCTGCTAGGAAAGCAGGTCCTCAGGGTTCGCAAGCTCTGACCGCGGGGTCCCCCCAAGAGCCGTGGGCGGCGTGGTAGCACTGACGAGTGCTCCGCCGGCGGAGGGCGTGGGGGCACAGTGCTGTACCAGGCACGGAGGAGCAGAGCGCTCTGCCTACGGAAGAGGGTACGGGAGCACACGGAAATGTGCCACGCCCGGTGACCTCGCCGTCGAGCCTGCAGGACGGGCACCAACTCGCAGCCGATGACACGTTTTGACCGAATGAGGTGATCGCCCTGAGAGACCTCGTCTCGACGGACACGCAGTGACGGGCGCAGGGCCCGCGCCTCGTCACTGTGGCCTCCGGCCGCTCCCCTGCCGCTTGCAGTGCGAGGGAGTAGTCGATGGCAGTGCGAAACGATCCTCTGAGGTTGAAATTTGTCTCGGCGACGACGCGAGTTCCTTGCGGACGGCCTGGCGGCTGAGAACGAGCCGAAGCAGATCAGAGCCCTGGACGGGGCCGCCGACGCAGACCCGGACCACCCGGACGCCGCGCCGCACATCGAGGGCCTGCCCTTGCAGAGGCAGCCGCGGACTTCTTCGCAACAGAGGGGGAAGTGTTGGGAAGCTGGCTTCCTGACGGCCCCCGGCACCCTCCCCCGACGAGCCGAGCCGAGCACCCAAGCAACCGAGCCCGGCCGAGGCCGGCCATTGTCGGAAAACCGATAAATTGTGACACCCCGGCGCCCCGGGCCGAGAGCACGGCCAGCCGCGCCACGAGTAGCACCCGCACGCGTTTGACCAACCTGACCAATAAAACCCATCAGTTCCAGTTGCCTTTCCCTCGATCCCTGACTCGCCCCCTCTAACCCTCACCCACCACCCAGAGACACAACAATACGTAAAACTAAGCTGACTGCCTGGAAAATTTCATCATTTGTTCTTACCTGAATAAGATGGTTACTGCCATCATCAAGTCTGACTCCTCCTACTGTGTAGCCCTCAGGAGTGCCGTTGAACTGAATGCCTACAAACAGCTCTCCTCCATCAAGATGAGCAGCAATTTGAGTTTGATCTTGATGCTCGACAGTGGGAGCTGACCCAAGCTGAAAAATGACTCCCCTACTCTGGCGAGTTCGAATGAACATAGATATGTCTACAATAGATCTAACAGCACGTCGGGCTTGATCATGGACATTCACAGTAACCAATCCATTTGTGATGTTCTCATAGCCAAAAGTAGCAGCAGTAAAGTCTAAACAGGGAAAAAATAGAGAAGAATAGTATAACTAAGTGAAATGCAGTGAACAAAACATGGAGTAAAATCAACAGGGCACTTACTGTATTGACATGTGTGGCCTAAGTAAGGGCGTTCACAAGCACAGCTAAAGTCACTCCATAAATCAGTGCAATGGCCTCCATTATGACATGGGTTGGGAGAACATTGAGGCTCACGTGGGCAACCCATCGCAATGTTTTCAAGTACAACAGGCTGGCTGGGGTTTTCTGGCAGAACCTGCCACATATTGAACAAGAAAGTAGTATAGCACAGAATGGACAAAGATCATCACTAACACAAGCAAAACCAACTTACCCAATTGCCATTGATGACCACATCTTCAACACAGCCAATGAAAGACGGGGGTCCATGTGTCAACCTACGAAGAGAAGAAATCGTGCCACCTAAATATGTTGTTGGAAAGCTTGTGTGTGAAGCACCAGAACCTTCATTCAGGTTGATCGGGTAAATTGTTTGTTCTTCATTGGCGGCCAGAACTAGATGAGATGAGTTGATTGCCACAAATACCTTGGTAACAGAAATAAAACCAGAACATAAATATCATAAATTTAATAAGAAAAAGCAGACATTGTTTGTTTTATTTAAAGGTTGAATATTTACTTTCTGCCAAGTGCTGTCATTTAATCCTGAACCAATAAAGACACCTTCCCATTTGTTCAGAAGACTGGAATGAAGGTTGAGTCTACCATGGACTAGTTCCAAAATATAGAAAGTAGATCCTTTTCCTATGGCTAACAAACCATCAGGTAATGTTGTCTTAAATCGAAATTGAATGTCGTAACCTTCATCCCTGGTAGTATTTACAAGTGCATATGATTTTCCACTTAAAGACATGGTTGTAACCTGGTGAGAAGAGTTATACATTAATTTTCATTCTTATTTAAAAATCAATATGACAGGTATAGTCCCAGGTTACCTTTTCGCACAAGTCACCATGGAAACCATTAGTGCAGGAGCAATTAAATTTATGTTGTGTTTCATTCTCCAAGTACGGTCTGCAAGTCCCGCTGTTTTGACAGCGGTTTTCATCACACCCATGGAGTTCAACAGAACAGTTCTTTCCACCATACTTGGGAGTGCATTCACAGAAGTAGTTGGCACGTCTGTCAATACAGGTTCCATTCACACACGGTCTGAGGTGCAAAAGAAACATTATGTAAATTCCACCATACACACAATAACCACTATGAAAAAGGACAACTTTGGCACTTACTTATACAGGTCACATTCATCAATGTCAATTTCACAATGGGCCCCCATGAATCCCTCTTCACATTCACAGTCGTAATGTCCAATCTTGTCTACACAGTTGCCCCAACGACAGGGGTTACTCTCACATTCGTTTATGTTCACTTCACAGTTTGAACCCGTTATGCCAGGAACACATACACACACATACCTAAGAAACAATTCAAGATAGCATGAGTAAAGTTTACCCCATGTATTTCCAAACAGATATGTATAGGTCACATACCCGCTTGCATTCTCATAGCTGAATCTTTCAGAAAATATTGCAGGTAATGATGGATCATCACTTTGGTAAAGAGAGCTGTTGGAACGTTGTAGGCATGTTCCACCATATTGGCATGGAGAGCTTTCACACTCATTAATGTCAACGTCACAGTTCTTGCCTGCAAATAAATTTACATATGAAAATAATGATTTAGATTAACACTTACAGTACAGCAGGAAGTTCTTTTAGGACTGAGAAGCGCTGGGAAGTCATTTATGAATGCTAATGTATACCAACCAGTATATCCAGCAAAACACTCGCAAGTGTAGTCCTTGATGCCATCTACACACTGAGCACCATTTGTGCAAGGGTTGCTCAAGCAGTCATCGATGTTGTTTTCACATCGTAGTCCACTGAATCCAGTGTCAGAGCAATCACAAGAATAGCTGTTGATACCGTCAATGCAGAGTCCGTTGTTCCAGCAAGGCGAGGACTGAAATGCAGAAAGAAAAACATGCACAATTGATAGAAAATAGTTCACTGTATCATCGCATCCATATTGATTTTTAAGAGAAATACCTCGCAATCGTCAATATTAGTCTCGCACAAGAGACCCGTTAATCCAGGTGGACAAATGCATGAGAAAGCAGCAATGCCATCAATACAGGTTGAATTATTTTGACATGGATTGGAGTCACACTCATTGATGTCAATGTTGCACTCTCTTCCAGTATACCCTGGGGTGCACACACAGTTGAAGCTGTTGATGAGGTTCTCACAAGTGGCATTATTTTGGCAAGGTCGAGAAAGACATTCATCAAAGTCCAGATTACAGTGAGTTCCAGTAAAACCAGGGCGGCAGAAACACTGATAACCACCTGTAAAAGCATTGGCCAAGATTAGGTTTAATCATAGAATTCATCCTGCAATAATAAAGGAAGTTCCACAAGAGTAAAAACAGATATCCTTCTGTTTCTTTCTTACCAGGGGTATTAACACATATTCCATTATTGCAAAGATTATCAGTCAATTTGCACTCATCAACATCTTGTTCACATCGGCGACCTACATTAAGTCAAACATAGAACAAAAGTGTTAATTCTTAGTGCTTGAATTGGCATTAAGAAAATAGAAAGTTTTGAAGCACCAACCTTGATAACCAGAGGGGCATTCACAGACAAAGCTACCTCCAGAATTGACACAAGTGCCATTATTTTTGCATGGGCTTGGGGCACAGTGATCGTCATCTAGTGTGCAGTTTTCACCAGAGTAGCCAGTAGGGCATCGGCATTCATAGTCATTGACAAGATCAACACATTGCCGCCCAAGAGGACAGGTCACATTTGCACAGTCATCAATATCGGTTTTGCATTCTAACCCAGTAAAACCTGCAAAAAGCAGTTTGTGATGAACCAGCCATTTAAAAGGAATAAAAAGCAAATCAGCCATTTTGTTAGAGAGTACTCATTACCTGCGGCACATTCACAATAAAATTCTCTCCTCTTTGGCATTGTCACACATTCTCCTCCGTTCTTGCAAGGTTTGAAAGCACATGCATCGAATTCCATTTCACAGTGAACTCCCATGTATTCATCAGAGCAGTTACATATGTAGCCTCCGACCTGGTCAAGGCATGTGCCTCCATTTAAGCAAGGGTTTGAAGCACATTCATCAATGTTCACTTGGCACATTTTTCCTGAAAATAACATATATTTTTTATTAAGCAGAGATTAACAAAAATCTTAAATTGACAGCTTATTTTTAAAAATAAATCACCTGTGAAGCCCACTGGACAGGAGCAATTAAAATGATCACCAACCACAACACATGTGCCGCCATTTACGCATGGACTACTGGTGCAGACATTAACTTCAGAGCAGTTTGGAGGTTTCCCTAGAAGATTCATACATTAATTAAGTGAGGAATATGGATCATCACATACAATTAAAAAAATAAATTTCAATAACATAACAAACAGTTGACAATGAATTGAAACATTTGGTTATCAAAACAATAACAAGAAACTGAAAAATTGGCAGATAATTACCAGTAAGGCCATCTTTGCAAACACAATGATAATTGCCAATGTCATCAACACAATCCGAATTAGGAGGGCACACTGCAGATTCACATTCATTTATATCGGTTTCACAGTTACGTCCAGTAAAGCCATGCTGACAATGGCACTCATAGGAGCCAACTACATCAATACAGCGGGCATTGTTCAAGCAAGGGTTTGAGCTGCACTCGTTGAGATTCTAAAAGAGCAGACACCAAATAATAAAAACAAAGCAAGGCTACAAATAATTAAGATTGAAAGCAAACATAAAAAAAATAGCAGAAGATTCTTACTTGTTCACAGTTCTGACCCGCAAAACCTGGCATACATTGGCAGGTGTAACTGCCATAGTTATCAAAACACAGTCCCTGATTCAAGCAAGGGTTGAGATCACATTCGTTAATATTTATATCACAGTTTTGTCCCAGGTATCTAAATACAAAACAAAAGGACACTTTTATTTTAAAGAGATTGACTTTGAGAATCTTACACATGTGTGCATCAAGCTTATCAAGCTATCTTACCCAGTTCTGGTACAGATGCATGTGTAGTTGTTAACGCCATCAATACATGAACCCCCATGCTGACAAGGGTTTGATTGACACTCATTTATGTTTATCTCACAATTAACACCAGTGAAGCCAGGAACACATGTACATTCATACCGGTTTCCTGCTGACACCCTACAGGACCCATCATTCTGACAAGGATTGTTCTCACATATGTGAGATGTTATTTCTGTTTCACAGTGTTGGCCTGCAACAAATAAATGAAACTTAAGGAAAACTGACTTTTACATAAATTACCAGAAAATTGAAGGATTATTTTAACTTTTTCAAAAGAAGAGAAATGGTTGGTAGATGATTACCTGTGTGACTTGGCCCACATTGACATTTGTAATTGCCCATCTGGTCTTCCATACATTGACCATTATTTTGACATGGGTTAATCCCATTACGGATGCACGGAGAACCTGTAAGATTATTACAGATCTGTCAAAGTGCTCTTTTGTGATGATGTATTTATGATCATAAAAAATGATTAAAACACAAGGTTAAACAAGGGGGCATACAAAATTTGAAGAAAACTAGAATATGGTCAACTAAAATCTACTTAAAGAAAAGATATCAAAACAATGTATATGTGAATGGCTAAAAGAAGTTAATAAAAACCACTACTCAAACAACTAAGTGCACAAAACAAAACACATCAGAAAAACCATGAATGCAAAAATAGAGAGACCTAAACTCTTTTCAAATTGAATTATAAAAGTCTTTACACACTCCTTAGAAAAAATGAAAATTAATTTATGGGGTAATGAACACAAGATGATATGATTGTGTGTAAATCCTGTTTGTCGTTGTCAATTCATGTGTCTCAGCATTGCATTTGCAAGTGCGTATGAAATAGGACACCACAGAAAAATGACACACGACACTCATCACAGTGACAATGGAATTTGTTAAAGTGCTTTCCGCTCACCATTGTCAACTTCGCAGTTCTTTCCTGAATAGCGTGCTGAGCAGCGGCAGTCGTATCGATCGGGCAGTGAGAAGCAAACACCCTGCCGCAAGCACGGTTCGTTTTTGCAGTGGTCAACCTTTGAGCCTGCCAAACACCAGCCAAACCAAATGCTACAGGTACACATCCACTCATACGCTAAGTTGACTTGTCATCATATTGGCAACTTGCGTATTTGAGCAAGTACCACACAAAAGAACAAGTAAAGTCAGTGGAGACAAAGGACTGCCGAAAAGTGATCAGATTACAATTTGAGATCACCGTTTTCCAATGGGATAGGTTTAAAATGGATAACAGAAAAATAAAGGTCTCTGTTTGCATTCAGTTATGATAGTCAACTAATAAACAATTCCAATAAACCCAGGCAAGAAACATAAGATGTCAAAGAGAACTATCAAGAGTCTTTCCTCCTGAATGCTGATTTGCCCATGCTATGCCACAGCAGCTCTGCTCTGGCACAAATATTTGTCAGGCATCTCACTTACTTTTGGTCTGGGTCTATTGGAGTACTCAAAATAACAAAGGCAGTCCTTAAACTCTACATTTCAGACAAACATGCTGCATGCCTCAAAGGAGAAGAGTGCAAAATTAAAACAAACATGTCACAAAGTGCAAAATATAAAGATTTATTTTTATAAGGAGAGGGAAAGAGAGAGAGAGAGAGAGAGAGAGAGAGAGAGAGAGAGAGAGAGAGAGAGAGAGAGAGAGAGAGAGAGAGAGAGATGGAGGCAAATGAGGATGTAGAAAGAGCAAAGTGCTAGACTCTCTTGCTTCCTTAAATGATCACATGAAATGAACTAGATATCTTGACTTTGATCATGATAACAAAGCTGCACACAAAGCAACTTTGTGTTTCTCAGTTGCTTAAGAGGGTATCAATAGCAAAATTGGATAAGCAAAATCAGCAGGTATGCTGGAAAGTAAGCTTGAATGAGGGTAATGATCTGACAAAACTCATATGACAGTAAAGCATGATGAAGCAAAGGGTGTGGTCTATTTTCTTATTTGATGTGCAACAACGCACACCACAAAGCTTTTCTTGCAATGTGAGGCGTATGCAAATGGATGATCTTTTTAACAGATGATGTCACATATCAAAAAATAAATGTCAAGAATTTTTTTTTTTTTTTCGTAGACGTATGTTGGGAAGTTGAATTTCAAATGTGTCAGGCAAGAGGCCATTGTGTAAAAAATTCTACAAAATTAAGACAAGAATGGACCCAAAATGCTGGAAAAGAAATATAAAGAGCCAATTTTGAAATAACCAATGATAGTGAGAGCAAAATTTAATCAATCAATAACGAGAAAAAAATTTTCTGTGTGTACTTATGTGAGTGTGGTGTAACTTACAACTGATGTTATTTAGAGGGCAGTTCCCCCACTGGACTTTTTTAGCCACCATAGCAGACGTGTTGAACACAAGGCTTGGCCCTTGGAGAATGCATCCAATGAAGCCATCTCCAATGCGTAAAATGGCGTCACTGCCTGACAGGTCGGGATCAGAGAGGATCTCTGGATTGTATGTTGAATTGGCAACAATCTGAAAAATAAAAAGAACACACAGATCTCTTGATAAAATATCTTGGAACGAATGGACTTAAACAAGTCTCTATTCGGGATCAGCCAAACAACGCGGAGAACGATGGTCATTCCCCGAAACTCTCTGTTGGCTACGCGGGCTACGCCACAGTCCAGCGTCTCTGCAAAGACACAAAAGCACCACGGCCGTTACCTGCGAGTGCCCCGCCACGGCGAGGGTGAGGTTGCCCAGGCGGTACACGAGGTTCACGTTGTGCCAGGTGTTGTCCAGGAGGTGGGCGGCGACGCGCGACTCGTACACCTTGCCGCTCTTGGCCACGCCGATGCGCAGCAGCAGGCCGTCCTCGTGGACGTCGAGGCTGACGGAGGACGAGGACGGCGTCGACTGCGAGAACAGCTGGCCGCCCTCGCAGGTGCGGAAGCTGAGTCCCACGTGGCCGCGCAGCGACACTGGCGCCTGGAGCGTCACGTGCGCCGCGCCGTCGAAGTAGCCCTCCTGCTGCGCCGCGTGCTGCGCGAGGTGCTGCGCGCGCGGACCCGCGGCGCCGTGGCCAGCGGCCAGCGCCAGCGTCAACCCGCACAGCGCCAGCAGCACCAGCAGCCACACTGCAAGGCAACGCACAGCCGGTTAGACACGACACTTGAACGTTCCAGTTTTCAAATGGACCCCTCATAAGGCCCAGTCGGGCGAAAATTAATTCAAGCTTAGGTCCCCCTTCTAAACGCGCGTCGAAATAGAAAGGCACCCCGCCGCGCCGCGCCCCGCCGCGCCACGCCGCCAGCCTCGTGCGTTCCTTCCTGGACCATCGAGGAAGGCTCGACCTGAATCGCGAGTCCTCCCGCGCCATCGTTACCGCGTCTGCAGACTCATTTCGAGAGCCCTGCTCTGTCTCTCTCGCACCTGTACGGGACGTGGAGACGCCACGCGAGTGCGAGAGAGACAGAGCGGCGAAACGACTGTCCGTGCTCCGTACACGTGCATCCAGTGCATCGCCGCCGCGCCGCCGCGCCGCAGCCTCTGCCGCGTTAGTAGAGCGGAAAAGGCGAGACGGCCTGGCGGGCCGGTGGCCGCGCCGGCCGCCCTGCACTGCAACAGGTGGGCGGCGTTGGCGGCTCCCCCGGCACCGCCGGCACCGCCACTGGAATTGCCACTCGCGGGTACGGCATGCGTCGTGCGTGACATAACGCACACTCGTGTGAATATGCCGACGGGGACTTCCCCCGCCCCGCCTGGGCCGTCCCACGGGCACGCGAGTTCGCACACGCGTGCCTTGGCGGTGTTGGTCCACTTCACTGTTTGGCGCCCGGCAGCGCCCGTCTGGATCGCAGGCACGCGGCAGTGGGGTCTCTGGCCGCATTCCGTATCCCGGAGGGAGGATTTTCGTCACCTTCACTCATCAATCTTAAGGTGCGACCAAAACAAGACTTTTGGCGTGGCCGTGTCTGGGCGCACAGTCTTTCCCCGTCATTTCCAGAGGCATGGGGTGGGATGGGCCGCCTCGCCGTTCGGCTTCCCTTTCACTCTCTTTCATTCTCATTAGCGCGGCGCAGGCGGGCGCAGGCCGCGTCACGACACGACGCCGCCAAACCAGTGTGCCGACACGCCGCGCCGGGCCGGCGCGCATCCGCGGTAAAGAAAAACTCAAATCGCAATCTGCTTATAAGCAGGAAGCGGCTGGAGGTAACAGGGCGAGGGGGTAGCGGGGAGATGCGAGAGGTAACAAAAGAGTCAACGTGTTAGTGGTGCTCTTTAGGCCCGACTCTTTTATATCACGCCTCAGGAACGACTGAACCACACCTAGTTTGGGAGCAGCGGCCTCGCAAAGATGGTCAAAATGTCGAAAAATCTGCGAAAGTCGCAAATTTGTCGCGCCTACGTACTTTGTGTGGCAACACTGATGTTCACAGACGTCGGGGGTTTTTCGTGCGCCGTCGCGTCGCTTCGGCACGGTGGCAAGTACGAGTCTCCGTCGGTCGCCGTCCCCGTAGACGGATTCCGAGAGTCGTTTCCGTCCGTCGCTCTGTCCCTCTCGCGCCTATAGGGGACGCCCCATGAGTGCGAGAGAGACAGAGCGACGAAAACGACTCTCGGAATGTGTGTGCTGGGAGGCCGCGCGCTGCATGACGCGTTCTTCACTTTTCCCCGGCGTGGCGCGGCGCGGCGCGAGGCGTGTTCTCCACGCGGTCCTCGCGAGATAAGCCGCGCAACCAGACCTACACCGACCTAGAGCCGCCAAGCCAAGGACGGGTGGAGCGGCAGCGGCGCCCACTTTTGACAACAGCCAGCGCGCTTGCGTGTCGCGCGCGCTTCCCGCCCCGCCTCCCCAGGGAAGTCCACCCACACCCACAAACTTGGCGCACATCGCGGACTCTCTCTGGAATGGGCCTTACCATCGGACTGCCGACTGCGTCTGGCCCCCGTCGTCCTCGTTCTGCCTCCACCGGCCGATCGAACCACCCCAACTCCTGCAACAGACAAGAAAATGCAAGCACGTGAAAACTAGTCCGCTCGTTGGGGATATCAACAGGCACCCTCCCCCGGGGTTGGAGCGCGCGCCAGCCACAACTCCTGGCGCCGTCTCTCTCGCACCCGCACGAGACGTCTCACGAGTGCGAGAGAGACAGAGCGACTGCTTCCGCCGCTCGGAGGCCTTCCCTTTGGCAGTGCAGTTGCAGGCGGCGTGACCTTTCCCTTATAAGACGCTAAGGCTCGCGGCGGCGGGGACGCCGCGGACGACGCGACACGTTGCATAAGTCCGATATCTGCAGTGCAGGCACCGAGCTGCAGGCACTGCAGGCTCGCGTCCAGCTTGCGTCACAGAGCCTAGCCTATAGGCAGCCTATGGGCAGAGCGCCTCACATTGTTCGACGAGGAAGAGGGCACACCGCCGAGCCGATGGCGATCAGGCCTGGAAGGAAAGATGACGACAGCGCGCTGCCGTGTGCTCCGCGGCAAGCGCCAACCGAATAAGTTTATTACAGTGTGCACGTCGAAGATGGGCTCATTTGCTATTTCTACACGGCACACTGCATGACTCAGGCGGAAGCGCCGGCTATCTCGCACCATTTATCATTTTGTTTGGCAGTCGCCTTTGGCTGCCTTTGCTTTAGCGCCGAAGAGACTCGTGGTGCTGACACCGCACCAGGTAACTGTGACACTGTCATTTCAGTTGCAATACTCAGTTTCATCGTAAAAATTTGTACTAAAAGATTTTGCAACCTGTATCACAGTGGAAATGGCAGAGACAGAGGGTCGGCCAAGGTCGCGTCGCTGTGTACTTCTCTGTCGCTTGAACAGGTGGGTGCCTCCCACTGGGTGGACGGGACAGCGAGCGCTCGCGCAAAGCAAAGCAAGGAAGGAAGGAAGGAAGTCTCGGAGTGAGTAAGTGTGCGCCAAACAGAGAACGCGGACCGCAACGCGTTCTAAAGGCCGCCGATAACTGTTGCCTCGGCGAACTAGATACCTCACTCTCCTCCTTCAGAGTGGCCGTGTCTGCGAGTCAGACGGGCGGGGCGTTGCCTAGCGCATGCTGCCCGCTGCTCCAGTGCAGTCGGTCAGCGCCGGGGGCCGTGGGGACACCCTGCCCGGCACGCAGGGCACGCTGCTCAGACGGCAGGCCGGTTCCGAGCACTGCTCTGTCTCTCTCGCACTCACGGGGCGCTCCGTATGGGCGCGAGAGAGACAGAATCAGCCTGCAGCGCTCTGACGGGCGGATCGTGGGAGCGGCCAACCCCACCCCCGCCCCCGCCTCACCTAAAGCTGTCTGCGGCTCGGCTCAGCCCGTCCTTGCTCTGCTCGGCGGGGCTCGGCGGGGCTCGGCGGGGCTCGGCGGGGCTCGGCGGGGCTCGGCGGGGCTCGGCGGGGCTCGGCAGGGCTCGGCGGGGCTCGGCGGGGCATGCCCTGAAGGGCTTGAAGGGCCCCGCCAGGCCTGAAGGGCCAGACTAATGACGAGTCACAATGCCGCGGTCATTACCGCATCACAACGAGCACGCTGTGCCGCGCTGCGCCGCGCTGTGCGCAACGAGGCGGTCTGTCCGCCCTCCGGACTCCAGAGCCGAGGGTGCAGCCGATCAGACAGGAGACAGTCACACCTCCACGGCACAAGACGCGTCACGGCGTGTCACGGAACGTCCCGGCTTGCTGGGGCCGTCTTCGCGTATAAAAATTCAGCAGCACGCCAAAGCGAGGACCCGGCGCAGCGTCAAAACAAAACACACACACGCACAAAAAGAGGGGGAAATAGCTGGAGAAAGCATGTGACCAAGCCTTATTTCGGCTCGCGCGCGTGTAACGCTCGGGCGTAACGCGTTCGCGTGGACCAGTGCGTGAGGAAGAGGCTGGGGGGACGGACAGACGGACGGACAGACAGGAACACGGATGACCGTTCACACACGTAGCCGTGCGGCCGGTCTAGACCTCGTCCAAGACCTCGTCCAAGACCCCGTCCAAGACCCACCCCAAGCAGGTCAGGCATCGGCGCGGCGGGTCATTAGACCGGCCCGTGGGCCGTGCTCTCCACGCTGAGGCTCTCCGTGGCGCTGTGCTGCGGTCGGGACACCCCACTGCCGCAGAGACCGGCCACCCAGAGCACAGAGAGACTGCCCCCCGCGGACAAGGCGATAGAAAACAGAGATTGGCACAGCCTTCCATAGCGCCACCCCCAGAGTGCCGGCCAGCAGACCCATTGCGCGAGTCGGCCTGCTTGGCTCTGTCTGCCTCGCGCCGATCGGGGACGCGCCCATGAGTGCGAGAGAGACAGAGCGACGAAAACGCGACTCTCGGAATCAGCCCGCTGCCACCCCACGTCCGGACCGCCCGCCTCGGACTTCCCTCGCAGCACGCCAACCGCAGACAGGCAGACAGACAGACAGACAGACAGACGGACAGACAGACAGGCAGACAGGCAGACAGACAGACAGGCAGACAGACAGACGCCCGACCGCAGTCTTGTCCGATTCGAGCGCCTGGCCGTGGGCGCCGCCGCGCCGCGCTGCCCCGCCTCCACTTGGCCAGGACGTCGCCACCGTGTCGCCGCCACTGGAGCGCGGCCAGGCCTTGGCCACCGTGGCCAAGGCGCGGAGCCGCAAAACACCCCGCGGCCCGAACGACGCCGACAGTTACCGATTCGGTAGCCGAGCCGCCAGCAGACTCATTTCGAGGGTCGTTTTCGTCGACCTGTCTCTCTCGCACTCACGGGGCGTCTCGTGTAGGTGCGAGAGAGACAGCGGGAGGAGACCGCCCGGCAGTGTAGGCAACTCGTCGGCCGGCACGCAGCGCTGCGGAGCGAGCGGCCTATCGCCCCTCGCACGGCGTTACGGGCCTGGCGCCCCGCATGGCGGTCGGAAGCAGCCTACGGCGCGGGAAGTGCCAGACTTGGCGGCCATTCGCAAACAAAGTGCGCGCTCCGCGGAACTCTCCCGGCTCGCGTGCTGGATCCACGCTGTGGCCATGCTGACGGCGCGCCGCGGGCCGCGAGCAGACTCGAGCCGCGAAGACATCCCTCCGCGACGCCGCGGCCAGGGCCGCGGTCGAGGACCCTGCAGGGCATTATGCGACCGTGTTTCCACATTCTTATCCGTGCAAAAGTGCGGATTGTTTTGGTTTTAGCTGGTGATTCATTATTTTTTCACAGTGGGCGCAACGGCCCCGCCGACTCAATCGGGCCGCGTGATCCCTTTCTGCGCAACAAGCCGTCGGCCCGCTGTGCCGCGGTCCCGCGCGACCCGGGGCAGTGCGGGCAGCGCGGGCAGCCGCGGGCAGTGCGGGGCAGTGCGGGGCAGCGCGGGGCAGCGCGGGGCAGCGCGGGGCAGCGCGGGGCAGTGCGGGGCAGGCGGGGCAGTGCGGGGCAGCGGACGGGGCAGCGGGGCAGGCGGGGCAGCGCGGGGCAGGCGGGGCAGCGCGGGCGGGGCAGCGCGGGCAGCGCGGGGCAGCGCGGGGCAGCGCGGGGCAGTGCGGGGCAGTGCGGGGCAGCGCGGGCCACGACCTGACAGTGACTTATGTCAGCGTGGCGGCCTGGCGGCCTGGCGGCCGACGACGCGCGGCACGGCACGCCGCGTCACAGAACAGCTGAGAGACACGCGGCCGTCAGCGGCCGACAGTCGTCCTCGTCGCCCCGTCTCTCTCGCACTCACGAGGCAACCCGCATAGGTGCAGGAGAGAGAGAGAGAGAGAGACAGCGCGACTAAATCGACTCTCGGAATCAGTCCGCACTGCGAGACCGTTTATCTCACGCTCACTGCAGTGCTGCAGTCATCGCTCGCAGCCAGCTTGCAGTGCAGCACAGCACACCTTGGCGGCGCAGGGCGACGCGTCGCGGGCGCCAACTCTCTGCTTCACGCGTCATTTTTCACCGCACGTCCGGCTGGTGAGCGCTTTATGGCAGTACACTGCAAACGAGCTTCACCACACTTATCAACAGTGGCCCCCTTCCCCCCTCTTTGGGCACTAGACAGCCGCCTGGAAGGTAGGCAAATTGTACCACATTCATTCTGTAAGTATTAGCCAATAAGCATGGCCTGACCCCCCCCCCCCTTCAAAATTTCTGCGCACGCCACTGCTTATCAACGCAAAGCAATTCGCTTTTCGCTGCTTTATATTTTCCCAGTGCCCCCTGCCGGTGCGTGTGGAGCCTCCTCGGGGGTTCCCTATCGGTCCATCGTCCGTCAAGCCGACCCAAAGCCAGGCCAAGCCAGGCCAGCCAGGCCAGCCGGCCATAGGCCGCGGCCAAACAATCAATCCCAGAGGCGTGCCCTTTCTTTCCTGCCTCGGCGGTTGCGTCAGGCCGAGGCAGGCCAGGCAGGCCACAGGCCCGGACGCAGCACGAGAGCGGCCATCCTAGAGCCTCGTTCGTTAGACGCGCACCGTCCGCCGCACCGCAAAGCCCAGCACGAAAACAAACGAAAAACTGCACGAATGGAAGAAGAAACACAGTATTGAATGCAAGCGATTTCAAGTGCACGGCCACTTTTCCCCGCGAACCGGCAGCACGGAGGACAGTCTCTCTAGTGTAGGAGGACACGGTGGGGTTCGGCGGGGTGGCGGCCCGGCTGGAGGCGGCCGCACGTGCGCGCGCGGTCTGGCCGGCGCGGCGGCGCGGCGCGCGGAGGTACTAAACGGTTCCGAGATGAACACCAGCGCCAGGACGGCGCGCATTCATCTCCGAGGTGCGTGAGCGGCGCGAGCGGTTTGGACAGTATCTCACGGCGCCGTGGGCGCTAAAAGAAAGTTCGGCAGCCGCGGCGCTCGCGCTTCATAATAATTGCTTTTGCGTTTTCATTAAAGCGCCGCTCTAATGAGGAAGAAAGAAAAACTGCGCGCGAGCACACAGATTCCTCACGCCGAGCCACGCAGGCCTCCTTCCGGGGAACGTCTGAAAACGGGAGTTTGCGCATGCAAAACAACGTGCATTATGCACCGTTAGAAGTCCATGTCCATGCGTGTCCAGGTAATGAGGCAATGCCTTTGAGAAGGCACTTCGCCTAGAATTCACGCTTCTTCCAGGGCGAAAACTGATGTACGCCGTTCTGCGCCCACTGGGGTGTCTGCCTTCGTTTTACCAGTGCAGGGTTGACTGAAATTTGGGCGAGGACTTGGATGAACTCAGCACGCAGCTGTGTGCAGCGGAGTGAGCAAAGTGCACGCAGCCGTCCCGCCTGCTTCCTGCGCCACCAAAATGAATGACAAGGGCGACTGCCGCGCTGCATCGCCACTCCACTGTCACGTTCCGCGGAGGATGCCCCTCCCGCCAGGCCGCCCGGCCACGCCACTGCCCAAGCAACTGGAACAATCGGGGGCTAAAGGGGTTCCGCGGGACGGAAATGATGAGTCACCAGGCAGGCCGCGCCGGCCGCGGTCGTCCGCCACCTGTCTGTCTGTCTGTCCGTCCGCTTGGCCGTCTGTGCGTCGTGGGAGCCGCAGACATTAGCACGAGTCGGCGAGCCAAGCCTCCTTCTCCTTCCTCGCGGAGTCACGCGGTCACGCGGTGTGACCATGTCCGGAGTGGCGCCGAAGCGCCGAGCCAAGCGCTGCCGCCAGCCACTTAGTTCGAGAAGCCAGCCAGCCGCCTC